GTGTACGAGAGTGGATGTGTGTGTGGCAATTTCAGGCAAGACTTGCCTGAAGGGGGCCTTTCGGTATTTCCTTCTTCGTCTTCTTCTTTTCTTAGCAAAGACACAAGACAGAAGATCAATTTTCAGATGAAGAGGCGGGGCTGGAGGTTTTTTGCGATGAGATTTCCGAATCTGGTAGACAGGCAACAGCCCACCAGTCGGCAAACGTACTTTTCTTCCAAAATAGCTTTTGGTGTTGTGCTGCCCATGGTAAAAGATTGCCGAAGGTCTTGTAAAGTTTAAGTTGAGAGGCAGAATAAGTATTCGAGATCATACATCTTGTGTCGGCAGGCGCGGAAGTTCGTGGTATGCCTCATTTGGGCAGGGTAGTATAATCACACTCGTAGAGACACGCAAATCAGTTGAGACGACCTTCGCTCCGAAGCCAGAGATGAGAACGGGTGCTTCTGAGAGAGAGGAGAGCTGCTGATACAGGCTCAGAGTCAAACCGTCCGGTGACGTGTCTGCCACGGCTTTACTTTACCTTGGATAACGAGCAGTTGATGGGATCTGGCTCGGTAGCTCAAAGAGGTTGGCTTGTGCTCCAGGGACTTTCTGCTCCGTCTTGCCAAAGTTACCCCTTGAATTCAATGTCTATCATGGACAGAAAAAGAGCTAATCTGCAGATTTCAACTGGCGTTGCGTAGAGTGGGTTCGCAGATGGAAGGTTTGAACGGCTTTGAATGTATGTAATGATGTGGCAGAGAGGAGGGCAGTACACTTCAAGACCATGATCATTGAGTTTTCAAACATCAACCTTGAGGAAGACAAATCCTTTGCGCTCGTCCTTCAGCCTTAGCCTATAGTTCTATTGCCTTCAAAGTATGACATAGAACTAACCCAAGTGAGATGAGTCTGCTCTACCGTTATTTTACTTCTGAACGCTTCGGGGAGGATCGCCGAGATTTTAAAGCAAAGAATGGGCAGACCATTGACTCCAACTGTAATACCAGTAACGTTCTCCTTGGAATCAACTCTGCTCGTCACATAGTTTGGCGCTTTGTTAAGTGTCTTCTGAGCGAGTGCTCTAAACCACTATTGCGCAGCAACGTAGGAGACTAATAGGCTCATCAAATAAGTCATTGAGTAACCCCATATGTCATGTTTTCATTCAACCATTACACAATATGTACATAGAAAGCGACCAAAGGTGGCCTAGGCCATCGACTGCCGTCAAGAAAGCAAAAGGCAAGCCCCTTAAACAACCGTCACAGTCGCATTCCCGCGGAAATCATCGCTCGACGACCCGACAAAGACGGTGAAATCGCCCGGCTCAACGACATACTGCAGCTTCTTGTCCCACAGACCCCACGAGGAGACGGGCAGGTCAATAGAGACATCGGCGGTCTCGCCGGCCTTGATGAAGACCTTGGAGAAGCCGCGCAGCTCCTTGTTGGGCACGACGATGGAGGAGATCATGTCCTTGACGTAGACCTGCACGACCTCGGCGCCGTCGCGGGTCGAGTTGTTGGTCACCTGCACGCTGAGGGTGACGGTGTCGGTCGGGGAGACGGTGGAGGAGGAGACGGAGATGTCGTGGTAGTCGAAGGTGCTGTAGGAGAGACCGTAGCCGAACTGTGGTTGGATTCGGGTTAGCGAAAACTGTCAAGGCGAAGGAGGAAGAGGAAGGGGGGTTGATTGCTTACCTCGTACAAGGGGAGAGGAGTCGACAGCACGTAGTTGCTGCCAAAGACCAAGGTACCGTTGGCGTACTCCTTACCCGGGTTGGGCCAGGAGCGGGCTGAGTTGAGGTAATCGTAGTAGACAGGCGTGGTACCGACATCATGCGGGAACGCAACGGACAACTTTCCAGACGGGTTCACGTTTCCGTACAGGATATCCGCCAGCGCGTGACCGCCCTCTTCGCCCTGGTAAAACATCTGCACCAGCGCGCCAGCCTCGTCCGAGATCCAGGGCTCGGTGATAGGCTTTCCGGAGCTGAAGACGACGACGGTGGGCTTGCCCGTGTCGATGACGGCCTTGACGAGGCGGCCCATGGCGCCGACGAGCTTGAAGTCGTGGACGTCAATGTGCTCGCCCGTGGTGGCGTTGAGGCCGGCCCAGAGCTCGTCTTGGTCGCGGGACCAGGTGCCGACGACGACGACGGCGACATCGGCGGCTGAAGCGGCGGCCACGGCCTCGGGGAAGCCGGACTCGTCGTTGGACCAGCGCTCGGCGCCCTTTGCGTAGGTTACTGTTCCGGAGCTGGCGGCCTTGATGCCGTCGAGAGGGGTGACGCCGCGTTCCATTGCGGTGTGGATGACGTAGTCGCCGTACTGTGTGATATTTTGTTAGCATTTGGAGGTATTTTTGTACGAAGCTACACGGGAACTTACGTTAACCAATCCGTGGGCCATGGGGCCGATGACGGCGACGTGGGCGTCCTTCTTCAGAGGGAGGGTCTCGTTGTGGTTCTCGAGCAGGATGATGCTCTCGGCGTCGAGGTCGCGGGCGATCTTGCGGTGCTCCTCGGTGTTGAGGTAGTCAAAGACCTCGTCGTCGGGGACGCCGGTGTACGGGTGCTCGAATATGCCCGACTTGAACTTTGCGCGGAGGACGCGGGAGACGGCCGTGTCGACGACGTCCTCGGGCAGAGTGCCGTTGGCAATGAGCTCCGGGATGTACTGGAAGCTGTAGCGTCCGCCACCCATCTCGACATCGTTACCGGCGGGGAGGGACTAGGATCTGGTGAGCAGGGAGTTTTATTAGGGAGTTCAGGGAGCTACGTACGTTGAGGGTGATGCAGGCATCATCGGTTTCTCCGCAGACAAAGAAGGCGTTGGAAAGACGAGCGGTACCGCCAGCATCGGACTGAATGTGTTAGTTGCATTTAGTGTCTGTGGTAAAGTCAACAACTTACGATAACATAGTACTCGTAACCCCACTCCTCGCGCAAGATCTCAGTCAGCAGGTGGTGGTCTGCGACGGTGGGGACGCCGTCGTAGGCGTTGTAGGAAGACATGATGCTCCAGGCGTCGGCATCGAAGATGGCGCGCTTGAAGGCGGGGAGGTAAGTGGTGCGAAGCTCTCTAGGACCGCCGTGGACGGGAGCGGTGTTGACACCCTGCTCAGGGGAAGCAAAGGCGGCAAAGTGCTTCACCATGGCGCAGACGCCGTTCTCTTGGAGACCCTTGGTGTAGTGGTAACCGTACTCGCCGACCCTGTTCTGAGTTAGCTTACGACTTGGTGATGTCTTCTGGGAGTACATCATACAAGAAAGGGTCCTCGCCGTAGGTCTCTTCGACACGGCCGAATCTCAGTTCGCGAGCCAAGTCGACTACGGGGGCGAAGATCTGGTTGACGCCGAGAGCCTTGGACTCGACGGCAATGACCTTGGCCATCTTCTCTACCAACTCCGGGTTCCACGAGCAGCCGTGGGCAATGGGCGAGTTGAAGATGGTGGCATTGAGGGCGAGGAAGCCGTGGATACCCTCGCTCTGGATGAAAGCGGGAATGCCTAAAGGGTCGGTCTCAGCATCACAGTTCTACTTGGACTCAATTGATTCAAAGAGGAGATCTCACCCAGAGTGGTGTTGTTCACCAGATAGTCCTGAGCGACCTTTGCTCCGTAGGAAATGGTGGACACGTTGGAGTAGAGACCGGTCCAGATGGAGTTGGCTCTGTTCTCGGCGGCCCAGGTCAGGCCGCTCTGGTTGAAGCGACCATCGGTCAGGTTGAGGTAGTCACGAATGTCGGCTTGGAGCAGTTGGGCCGTCTTCTCCTGGATGGTCATGCGCTTCAACAGGTCAGAGACTCTGTCGTCGATGGGGGCATTCGGGTTCTTGTAGAGGGGCGAAGTGCCATTGGGGAATGTGCCATTCTGGGCGGAGACGGCCGCGACCAGCAGCGAGGCGAAAGTCAGAGAGAACTTCATGATGTTCCGCGATCCGGGGTTCCGAGTCAATGGAACACTGGCTGAGGTGACGTTCGGCTAGAGATCCAGAGCTCAAGGGAAGAGAGGGACACGATCCTGGAGACGAAGGCGAGCTGCTGTTGGGTATTAATACAGCTTCTCACAGCTCGCCTCTGGGCCTTTTCTCTGCAGGCAGACTGCAGCTCGTTTGGAGCCGACATTGAGTAACCTGATTAGTGACATGATGCCCACGGCCAAGGAGCCGAAGTGAAATAGACGTAATTGCAATGGGGCAAAGGGCCGGTGAGGAGAGAGCAGCCTTCTCCGCATCAATCATTTTTTTATCCGTATTGTACAGAGAAAGGAAAGAAAAAAAGGGTGTACCGAATACCCCTAGTCCATCCCCGAAAGGCAAAAGTGAGGAGCGATGTAATGCTAATTTGCGCTCTCGCAGCGGTCTTGTCCGACATTCATTGGGCAGAAGTTTAGAAGAATGGGAGAACCCTGGGCAGTTCCTGCACATGGCCTCGCAGGGAGTGGCGGTGTTGGGACCAAGAGGAAGCGGACTGACGACAGACCAGAGCTATGAGCTGTCGGATAGCTAATTGGGATTGGCAGTGTCATGGTTTGTATGTATGAAGCTGGCCGTGATGGCATGAGGGGAAGCCAGGAAGCCGTTGGAGATGGGAAAGTTGGAGAAATTCTGTGTCTCTTTCTCACACAGCAGGACTGGACTCAATGGAAGACGGGAGGTTGCTTCTGCCGAACCGACCGGGGTTCCACTTATTTGTGGAAGAGAAGGAGGCATGTGGGGAAGGCGACAAGCGACAGCTACGTACCTTATAGTGTACTCCGCAAGGCAACGGCCTGCCGGGTGCTTGGCGAGTGGATCCCGAACCGGCCGGTTTCCACCAATGAAGTCCATCACGGCCCCAGCTGATCCGGACCCCGAGAACCGCCCAAATCCGACCAGTCCGGTTGAAGAACGGCAACAGCACTAACACGTACGGCCCCGGGGGGAAACGGCAGGAAACCCCAAGTAAACCCCACACCAACTGCCCAGTATGGAATGGCACAAGTCTCCTTACCTTACCTTATCCATTCATCAGATCACTCACCCCCAGATCTCCGCAAAGTCACGAGTCTCTGCCACATTCTGCGGCAATAGTCGTTCTTTCCCTTCTCCTACAGGCTACAGGCTGCTCATCATCCCGCTCTCCAGCCCACTTCAGATCCTGCGCCATCGGGCCGCACCCCGGGACCAATCGGTGGACGTCAATGGCTAAACATGAATCAGCGGCCTCGTCCCCGAGGCTCGCTCCATTGCGGAGTACCGGCGGGATTGCAACGATGGGATTCGCTCAATATCTCCCCGACAGCGGGACTCTGCCGTGCTGCGTGTGAGCCCTCTCTCCAAGACGACCCCTCCGATTAATCCTCCGCACGCCTCTTGCTCCAAGGAATTTTGTCGTACAAGAGACGAGATTCACTTCAGTCTTGAGCCGCTTCTCCCGGCTGAATTGTGTTCCTCTCGATTCATCACAACCGTTTTCTCTCTGTTTCGTCGTCCTTTTTGTTGGTGTGTGTGAGAGATACCCATTCTGAGAAAATCACCATGGTTCGTCTTCGCGATGGCATGTGGCTGCCCGCCGAGGGCACGGCGACAGAGTACGCAGAGGAAGTTTACTACACCACTGAGATTGAGGGCGGAAAGGGCCTCAGCTTGTTGTGCCCGACGAGAAAGATCAAGACGCGGGGTCACACCTTGAATGCGAGCACAGTCACTCTTGTAAGTCGAGGACTCATACCCTCACCATGAAATGCCTTTGCTCACACACAGCAACAGGATGTCAAGGCCGAATTCGACGGCGTCATCTCAGTCGAGGCAACGCACTGGGCCGGCGCCCTCAACAAGGGCCCCCATTTTGAGCTCTTCCCCGACGGCAAACCACCAGACGCCGAGACAAAAATCACAAAGGGCGACAAGGGCACGACGACCCTGACCTCGGGCTCGCTGTCCGCGACCATCCACCCAGACTTTGACATACAGTTCCATAGCACCGACGGCGCCAAGCGGCTGACGTCGCTGGGCAGCCGAAGCGTCGGCCTCGCCTACAACCCCGCGCCAAGCACCCCGATGCAGACGGGCGACATGCGCGACTTCAAGCACTACATGTTCACCCAGACCACCCTCGGCGTCGGCGAGACCATCCACGGCCTCGGCGAGCGCTTCGGCGCCTACAACAAAGTCGGCCAGTCCATCTCCCTCTGGAACGCCGACGGCGGCACGTCCAGCGAGCAGGCCTACAAGAACGTCTCCTTCTGGCTCAGTTCCAAGGGCTACGGCGTGTTTATCGACACACCGGGGCGGGTGGAGCTCGAGGTCGGCAGCGAGCGCTGCAACCGCCTGCAGACAGTCGTCGAGGGCCAGCGGCTCAAGTGGTACCTCATCTACGGGCCGACCCCGAAAGACATCCTCAAGCGCTACACCACGCTCACGGGCCGCGCCGGCAAAGTGCCCAGCTGGAGCTTCGGCCTGTGGCTGACGACGAGCTTCACGACGAACTACGACGAGGAGACGGTCAACACGTTCCTCGAGGGCATGAAGGCCCGCGGCTCGCCCGTCGACGTGTTCCACTACGACTGCTTCTGGATGAAGGCCTTCACCTGGACCGACTTCGTCTTTGACTCGGAGCGCTTCCCGGACCCGAAGGCGCAAATCGCCCGCCTGAAAGAGTCGGGGCTGTGCAAAAAGGTCTGCGTCTGGATCAACCCCTATATCGCGCAGCACGGCGAGGCCTTCAAAGAGGCCGCGGACAAGGGCTACCTCGTCAAGCGCAAGAACGGCGATGTCTGGCAGTGGGACCTGTGGCAGGCCGGCATGGGCCTCGTGGACTTCACCAACCCGGACGCCTGCGCGTGGTACGAGGAGAAGCTCAACACCCTCTTCGACCAGGGCGTCGACGCCATCAAGACGGATTTCGGCGAGCGCATCCCGACCCTCGACGTTGAGTGGCACGACAAGACGATCGACCCCGTCAAGATGCACAACTACTACGCCTTCTCCTACAACAAGGTCGTCTACGAGGCCCTCCAAAAGCGCTACGGCGCCGACGAGGCCGTACTCTTCGCGCGCGCCGCGTGCGCCGGCACCCAGCGGTTCCCGCTCCAGTGGGGCGGCGACTGCGAGTCCACGCCCGAGGCCATGGCCGAGTCGGTGCGCGGCGGTCTGGGGCTCGGCCTCAGCGGCTTCTCGTTCTGGAGCTGCGATATCGGCGGGTTCGAGGGGTACCCGCCGCCGTGGATCTACAAGCGGTGGGTGGCCATGGGCCTGCTGTGCAGCCACAGCCGGCTGCACGGGAGCAGCTCGTACCGCGTGCCGTGGGTGATTGACGACGACGACAAGTCCGAAGAAGGGTGCTCGCAGACGCTGGCGACGTGGACGAAGCTCAAGGCGAGGTTGATGCCGTATATCTATGCGCAGGCGCAGACGGCGGTGGAGAGGGGCCTGCCGCTCTCGCTGCGGGCCATGTGCATCGAGTTCCCCGAGGACCCGACGTCGTGGTACCTCGACCGGCAGTTCATGGTCGGCGACAGCCTGCTTGCGGCGCCCATCTTTGAGGAGTCGGGCGAGGTGGAGTTTTACCTCCCCAAGGGCAAGTGGACGTCGTTCTTCTCCGGGGAGCACCGCGAGGGGCCGGGCTGGTTCAAGGAGACGCACGGGTTCGGGACGCTGCCGCTGTATGTCAGAGAGAATACCGTTCTCGTGCTGGGATCCGAGACGGCCGTCGGCGCCGTGTATGACTACAGGAGGGACAATGAGGTGCGGCTGTACCAGGTCAAGGAGGGGGCGACGGCGACGCTGGTGGGGAGTGACGGTAAGGAGATTGGTGTTTTGGAGGTTGGGGCGGATGGGAAGCTCAAGGATACCGTCTTGTTGAATGGCAAGATTTCCATCAAGGAGCTCTGAAGTGTTGGTAGATGGTTATGATGATGATGACATGTGTGGGTTTTTGGCCTGTTGTGCGGCACGTCATTGCTTTTGATGAATTATATGAGGCTATCTTGCATATCGGATTAGATGGCTTAGAGCCGGGCCTTTGTTTTCTAGTTCCTTGGTTCAAGTCTACTTACGATTTTTACACATCGTGATGAAGCCCTCTTCTATCTGCATTCCTTCACCGATGGGTGTCCGGCCCGTCCCAGCGGATGGAAGCAGCCAACCAAGACTTGGCGGATAGTCGGGCATCCCCCACTCGCAAGATCCCAAGCCATGGAATGAAGCTATATGCCCTACCCCGCGTCGCTTACATGTGTCTTGGAGTAGGAGGAGGCAGCCTCCCCTGAGCCAAGAGACATCAAGTCGTCACCGCGAGCCAACATTTCAGCACCATGTAAGTACCGAAAAGTCCCCTCATTCTCCAAACTATCTTGATGCAGTCTCCAACTTACGATGCCCCATGCAAGCAGTACCTAGATTTTCGTTCGTAGTCCGGGCCAGGGAGTCTATGGAAATGACCAGGGGGCTCACCCCAGCCGGCTACATATTTCCCCGCGAACCACAGATCATCTCATCTCCGCACTTTTCCCCCCTCCCCCTTTCCCCCCGCACATCTCGGCCCCAGATTCCCTGATTGTGTAATAAAGTAGCCACTCATGCGTCTCCAAGGCCGCCGCTACGTAAATCACGACGGTGACCGTTTCTTGGTGCAAAAGAAGTACATGTTGGAATGATTGACCACGAGAATCATCAGAGAAAACTTGATGTCTCCTTATGGGCTTAGCTAAAGGCCTCACTAAGTCCCAAGAGAGGGGCAAACGAATGGAATTGCCAAGCTGTGCGATTATATTATGCAACCCATTGGCCTTTCCCCCTATATCTCGCATAGTCACATCTATTGTACGCATATATGCAATCTATCTTGCTCTACGGATACTGAAACCTGAACCTGCAGGAACCTAGCAAACCCCTTAATATAAATCTTCCCATCCAGGGCAGAAGATGTGAGATGAACCTCTCATGGGAAACCTCTGGTAAATCGAAAGCTTGAAGCTTTTCGGATAGAAGGTGGGTGGATTACACAACAACTCCTAGGTATATTCGCTAGACTTCCATATGGGAGATCTTGATTCAACAAGGCATTCCCCCTTCGGTTTGGGGAGCCGAACGGGACCTTCCGTCGTCTTGTGTCCATTTCCCCATTCTCCCCGGATGGGCGCCCCCCTAACTGCTCGATCAGACTGGGTGACCCGAACCACCCCTCTCTAGGTTCCGACAACTGCTATGCGAAATAGCCACGATCTGTAAGACTTTTCTTTGGATGCTCTCGAGAATTGTGCCATGTATCGGATGCGACACCACACAAAGATATCCGGCCTCGGAGAAGGGAAGTGGAAAGGAAATAGGCGAAGACATGATCCATATAGACCTCCTCCCCGCGATTGGGTTCTTCCTGTCTCAGTTTTCCCAAATCAGCGTTCCGCTGTGTGTGCTGAACAAGATCTGGAGCGATCCCACTCGACGATGGCCCCGGATCTCGGGTTCTGGTTCCCCATAAACCCAGACCCACGATCTCGGACTGTGACTCTGCGATGTGACTGTAAGTGTTCATCATACGAATACACCGTAACACCCCTCCCAGCGTCAGACTCACGCCTCCAAAGGTCGTTTGGAGAAGGTTTATGTCTCATGAGGGCTCTGTTGCTGCGTGGAACTCCCACTATTCATTCATGACGAGCCTTTATACGCACTCTCGGGTATGAACCCTTCATTACCCATACTAAGTACCTAACAGCAGCTCATCCCACCTAGATACATACTAATGCGACGATGATCCAGAAACCCCCAAATCCAAAGGGTATACCGCACGCTGAGCCTCCCATAGGAACATGTGCACATTGCAGGGAATCCTTAATTCAAATCAGTCCACTTGGGGAAACCCATCGTTAGCTCATCTGTCAATAAACGTCATCTTCATGAACTTAAGTCAAACTGCTCACGTTTTCTGGGGCGGTCGTAAGTTCCTCGTAAGACTGCAAAATCTCAAATCCCATCGCCATGACATGTTCGTAAGTGTCGTCTTGCACCTGCGCACATAATATTGTCAGTGAAGTCCCAACACCTAGAAAATGATACTAGAGGGTGAGGGAGGTGACAACAGCTTACCCAGCTAAGCACCGTCTTGGCCGACTTGTGCGCCTTATTCTGACGGACGCCCATCAAAGTAAGCCCCTGAAGTACAAGCGTATCCTGCGGCCCGGGATGAATCACGGGCGCCAAAACACCACCGATGCCCTCGTCGACGGCAGAAAGCAAAGGCGGGATATACGTCGCCAGCGGACTCCCCGGCCGACATATAATGATCGTTCCCAGCAGCGCGTCGCCCGCTCCCTTTGCCCTTACTATACCGCACGCTTTCGTCTCCTGCAGCGCGGACCGGTACAGCTCCAGCACCTCGGGGTTGGCGTTGGCGGCCACGTGGCCAAGCACGCTTTCGGCGTTGTCGAGGCCGTGGATGAGGTCGAAACTGAGGTTGGCGCGCTGGATGCTCTGCAGAAGGCCCTCGGGGATCGCCCAGCCGCTCAGGTCGTGGATGGCGAGGTTCGTGAGGCGCTTCGGGAATTGTACGTCCCAGCCGTTGTTGGCGAACCAGTTCTTGACGCCGCCGCCCTCATCGATAGGGATGCCGAGGAAGACGCCCGGGAAGGAAGTTCCCAGCTGGATCTTCTTCACGGCCCGCTGGTTGTTGGTCAGGAGATGCCGCAGCGCACGCCTGTGGAGGGACCGGCCGACGGAGACGTTGCGCTTGGTGGGATCCACGAAGATGGCGCCAAGGATGCCGATGCCATCTACGAAATACGTCGCGGCGAAGCCGTACAGGGCATGCGTGCTACTATTGCGGACGACAAAGTGTGCCTCCTCGACGTTTGGCTTCGAGAGCTCGAAGCACGCGGCCGGCATCGACTCCAGATGGCCCAGGTCGACGGTGTTGGCGCGGGCGACGACCTTTGTGAGCTCCTCGAGGCCGTGAGCGTCGCGGCGCCGATCGTACTCCTCCACGATCCAGTGCTGGCGGGACTTGAGCACCTTTTTGCTTTTCCGTAGTGTCCCTGGAAGAGTTCCCTTTGGTACAAAGTGCCCGCAGAGAGCGCGTACCAACGCGTGCATCGCGGTTTCTGTAAAGTCAAAGGTGCAGATGTATGTACCGATGGACTTGTCCATGGCGAAGTCGTACGGAGAGCTTACGGCCACGACGATGACGGATTTCTTCTGGCCACGGGTTCGCAGCATGGAACACATCATCTCGACGTGTTTCGTGAAGCCGGCTTGGTACAGGTTTCTGTTGGCATCCGCAGTGATGATGATGATGCAGGATGCTCTGTGAATGAGGTTTTCATGGACTTGATATCAATAGAGTTAGCCCGCTACATTTTCTGGCGTCTTGAAGAGTAACGTACCTGGCCTGACTCCATTCGCAGTATAGCTGGTATGGAGGAGCTTTCCGTGGCGGGACCGAGCTAGAGAGCGTCCGAATTCTCTAAAGACACCCTCCCCGCTCATGATGGCCCCCTTTTCGCGGTGCAACCAAGTATCGTGTGGTGTAGGGGCAAGCCTCTGGGCATCCTTCGCTTGGAGGATACTCTTGGTCAAGCTTGACGCCGGTAGTGGTTTCACTAATGGTGTGAGAAGGAGCAGCTCTTCTTCTTGGTGCATCGACTCGGATAGGGGTAACAGCTTTTCCTTGTCTCGAATGACCGTGATGGAATCGTCGTATGATTTCCTCGCTAAAGCCATATGTGAAGGATGCAACTTGGACAAGAGTGATATATGCCTGGCGGATTGAGTGCTGTCTGCCAAGACGTGCAAGTGTCCTTGAGTCGTAGCACGCGATTCAAAGACGTGTATATTCGTTCCTTGGTAAAGATACCGTTCTCGACACCCAACTTGAGCCCCTTGATCGCTTCAAGCTGGACGTCGTAGGCTCGGCATAGGAGTACCAAGTCACATCCAGCCTCTACAGCCATGACGACTCCGTTCTGTACACCGAGCTCATGGGTCAGAGACTCCATTTCGAGACATTCTGAGATGGCGACACCGTCAAAACCAAGTTCCTCTCGGAGAAGATCGTCCACAACTTGGTTGGACAGGCACGCGTGGGAGACATTCATGGAGGGGTTGGAGATGCCACAGCCTCCTACGAACATAGCGTCCAGCTTGCCCGTCGCAATTGCGTTTCGGAAAGGCACAAGGGCACTCAGACTGAGCTCTTCCAGAGTCTGTGTGATGATGGGAACGTCCAAGCTGGACCCCAAGAAGTCCAAGTTTCCGTACGACGGGAAATGCTTCCCGCAACTTGCGAGACCGGCATCGCGAATGCCATTGATGGCGGCGATGCCGTACTGAGAGACCTCCTGGGGGTCGTCGCCGGTAGCACGTACTCCGATAGGTTGATACCTGGCATTCGAGAGGACATCTAATACCGGCCCGAGCATGAAGTTGATGCCACAGGCGCCAACCTCGGTAGCAGTAGCTTTCGACACTTCGTAGGCTAGTTCGACCCGGCCCGTGGCGGCGATGCCCATGGCACTGGGGAACTGGCAGACGTAGTCCTCGTCGAAGAGACTGTTGACACCGCCATTCTCTTGGTCAAGGGCAATAAGCAGTGGCTTGGGATGGCCAGCCTTGTGTGCAATAGTCTGGAGTTCCTTGACCAACTTTGCCGTTTCTTGAGCAGCTAACCCATGGCATCAGCACACAATTCACGAGGTGTCGATGATAACAGAACTGATCAACAGCGCAAAGGGCACCGACATTTGAGGTTCTTGGCAGTCAAGATGATAGTCCCTAGGTGATGATCCTCAATTAGAGAACGGATCTGGGGCGTCACCTCGGTGCCATCCCAGCCCATGATGAGCATCTGGCCAATGGCCCTGTACGGCGCAACAGCGTGGACATGTCAGCGAGGAGCGAATCGGAAAGGAGCTAGGTGACTGGCGTCATTGTGTCCCCCCCTACTCCCAGATATGATGCCGTAAATGGAACGAGGTAAAGAACAAGACAAGGGGCCATGTGCGCGATTCGGCGATGAGATGAGGTGGAGGGCGGGTCGAGTCTGAAGGAAAGGGAAAGGGAATAGGGACCAGACGAACGTACCAATCGAGATCCTGCCATAGTGGGTCGAGCTCCTTGACTTGCCCCATAGCTAGTGGTCTGCGGCTCGTCACGTTTTGCCGCGCATAGTACCTCTCGAGATGGCGTGGTTTGAACGGGGGGAGGTGGTGTTGGCGTTGGCGGGTGTTGTTGTGGTGGTGGTGGCGGCGACCGTTCTCCGAGGTTGACGTTGACTTTGAAGTTGACGTTGATTCCCGGTTGCTGGACGGATGTGACCCGGAGCCGTCGCGCGGGACGAAGGAAGAGGAGGAGAAGGAAGACGCGGGCTGGGAGCGGGACGCCATGTGCGGCGGGAGCGGTGGGCTGCTGCACCAGCCACGGCCGACAATCATTGGCTGGTGAGGAGAGCCGAAGGAGGGTGGTAAAGGAGATTGATTGGTCGATAGGAGCCGTGTCCGTCTTTGCCCGCACTTTGCCCGACCGGGGGAAGAACGTTTCTTATCGCGATAAAGAGGGTGGGGCGCCGTCTGTGCCGGATCCACCCACTTTTTTGGAGGTGGGACGTGTGCTTGGTGTGGGGTACGTACCCAAAGACCAAAGCTCCATTTCCAATGTTAGCGTCTCTCTCTCTGATCTTCGGCCTCGACAACGGAACGTTACATGGAGCCTCACCACGTCAAACCTTCTTTTCTTTCCCTTTCGTTGCCCCGTCTAGACCGAGTCTGTCACTGTCTGTGTCTCTTTGGGGCTCTCTCCGGCTCCCACACATGCAACGCTCGTTGCTTTTGGAGATTGTCTTCTCCAAACGTGAATGTCAACGGCCCCAAAGGTCCCCGTCCCTGACACAATGTGTGGGGCCCAGGTAACTTCGTACCCCTCCGATTCTGGAACTTGGGAAGCAGATGGTGAATGATGATGCGTTGCAACTTGCGCCGTGTGCTTGGGTGCTTTGCAGTGAAACAAGACCTCCCAGAAACGAATCGTCTCTGCCATGTGGACCAGCCGTTGGTCAAGTAGTTTTCTCTGACTCGGAGGGCACATGGCAGTGCAACCGGCACCGGTGCCATCGGCCTCTTGTTGCGTATCTCTTGATCTTCGACCCCTCCATGGACCAAACCCCACCAAAAGGCACGTTTGATGCCATTGCCAAACACAGACACACCTATCCGTAGGCGTACACACACACACACACCCGTGACCCAAATCTCCGTCCTATCTCATACCACCATGTGTGATGGCTATCTCACTGCAACTGTGAGGGGCCATGACGATGTGTCCAACACCTTGGACGACCATGAGACTTTCCACGCAGGCCGGGCCATGCCGGTCCCCCCCAGCAGTGAATTCGCCGCCGCCGGTCTCAAGTAACTGTAAGCAAGCGCACCTGGCTGTTGCTGGTGAATAATACTCGAATCAGTCCCTCAAAGCCGCTCTGTTTCGCCTTTTTTTGTTCATGGCGTCGTTACTGAAGCGCAACCCAAACCCAACCCTCCCACCAATCCGAAAGCACCTAAACCTCAACTTCAACCTCAGCCTCCATCACCCCGTCTGAGATACACACATACCTACACGAACACGCACAACATCCAAGAATGCCCATCGCCATCCCCAAGACGCCAAAGAATGGCATCACGAAATTCACAAACTGCCGTCTCGTAAAGGGCGACGCCCTTGTATCAGAAGACATCTGGGTCAGCTCCGTCACGGGCAAGATCATCCACAGCCAGGCCGCCTTCTTCGACGACCTCTGTCTTCCGGATGAGACCATCAACCTGGGCGGCCGCATCGTGTCGGCCGGCATGATTGACTGCCAGCTCAACGGCGCCTTCGGCTTCAACTTTTCCACGCTGCTCGAGGATATGACGCAATACGGCAAAAAGGTCCGGGAATTGAACAGGAAGCTCGTGTCTACGGGCGTCACGTCCTACGTTCCGACACTCACTAGTCAAAAGCCAGAGCTCTATCAGGGGGTGAGTAACACCCGGTCTGGGATGTATTTAATATTGTTGGTTGATGCTAAGTGATTCACTCTGCAGGCCCTGCCTTATCTCGGAGCATCAGGAGGCTTACAAGCAGCCCACGACGGAGCCGAATCGCTCGGCGCGCACGTGGAGGGCCCGTTCCTGAACCCCACCAAGAACGGCATTCACAACGTCGACGTCCTGCAGCAGGCAGAGACCTTTGACGACCTGGTCCGATGCTACGGCGCCGACAACATCGAGCCCAGCGCGGCCAACGGCGGCGTCATCCCGATCAAGATGATCACGGCGGCGCCGGAGCGGGGCAACATGACCAAAATCATCCCAGAGCTGCGGGAACGGGGCATCATCTACTCCATCGGCCACTCGGAGGCGACGTACGAAGACGCGTCGGTGGCGGTGGCCGCGGGCGCGACGATGATTACGCATCTGTTCAACGCCATGCGGCCCCTTCACCACCGTAACCCGGGCGTATTTGGCGTGTTGGGACTGGCGGAGAGCTTGGCGCGGCCGTATTTTGGTATTATCTCTGACGGTATCCATCTTCATCCGACGACGATCAAGATTGCGTTCAATGCGCATCCTGATGGATTCATTTTGGTGACGGACGCTATGCATATGATGGGTCTTGCGGATGGGTCATATCAGTGGGTTAATGGACAGGATGTGAATAACATCATCAAGGTTGGCTCTACGCTGTTGCTGGAGGGCACCAATACGATTGCTGGAAGGTGAGAGAGACACATCAACGATTCGAGGCGATGTCTTTGACAGATACAGAACTAACAGCTCGATAGTGCTGTCACACTGATGGAATGTGTTAACAACTTCCTCCGATGGTCTGGTACGGGTATTCCCAAGGCGTTGAAGGCCGTCACGGCGACGCCGGCGGCCATGCTCGGTCTCCAAGGCATCAAAGGGTCATTGGAAGACGGGGCGGATGCCGACTTGGTGATATTTTCTGAAGAGATCAGGGAGGGCGCCACGCAGTTGGTGGTAGACGAGGTTTGGAAGTCCGGGGCGTTGGTGTCGAGCAGAAAGGACGACCAATCGCCGATTATGCCGTAGAATGACGAATTGTAGTGAAGGACACGAGTCAAGATTCTGGGGATACGTACGAATACAGTGAAGAAAGACGGCAAGTGAAGAGAGAAGGACAGGGTCGAGCCCTACAATAGACTGTATACGCATAGAGCTGCCATCCGAACTTGAGGGCGTAACTGGATGCGCAGATAAAGTTTCCAAGATGGCTGGGGGTGGTTACTGGTAACACCAAGTGCCTTACTGGGCAAGGTAGAGAGGGCCTCGCTTAGTCTTCGCCAGAGTTTGGTTGATTGTCTGCCAGAGAATGGTTGCACAACATGAAAGTAGATTGGGTAGACGCCGATGTTCGGCCATAAATTACAAGATTTCTTAATGATGATAAGTGAGGTTACTGCTGGTTGACGAGCGAGGAAAAGAGGATAGTGCTTCTGTACAGTGACAAGAACTGTATTCCGGGAACCATCGGCCGAATTATTTGCCTAAGTGCTGCGTAACAGCCTGCAGAGGCATCCTTGAAGCTCCCCGCATCTTGGTGCCGTGACTTTAATTCCCTGCCTCCACAGTGCGATAACAGCCAGCCAATGACGGTACACGGGTGTCCTGATAGGGGTGGACACTGCGCAGGTGCTCTCCTTCCCTCTTTCTCGCGCGCTTCGACTCCACGCATTCTCTCTCTCCAGAAGCCGAAGCCTTGGAGAGAGCCCTCCGCTTTTGTATTTCCCATTGACACTCGTTTATGTAGGCCTCCAGCGCCAACCACCCCCACGTCCCTTGACTTGTTTGTCTTTGTCCCAGTGGTCGCGGGCAATCCTTTTGCTCGAATCGACAGAGCTCTTTTTTTTTCTAGAAAGTTTCCATCCGGCAGTACTCGACACTACCTTAGACCAGGGCAGCGAAACCCCCAGACAACCTCTCCCACCCGGCCAGGCGTAGGTAGCTGCGCGCATCGTCGGCACGGCGCTCGCTACACAAGTCCAACTACCATGCCATGGCTGCGTTCCATTCATTGTCGTCCGGCGCGACGCCCGGCGACGGCATGAGCCTCAATAGCGCCGTGGTCGACGGTATAGACTCTTCCATTTTTGACGATTCACTGCTGTAAGTGCCCTTCCCGTCCTCATTCAGCACTTGGCGAGGCTGGTAAGACGCAGCAAAGTCAGCTCCTCCCGTCTCGCCGGCACCCGATCGCAACCATGATATGAAAGTCAATTTGGCTAACACATGCCTCGCCTCCTCCCCTGTAGAGATACCGTCAATGGCACATTTCCCGCATTACCGTTCACGCCCACCTACGGCTTCGAAGACTTCTCCGCAACAGGCTTCGAAGACCCCTTTGCGTACTCAAATCGGCAGTACGAAGCACCACCCGCTCCCGAAGATTTCAACCAGGACTCGCCCACACAGGAGCTGGATAACAAGTTGCTCGGCTTTTCGGCCCCGACGCTGAAGGCGACGCTCTTGGACGGTACGGGCCAACATGTAGAACCCAGCATGACGGCCGAGCTGTACGGCATGTTCTTCGTCGCCGAGGACGTCTTTGGCGCCGAGAACAGCGGCCGGCCCCTCGAGTTGACGTGCTATCGGCGAAACCTGTGGCAGTGCTCTGGCCAGGTAACCATACCGCGACACATTACCCACGTGGTGGACGAGCAGGGCCGGCAGATGCCCATATTCGAGCTGTCCGCCTCCATAACCGCCATCGAGTCTATCGAGGGCAAGGTTACAGAAATCATATCAATACCTTGGAAGAGCGCGCATCCCATAGGCGCCGAGGAACCCAAATCCAATGGCGGACCGCCCAACATCGTCTTGGACCTAGCCAACGGGCAAGAGGTGGACGCGAACCGGATTTCCCTGCCGTTATCATGGAAAAGGCTACAGTTCAAGCATGCAACAGCGAATAACGGAAGGAGAAAGGGTCTCCAACAACATTACATTGTGGAAATCAGCTTGGTCGGCAAGCTGCAGTCGGGCGAATACATCAAGATTGCCGAAACCCACTCCGGCCCCGTCATTGTCAGAGGCCGCAGCCCGAGGAATTTCGACAGCCGGAAAGACATTCCCCTGACGGGTGGAGATAAGAAGGTTGGCGGGAGGAGCAACAGCGACGCTACCGCCGCGACGCCGCAGAAGGAGAATGGCGGCAACAGTGGCCTTCCCACGCCGATACCCAAATATCAAAATGTTGGGAACGTCCAACAACCAGCAGACTGGGCGCCGCCGCAACTCTACCGCGAGTCGAGCGGGGGCCAGCCGCCAGCAAAGAAGCTTGCCATGTCACCGGGTATCAACAGACCACCTATCCCGGCATGGTCTACAGAACCCTCGAGAAGCCTGGGCAGGGCATCGGCATCCATCTCGGCTCCGCGCGGTGCCATTTCCGGCCCGATCAACCTATCGCTTTCAGAAGACGAGAGGAGTCCGAATAGGTCAAATTCGGACGTGCAGAGCCCGCAGTTCACCAAATCGACGGCGGCTGCGGGCCATAACCCGAGCCAGAGTCCCAAGGAAGAGGACGATCTACTCTACGAATACTTTCCGCTTAGCGTCGACGACTGGTAAGGAACTCTAGAGTTCAGTAAACACTGCACGTACTAACATGTCAAACAGGATGCCGCCAGTCGAGGCAATCTATCGCCCCCACGTAGTCCACCACACCATTGTACCGCCGGAAATCAAGGCACAGCAGCTCCGGAGCAAGGCAAAGAGATATTTTACCGCCGAATCGTAGGATTTTATATATGGGAGCATATCTGATACGAATTGACGAAAGCCGCATTCATGTTCGTTCTTTTTTGTTTCACCCAATTCCTATGTTTGGTTTCCTCCATCTTTGGTTGTGTATTATACGGTCATTGTTACATGGGCCTGCCATTCTACCGGGAAGGCAGAGAATGGTTGGCGAGAGGGGCGGGCGGTTAAATGGCAAATTAGGTCTGATGCGGTTATACCCGAGTTGTAGGTGACGGAGACTCAAATACAGAAGTGTTGTTATTATAATCGGCTCAGCTTCTTTTCTGAAGGTCGAGTTTCCGTTCATCGCATTGCGTGCAACACAGTACTTGACATATCGCACGTACCAAGGACGCTGCAAAGTACGATGCTGTACGGAAATCTCTTGACATTTTGAGTGTCTTTTATCTCAACTACACGACCAGATCTGCTCTATCTGCTCTATCTGCCCCCTTACGCAACATCCAAGTGGACGTCAACCCCCATCCCAGGAGTTTATTGATTTCCCTTATACAAAACTTTCTTCTTTTGTTACTACCAAGTCATAAATCTAGGTCTCTTAAAAGTTTTCATCTGTTTCCTTTCCCTTTATTTGGCCGTAGTCTACTATGCTACATTCTGTTTAGGCCTTGTTCAACCCCAAAGAACCCTTCTCCTTTCCTACTGCAATGCGTCTTTAAATGGCATCTAGCGAGTGTAAAAAGATATCAATATGCTTACAACAATCTCAGATTGAATAGAAAAGAAAAAAAAGAAGAAGGAAGAAAAAGTGGTCTCTGTCTTTTCAAGCACCAACGGCATTAACCCTAGACATCATCTGCTGCTCCGGGTTCGGCGTCAACCGCCTCGCGAGCGCAGGCTCAGGGATCCTCGACGCCATACGATCCGGAACGAGCTCCGGCGTAGCAGACCTACTAATCGACGTCGAAGACGTCTGCTGCTGCTTCTCCGGATTGGGCGTCAACCGCCCCGTAACCGCAGCAGGGACCCCCGGGATCCGCTCCGCCATCCGGTCCGTCACGAGATCGGGCGTCACGGCGCGGAGCTGCTGCTCCGAGGGGGTCTTTGTGCGGGAGGCCATGCTCTCGAAGACGAGCTCGATGTCCGGGGACGTGGAGCGCGAGCGGACGGGGTACTCTGTCGCCGGGGAGGCGCGGAGCAGGCGCGAGGTTGTGGGCTGCGGGTGGAGGATGGTGGGCGTGTCGACCTCGTCGATGCGGGTTATTGGGATCGGGGGAGGGGATGGGCCGGTGCGGATTTTGGAGGGGAGGATTTGTTCGAAGCCTTGTTCGCGGGCTACCTTTTCGATGGATTTGAAGTACTGGGGTTTTGTAATCAGCCATCCAGATTTCCCTCCTTGGTTTCTTTGGAGTCTTACCTTGACCGTCTTGACTTGCAGCTCGAGCGTCGCATCCTCGTCTACGACTATCATGGGGTGAGGGTGCAGCTGCAGACTCGACAGCGTCCACATGTGGTTGACCCCTTGCTCGATACACCTCTGCAGCGCAAGCGCCTTCTTCGCACCCAAGATAATCGCCACGACCTCGCGCGCCTCGAGCACGGTCTGAACACCGACGGTGAGGGCCAGGCGCGGGACCTGGTCAACGTCGTTGCCGAAGAAGCGCGAGTTAGCGAGGATGGTGTCGTAGGCGAGCGTCTTGACGCGGGTGCGGGAGGCGAGGGAGGAGCCGGGCTCGTTGAAGGCGATGTGGCCGTCCTCGCCGATGCCCGCGAGGAAGAGGTCGATGCCGCCGACGGCCTTGATCTTGGACTCGTAGGCGACGCACTCGGCTTCGAGGTTCGGGTTCTGGCCGTTAAGGATGTTTACGTTTTGGGGGTGGATGTTTACGTGGGAGAAGAGGTGCTTCCACATGAAGGAGTGGTATGATTCTGGGTGGTCGCGGGGGATGCCGACGTATTCGTCCTGGGGTTGTGTTAGATGCGGCCCATGGAGGTCATTGTTGTTATGAGATATCCACGTACCATGTTGAAGGTGATGACATTTTCAAAAGAGATCTATGAGTACACATGTTGTTAGTGACCAAGAAGACGCTTGATGATGATGGTAGTTGAGAGACATGGTCCTACCTCTCCAGCCTTGTACTTCTGAACAAGGATCTTGTATACACCGAGGGGACTGCTTCCCGTGGGCAAGCCAAGCACGAAGGGATGCGCCGGTGTAGGGTTGAAGTGCTTGATGCGGTCAACGACGTAGTTGGCTACGTAGGCGCTGGCGGCCTCGGCATCGTCGCGGATAATCAGCCTCATCGTGGGGGTGGATGTGTTTACACGGATAGGGAAAGGTACAACGATACGATATGATACGAGGAGGTATAACGTATAGGGCAGAGATGGATACAAGGGCAAGATGGTAGTTGGACACTCTCAGGTATCTTCAGCTTTCGTATTGTGAGGACGGAGAGGAAAGATAGATACGAGAGGGGGGCAAGATGAAAGGTGCCTTTGCTTATGAGGGAGCAATTACACCCAGGTGGACAGACCAAAAAGTCTTTGCGGTTCGCCCACGCCCCTCCTTCGAGGGGGTTCTCCCCTCCCCGGGGCCCGTCTCGTCGCAAGAAGCCTGACATCACAGACTTTTGCGGCAACAAGCCCCAAAGTATGCTGATGATTTTCCCACCTCAACCCCGTTTGTGTGGTGGAGGGGGATGGAACGTCACTGCTATCGGCCGTGTTTGAGGAACAGAGTCCCACCACCAACCGGGCCGGCAGGGAGGGAACAAGTTGTACTGTACATTACATTATCAACGTTGCCCGTGACAGGTTTTTTTTTAATCGGCCGAGTCTCTCTTCCCAAAGGGATTGGATGTCGAAGCGCTCTCGACTCATGAACAGCGGAGATGGTGTACCAATAGGTCATGGTTTTGACATGATCATCAGCACTGTTCTGCGAATGAGAAGTAGGCTGATGAGGAGGAGTCTGGTGATGAGCAGTACCTTTTGTGATCGTCTTGTTGCAGGCAGGCCGTTTTTTCTCAGATAGCATATCGTCATTCACGATTTAGACTCGAGTTGAGCCGAGCTTCCCCGGGTTTGCCGGGCCAGGGTCGGGCATGTTCCTGTTTTCCCAGGCGGGGCGATGGTGGTGTTGAAGGAGCCATGTGGTCGGGTTCAATGACTCCCCAGCACCTAGCATGGGGAGGGGGCCCAAGCTTGGAATAGCTGCTTTCTGAAGCTTCTACTGTGTGGATGTTTCGATATCGGCGCGCACGGGGTGGCGATGGTGGTCGCTTGTCGTTGACACGGCCGGCGTCCGTGAACTCGGGTCTCCCCTCCTTGGCTCTTTGGAGGGCCCTGGGCTTTCTGCAACCTGGCGGCTGACGATTGATTGCATGTCACTGCATGCCAGCAGGGGTGGACGGATGGCCTAGTGTACGTCTGGAGGATGCCGTGCTTTGCATGCAACTGATACGTGGGGACTGAAGCGAGCGATCTAACGTAACGGGCATGGTTGCCGCCGGCCGGCTACTTTAGTGTACTGTAGACATCTCATGATACATAAGGTATAGAAGGACGGATACATAATTGATGAGACCGCTCGTCACTCGTGCGGTATTGTGGATGGCTCGAGCTTGAAAGGTCAGCGGCGGCTTAGTTGTTGGTTAATTAATCCTGTACCAAGTTGCCATAGACGTGGTGCTGTGGTGGAGGCCTCGGCATTGAGGATGAGGATTGGTCCATTGGATGAGACAAGAGGCCGGTCGAGATTGATAGAGGCAACCATGCAGGGCCGGTAGAGGAGAACGTGTCAGTGCAACGGCGCGGCTGGTATCGTCAAAGATGAAGCTTGATGGTAAGGTTGTGTATGGAGTCGTGGAGTCTTGGAGGTGTTGGTTGTTGCATGTAACTTTGGTAGTGGATCTTGACAATTTGGACAAGGTGTGAGAGAGTGGGGGATCGACCCTTCCTTGGGCTCCGAAAGCGCCGGAGTCGCTGTCCGTTTTCATCTGATCTTGGTCAGCCACACCACACTGTCCACTGAAGACACTCACAGCTTCCGCAACTACCAAAAAGCAACGTTACAACTGGAGGGGGCAATTCTCCTCCTCCATCCCATCTTGCCCATCACTTACTGTGCAGTAATGTCCACCTCACAGTCAACCAGCTCAATCACAATTTCAGACAGTGCCCGTCGCGTCTTGTTTAGCAGACACCTATCTACCTTAGTGCCTAGCTTAAGCTCAGTGAGAGGTCCATTGAGTTACCAATCCTTGGCTTCTTCCAGCGAGTCGCAATGCTTCGGCTCAGCATTTCGTCTCTCCTGGTTTAAGTTGCTTCTATCCAAGTGCCACTTGTGGCTGTTGTCTCAGGCTCACAGCGTACCTATAGGCTCTTAGAAGTCTCTATCATTTCCCTGCTGTATGGTACTCTTTCATCGTTGCATGCGCTCATCTCTCATCTACCGGTTAAGCTTAGGTTTCATTCCTCTCCTACTCACCCTCTCTTGTCTCTCTCACACATACTCTCACTCTATCCCCTGCAATCCAAGCATTCGGCCCCCAAGTGAATGTAGTGGGTTGGAGCATCGAGCCTGGACTGAGCTAGACCAGATGAACCAGCCCTTGGGATTACCGCGTGTCGCCCCATCGCCTGTGCGACGTTGAAGACAACCTAGAAGACAGTCTTCGCTCATTCCCGCTTCTCACCTTGCCCACTCACTCACTCACTACCTTGCCTCTCATCCAAGACACCAAGACACCGACCGGTCTTCTGTTCAGTGACCCATTGGTTGCTGGCCGGTGTCGCCATCGCCCTTCTCTCTCCCGATTGTCCCCCTCCCCACTTCGTCGTTGCTGTTCATCCACTGTCGTTCTTGTTGGATACGACGTCTCTGGGCTTCCACCGCCAACCCGAGCAGTAGAGCGAGGGGAGGGGACCGGCAGGTTCCATTCTCTGTTGTTATTCTGCCCTCCGTGCGGTGCGCCAGTCACCCTCTCGGGTTGTGCCTGTCGATCCGCTACCAGTCCGTCTACCGTTCCGCCGTGGAGTTCGTTTAAACGTTCGATCAGACATCTTTGCAACCCTCCACTACCTTACCTCTCACACTCTTCCTCGCTCTTTCTCTCTCTCACTCATACCATCTCACTCGCTTCATTCCATCTCAACGGCCTGTCTCCGGGGGACATGGCTCGTGCCCGATTCCGTTTATTTACAATCCGATACCTCGTCAGCTAGATGATCCGGAACCCGATTGTGACCTTCTCCGTTTCATAAACAAAAGTCTCTTAATGTCATGCAGCCATATTCACCTCCTACCATGGCCACGTTTCCAAAGTCCTTCCTGGCCGCCGTCGTCAAGCAGCTGCTCCGGGGCAAATCGTTGATCCAAGCCCTCCTAGCCTTCTGGCTCACGCCACAAACCGTCTCAGGGAAACCGACAACTTCAAAGGTGGATTGTTGCAGCACATCAGGGACGACGACGCCCTCGGGCCAAAGTATCGAGGAATACCTAAAGGAGGCCGAACACCTCCTCCTGGGGCCCTTACTCGACAACGATGGCCTCATCGAGTTATCCAACGCCCTCAAGGCGCAGTTCAGAGACAAGTTGCAGACGAGCATGGCCTGTATGCTCCCTTCGTACAACCACCAGCTCCCCGGCGGGCACGAGGTCGGTCAGTACCTGGCGGTAGACGTGGGGGGGTCGACGCTGCGTATCGCGCTGGTCGAGCTGCGGGGTCGTGACGCCGTGGGCCGGGAGAGCGAGATTGTGCGGATGAGTTCGTTCAAGATCGACAACGACATTAGGAACTTGGAGGGCATGGCCTTCTTCGACTGGATGGCCGAGAGGATATGGGACATGGTGTCACAGGACGGCCAGGACCCTTCACGGCCCATGCCCATGGCCCTGGCATGGAGCTTTCCCATCGAGTAAGTTCAGTCCTCGTTGCTAGGGAACGATCATTTCCAACCGGGCGAGAACTAACCATCTTCATAAAAGGCAAACATCACTAAAAGGCGGCCGCATCCACGGCATGGGCAAGGGCTTCCTCGCCGCCGAGGGCCTCATGGGCCAAGACCTGGGCGAGGTCATCGAGGCCGCCTGCGCAGCCAGGGGCCTGACGGGCACCCGGCTGCGCGTCATCCTCAACGACGGCGGCGCCACGCTGCTCTCCCAAGCCTACGTCCACCCGGCCACCCGCTTCGGCCTCATCCTCGGCACCGGCGTCAACATCGCCGCCTACCTCCCCGTCTCGCTGATCGGCAAGCCGAAATTCGGGGACCGCCCGCGGGAGTGGTGGAGTGAGGCGCGCGACGTCATCGTCAACACGGAGCTCGGCATGTTTGGCGGCGGGGGCGTCCTCAGCGTCACGCGGTGGGACGGGCTGTTGAAGCAGGGGCACCCGAGGCCCGATTTCCAGCCCTTGGAGCAGATGGTGAGCGGGTACTATCTCGGCGAGGTGGTGAGGTTCGCGTTGATTGAGGCGATTCGGTCGACGGGGGTGTTTGGCGGCGTGGTGCCCAAGTCTCTTGATGAGCCGTACTCTTTGAAGTCCGAGACGATATCTGCTGTTGAAGGGTAAGCTTGACTTCCGTACATTCACCCTTTTTAACGAATACCCCGCTAACGATACCGACAGAGATACATCACCATCACTCTCGTCCTCCATCGACCTCTTCACCACCCAACATCCCTCATCTCACACCCCCACGCCATCAGACCTCGCCGCCCTCCGCAGCTTAGCCTCCTTCGTCTCGAGGAGGTCGGCCGCCATCATCGCAGCGTGCCTGCACGCCGTATGGTCCCTCCGTCTCGAGTCTCTAGCCGAAGAAAACGAGACAAACGCAAAACGGACGGCGTCGACGAACCGGAATTCCGCAGAGGGGGACGAGGACGAGGACGCGGACCTTCTTCACCAGAGAATAGAAAAGGAAACCGCCCTGCCCCGGACAATGGTCGCCTACAACGGCAGTGTCATCGAGTGCTACCCGGGCTACCTGGCAATGTGCCAGTCGTACGTCGACGCGCTGGTCAACCGGGGCGACAGGAGCGTCGAGCTCGTGCCGGCGAAGGAGAGCTCGCTGTTGGGGGCCGGCGTCGCGCTGGCGAGGGCGTGTGATGGGACTGCGTAAAGAGATGATTTCTCACTTGGCGTCACGCGGGGCCTCCCGTGAGAGAGCCTATGTATGTGCGGACTGAGATATGGGAGGAAGATAGAGATGGTTTTGCACTTTTGAGTGGCATAATTTCTGACAGCATGCATGGCAAGGAGTAAAAACATGGCTTATTCTTTTCTACAAAACGTATATAATCATAAAGCATTTCAATCAGCTCAGTAGCCTCATCATGTGTGAAAATTTTCATCTCATTATTTGAATTTTTGGGGGGTATCATCACTCATTTCCCGTCTCTCTATGGCTCTGAGCAGACGCATCTCAGAAAAGCCAATCTTTGCTTCTCAGCACACGCCTTACTCCTCATCGTCATCATCAACAATCTCCTCCACCTTGCGCCTCTTCCTCCCTGCTGAACGGCCTCCCTCCCGCTTCACCACCCGCGGCTCGTCACCATCTCCGTTCCCGTTCGACTCTTCACCCTCTCGCTCTTCTTCCTCCTCCTCCCGACGGCGTTGCTGCTCAAGAGCGCGCTTCATTTTGCGCAGGATAACTGGATCGTCAAAGAAGTCGTTGAGAGCGATTTCCTATGGTAGTCCGCGTTAGTGACTGAAGAGCACTTTTTCTATGAAATGGGGAGGGCACGTCTCCATCGAGACTTGAAAAACAAGACGTACCTTGGAACAACCAGCCACGGGACACTGCGCGCGATGACCCGGCGACCTACGCAGGAACTCTGTAATCGCCGCCTTTTCAAACGTGTGGCTGCACGCGCTGCTGCTGACGGGCTCCTTGAACAACTGCATGGACAGCGGACACCTGTACTCCCTATTCTCTCCAGCAATAACGAGGTCGTCGTCGCTGTCGTCTGCCTCCGCGCCCCCCGCAGTTGCCGCGGCTGATTCGCCATCACCGCTGCCGCCTCTCCGGGATACGGCAGGCATGACGGGGTTCCCGGCATCGTCGAACCAGCGCTTCGCATTGGGTAGGGAAACCTCAGCGTCGCCGTGCGCGGCATCGTGCCACAGCTTCTTGAAGGCGGCGTAGTCGTTGTTGACGGCGTAGCGCTGGTAGGCCGTCATGCGCTCGTACTCTGTCAGCTTGTCGGCGCGCTGCTGGCGTAGTATGTCGATGACGGAGTACTCTGGCGGCGGCGGTAGCACGCTCTCGTCCGCTGCGTCGTTGTCGTCCTCATCTGCGTCGCCGCCGCGACCGTTGGCCTGCGCTCGTGTGCGCCCGCCGCGTTGGAGAGGCGCCTGCTCGGGGAGCGTCTGGAAGTAGTTGACCGTGTCCGCGAGCGCAGCCTTTTCGTCGAGGAGCTCCGTCTGCCTGTCAATCAGATCGCGCAGCGCGGCCTCGGCCTCGGCCGTCAGGCGGGGGACCTCGTCGTCCAGCGCGGCTGTATGCGCTTCAACGTCGAGCTCGCGCTGGGACTTTTCCTGGCTGTCTAGGCTGTCCGTCTTGCTGTCCGCACCCTGTGACTGCGACTCGGCTCGCTTCTCGGCGAAGCGGGCGAGGGCCTCATGCCGCGTGCGGACGGCATCGTTGATGCCGACAACGGAGAAACCAAGATGTCGTATCGAGGCTTTCAGGTGATTTTCGTAGCGGTGGACGTCGCGGCTGTTGGAGAGGTCTGCAATGGCGCGCTTCGCTTCCGCTGAGAGCGGGCAGGAGAGGGGTTCGTATTCTGGGAGGGGGTTCTGGGGACCGGAGTCATCGTCTTCGTCGTCGGCGATACGTCTTTCTGGGCGGCGTTGGCCTCTGCGGCTTAGTACGGGCATCTTTGCTGAGGGCGCTGGCTGATTGAAGTCGCTGTGTCTAGGAGTTCGAATGGTAGTGTATGTATAGAGCGTAGGATGCGGGTGGATTTATTGCTTTCGTTGGTCGAACCTGGATTCTGAGCCTCACCGGCTTCAAGGATGGGAAATTTCGTGGAAGTGAAGTGGGAGACGCGATTGACGTGCTGTAGCGCGTCTGTAGGTTAAAGAGGTGCCGGGTACGTACCGTCCGGGGTTCCTTGATCGCGGGGGTAGTCCCTGCAGCACCAAAGTACACTGACACACTTCTAACCAACGTCGTCCATCTTCTGGGACACTGGAACTTTCTTCCTTCCACTTTACTATACAAGTATCTTAAGAAACACAGATTGCTATATCTATCGTCTAGGCAGTTTAGCCTTAAATCCAGGCTCCTATGGTTCTTCGTGATGCTCCTCTGCCGAAATTCCTCGGACGGTTTGAAAGTACCCGCAGCAATGAAGTGTAAGTACACCGTAACCAAGTGATGGCCCGGCTTTATTCGAAAGCGAGGAGGGCCCTTATGAGCAAACCTAGCGAGGATGGTCTAGAGGGTCACTTCATTAGTCGTATATGAGTTTGACTATGACTTCCGAGCCTCCACACATCACAGAAAGCTTTTGTTTTATCGGCTCATCAACACCAGTATCAGTAGCAACAAGTACTTAGTAATTTCCCCTTTCGGAACCTCTACTACCGTGCCTCTCCAACCTTACACAATAGTAGTCACGACGTATTGTTTGGAATATGCTCTTTACTAAGTGGAGGCAAATTTCTCGCCGAGATGACAGTTACAGTCACCGCACAGTTGGAGTCATATGCTGTCAACCTGAACCAAGGTCTACTGAGTAGCCCCTCGCAGGTGATGTTCCAACCCTTCGGATCACATGCTCTTATGTTAGAGTTCCTCTATTACAGGACCTTCAAGAGATTTAGAGCTCTCTCTTCTGTCTGGGAAAAACAGCTAGGCCAAACCAAAGCCAACAGGGCAGTCTAGCTCGTAGTGCAATACTCAGAGTATCCTTCTTTGCAACGCAGTAGATAATCGAGAAGCATATTCCCAGAACCATCAAGTATCCGTGGAGAAGAACTGGCAACATGACAGCCGGGATTGCGTGTTTTGGACTAAGGCGAGGCCATCAAGATCCTGAACATTCGAGGGATATCCCAAGACGCTACGCCTCTTACGCTGTTCACCTTTTCGAGGCACAAGGAGCTACTTTTACCGCTCAATATGTGCCCGCTTCATAAAAGTAAGTACCTTTAGAGTCTTACGTTCATATCTTCTAGGAGACCAAGACCAGTGAGCCATGCCGAATGAGAGAGTTTGCTGCGTCCTGCAAGTTTCCAAGCCATGAACATCTGCGAATGCTAGGCGTAGCACCTCAGCTCATCGTAATGAAGTACAGTAACGTCTGTAGAAAAGACATATTGCTGCATTCCCCCTGTTCTTGTTCTTATGTTTCACATCACCGTTCTCAAAGGCCAGACAGGGTCAAGGATTTCGAGGTACAAATACTGTTTACCGATATCAAGTGCCTCAAAGTCTTCTACAATAGACAAAAAAAGCAATTAAAGAACCATGAAGTGGGGATTTCAGTATGAGACTGACAGCCTTTAGTCTTACTGTGGCATCCAGGAGACGTAGAAGCAGAACCCCTCTCCTCAGATGTGCCTTGCATTTGACGAAAGCCTAGCTCAGCAAGATCATTTCACCAAGATTCAAAGAGCCTTAAACTCAGCACCTATGCAAGACTGCAGTTCAGTTGCCTCGACAGCTTAGCCAAGGACACATTATGTCTCTCCTGATGCCTCACAGAAACGCATAAGCTATCTGGCTATAGTGACCACCGTGGGTATCTGTCTAGAACCCGCATGGGACTTTGAGGAAGTCAAAAAATGTTCAAGTCCTACAGTCAAGTCAAGTTCGGTCGTTGTCGAACCACCTCCGTCGTCACGCAGAACGTATCCGTCTCTGAATACGATGTGCTGCGTGGGTAGTAGTAGTGAATAGCGTACATCGCTATTGTCATCCACCCTTTGTATGCTTCGCGCACAGAGTTCAGCTTGGAGTCAATCGACACACTTCGGCGACACACTTCTCATAAAAGCTTTTAAGTCAATACTGCTTCTATCCCAGCTTCACAGACCACCTTGTCTTGAAAGGGGCTAACCTAAGTTTCACAGCATCCCATTCATAGTCAGTGAAAGATGGGAGGTATTAGATAATTCCTGAAAAGAACGGTCCTACATCAAGGAGATTCAAGTCAACTCTGAGTCCTCTAAAACGATGTCAAATCGAATAGCCACTTGCCTTCCACAGTGTATAAGAAATTCTTTCAGTCAAGATTATCAAACCGAACATACCATTGCTTCTCAAAAGCCTTATTCCCTGTACAACTTCATCCAGAGATGAGAGACATATCAAGACCCATCACAAACAGGTTTTGGACATAAGTAGACTCGAACTGTTAGGTGTATGTGAACAACATCTTTGTACTCAAGCTTACACAACGAATTTTACATATAAAATACCCCCTCCCCCCCAACCCTCAACCCCTTCTCACACTGTGAAGGTAGCCCTCCTAAGCACACCCCCTCCACCTACTCACCGGTAGCCCAGCACCAAGACTGGGGACACGGCCGAGAAGGATATACATCTATATATATCATGGAGTGGGTAGCCCATGCACATCATCAAAACCACCCGCCGCCCACCCACCCCCTATGTCGCCTGTCAACGGTCACACAGCCCCCCAAGTACGGATACCTCAAGCCTGGAAGACATCGTCAGCTACCTGCCGGCAAACGGGGACTCGTCCACCCCCCTCCTCGCTCTGAGGTCTCCCGTCTCTCGGGAAGGCGACGGTGATCGATGGCCTTTTCGAGCCAACTTCTCTCTCCCTTCCTTCTGTCCCTCCCATTCATGCCTGTCCACATGCTTATCTCGGTTCCACGATGATTGGAACACACCGAGTGTTCAGCGATCTGACATGTCCCCAAGAAGGGTGACACTGGAGATGGAGTCAACCATCGCCTTCAATCCTCGAGGTCTTCACGCTTAATACCTACCCGACAACGATGTTGACAGCAAAGATCCAGTTCAGAGAAACGACATCCCAATAACTCCTCTCACCGTCCCACGAAATGAAAGAACCATCTCCGTCTTCTATTTCCGTTCTCACCGGGGAAGAATAAAAGAAGGCGAGAGAAGGAAGCGGAGCCCGCGCGGGGAGAAAGCAAGCTGGATGCCGGTGCCGGGCTTGTGGTGCTGTGTCATTGGGAGATATCGCAATCCCCGTGTAAACGAAGTCAACCATTTCCGAAGGGACACTCCACACCCGTCAAAACGGTTCTTAGGTCCTGGCAGACAGGTGGATGCCCTCCTCTCCCCCGATGACGAAGACCCGGGTCTCTTGAGGGAGGCCAAGATAAAGGTCAGCCGTGCATAAGATTCATAATCCAAGTGCGCCGACCACTATGTTCAAGCAGCGAGGTCGAGATAGTGATATTCATGCCTCCTTATATACCGACTTACACAACATCTCTGCACAACTTCCCGCCCCACCCCACCACCCTCAGAATGACCCAAACCTGGAACCTTCATTTTCAGAAAGGGAACCAGGTTTCGTAGGCAAAACCATAACCAGCAACCCGGTATTCGTACCCGTCGTAACTTCCGACAAAAGACCCCCCCTCTCCCCCCTTCTCCCCTCCCCTCCTCCCCAAGCCCCAAGGTTTCCAGAGCCCACCAATATTGACAGACACAGCCACATCAAATCTCAATGAGAGTTCACTTACTCATCTCACTCTCCGGAGGGGGAGGTGGGGAGGGCAGAGGAAGGGGGTTAAATTGGAGTTGCTTCATCCTTTCTTAGACATCGACAACATCTCCACACCACACCCGCGGAGGCGGGAAAGACGATGGCCTCGAAAGGGGAAATCACTGAATCCACCCTGATAGCCCTCCCGTAATGTTACCAGTGTAACGGTAGCACTAAGCAATTTTGACAGGACCCAGAAAGGCAGCTTTCGCTTCCGGGCCGTGAGGGTCTCGAAGGGATTTCAGATGTCAAGCCGCAATTAAAAAGCTTGGTGGGTTGACCAGGTACGTCGGGCATTCACGAACTCGCCTCGTCGGGCCCGAAGAACCCTTGCGGGACATGAATCTCCGGCCGAATCCAATACACCAGCCAAGCGGGCAGCAAAAAAAACACGATGAACAACGCGCAAAGAGTGGTGACGAAGAAGTTTCCTGTTTCATCCGACAGGTTATTTTGTACTAAACACCAGAAAAAAGATGTCCAAAAAAGACTACTCCGGGCCACGCTCTGTATGCGCTTTATATGCCTCAGGAGAGATGCAACCGTTTGTAAATGTAAGCTTATACAATGGGCTTTCGCCCGAAAAAAAAAACAAGCTGGGCGTGAACTGTAAGGCCACAGCTTTTTCATTTTTTTTTGCCCTCCAGTTCGAATATGAAAACCTCCCTCCTCCGTAGAGCCTTATTGTAATGAATCTCTCAATCCATATACATTGGATCCCCTCTCACCTGTGACATGGCCAGTCCCATGTCACCGCCATGCATGCTCTGCATCGTAGCTTGCATATTCGGCATCGACCGGCTCATGTTGATTGCTTGCCGATTCCCATTGGGATTCCCGTTCTGCATCATGAACCGCGCGTCGCTCGCACCCCTTTGCTGGACCTGCCTCGTCCGTGGCACCTCGAGAGTGGCTTGTCGTTGAATCGGCTGCTGGGGCATGGGCTTCGCAGTGGGCGTGTTCATGACGGCAAAACTGTCATCATCCTCCATCTCAGCATCGGCGTCGGCGTCGGCATCCCCATCCGCATCGGCATCTTGATCGCTTGCCTCGTCAATCGAAGGCGGGCCTGTTGAATCACCCGGGTCGCTATGGCCAGTGGCGCTCGTTGTCGACTGCCGATGCTCGGGGCTCGGGAATTGTTGTACCTGCTGTTGTTGCATTTGCTGCTGCTGTTGTGCTGCCTGCATCTGTTGGTGTTGTTGCGGTTGCTGTTGCTGCCCTTGCTGGTTCTGTTGTTGCTGTTGCTGCTGCTGCTGTTGTTGAGGAGTCGGCGTCGGCGTAGGGGTGCTGTTGTTTGCTTGGTCCAGTGCCCTCTGAGCATTCATGCCCGTATTGGCGACACGGTTCATGCTGATTACCGTCTTCCACCTCTCGATTGCCCGCACAACAACGTCGTTCAGATCCAATTGCCGATCCTCCAATCGCAGTCCAACGTGGCGGCTTCCGCTCTTGATACCTGCCTCCAAAACGTGGGTGAGAAGCTGCCGCTCCAGGGGCACCGTGGCCGGCGAGAATAGCTTAAACTCTCGGGGCTGTTGGAGACGGTTGAGCTGGTCGATCTGAGACTTCAGGTTGGCGTTCTCCTGCTGCAGCCTGTGCTGGTCATCCTTCATCTTGTCGATCTCCGTTTGCTTCCTGCCAACGCTCCTAGCCATTTCCAAGAGCCACAGCTCGTTCCGCCGCTGAATAGGCAGAGAAGACCAAACCTGGAAAGCTGATGCAAGGTGCTCATTCACCTGCTTCTCGAGGTTTTCCGCTGACTTTTCCGCTTTCTTCACTGCTTCGCGGGTGTCTCTGACGGGTTGATCCCGAGGAGGATATGTTAGATCTTCCATAGCTGCCGTAGTAGCAGTCGCGCAGGTAATTTTCCAGTTACTGAACTCTTCTTGGAAGAAAGCCTTCAGAGCATCATACTCTCTTTGACCGGGTGACTGAACGGACCAAGAGGTGGAAGTGGGATGCTGGGTAGAGGAGAAGAGAGTGGGCGGCGAGGCGAGGCATTGCAAGGTCAACGCAGGAAAGTCGAGGGCTAGAGGGTCAAAGTCGAAAGGCATGGAGTTGTTGTCGATTTGTTGCCTAGAGTAGCCAGGGTTAGCCACCATAGATTACTTTCCCCAATTGTTCACTTCTGTTGTTTGTCAGAGAAACTCACTTGGCTGCCCTCCACGAGCTTAACAGCTCTCGTAATGCAAGCTCTGCCGCGCGAGCAGTATCCATGGCATCTGCTAGCTTGTGCTTGACGTCGAACTGCGCCTTTTGTATGACTTGCTTGCTCACTTGTCTCGGTCTCTTTCCTGCATTTTGGCTGCCCTCGCCATCGGTCGAGGTACCAACTTCGCCGTTTTTGGCGGGGATGTTGTTCATGACGCCAGTGGCTTCCCATGAGGGAGTCCAAGGATATTTGCTCAGCGTAGAGTCCACGGCGTATTGCCCGTCCTTTGGCAGAGCCGGGGACTTGTGAGAATCTCCACTATCTGGCGCAGCATCTCGCTTGGCAGTAGGTCTAGGGGTCGTGGCTGGGGTTGAGGCGTTCCTCCCGCCCAAGGATCCTCTCGGCTGTCTGCGTGTGATGCTTCCTCGCAGACGCTTGATTGCGTCCACGTCGTGGATTCCATCTGGCGGCTTGGGGTTCTTTTCCTTGATGTAGAGATCGAGGTGTCGACCGAGAGAGGAGGACGTAAAGGCCTGGCCGCAGTAGGGGCAGTTCTTATCCTTGGGGGCGCCTAGTTTCTGTTGGCTCGAGTCGGCGTTGCTCGCGGTTTCGGCCATTTTTGGCTCGGGGTGTTGGATGTAAAGAGACGGGTGGGCAACGAGTGGTTCGAAAGGTTTATCGACGGTAGGGACGAATTCGTGTTCGTTTCAGTGAGGGTGCTACAAGGCTTCTCTTGCGTGAATAGACACTTGCAGCTGCTCCAGGGGAGCTATGTAATCGAGGGTCATATGTAGATGGACCGGGTAGAGAGTGGTCGGAGGCGAAGCCAGCAAAGTTTAAAGTTGGTAGATAAGGTAAGGAAATGTAACGAGTGGTGTTGAGGACAGAGTATTTAGATAGGCAAAGAGAGTAGTAAAAAGAGGGAAGTAATCAAGAAAAGAAGGACTAGATGCTGAAGAGCTAAACGAGTGTGCGAAGAGAAGGAGGTCGGTGGGAGATGTCGAGAAGTAGCTGCTACCCTTGTACGAACAGAGGTTTACTGAACGCAAGCCAATCCTTGTGACGAAGAAACGTGTATATCGGTCGTTCACGGAGTCAGGTATGGGAGAGGTTCGGGGTCGGTTCGAGATGTGGGCGAGAGCTAAGGTAAGGTAGCGAGTCGGGTTGACGGAGGAGGGCAAAAAGTAGGATGCCGGGTATTAAGGAAGTAGTAAAATCTTTTCCCCGGACTTGTCTCTCTCTCGCGCGCTCTTTCTCTCGGTCTCTCGATCTCTCTTGCCGTGCAGGTTCTCAATTCATCCGTGGACTCTCGCAATCTCTCGACCTCTCTGCAAAAACGAAAAGAGACGAAGAGGGGGTGGGTGGGAAAACGGCAAAGGACGGGAGGTGGAAGTAAAGTACAGAAGAGTAAGGGGAAGTTGCAAAAATGTCACCCGGGATTTAATTATTGCAGTTTTTTTTAATAAGGCAGGCGGGCAGGGGTAGCACCACCGACCCGCGCCAGAAAAGGACGGCGAGGTGGGAGCTTTGGCGCACCCTAAGGTAAAGGTACCACGGATGCTTAGGTACACCTCATTATATGGTACGGGGCGAAGAACTGAGGTGCACCCCCCATCTTCTCTACATACCCACCTTACCTCACACTAAAGCCATCCCTCCTCATCCCTCATCCCTCACTCATCCCATCCGGGCCATCCCAATCCCAATCCCAATCCTATCCTATCCTATCCTGTCTATCCACCATGACCAGCAAGCCAGCTCCTCGCTCCTGTCCGCTTTCCCCCAGATTGCCGCCAGTTTGCAGGTGCAGGTGCAGGTGCAGGTGCCCTGGTGGCCAGGTGCACAGCGCGCGCGCGCAAGCTGCAAGCACAGACGGAGCCAAGGACGGCCCAGATGCAAGCCCCCCCTTCACAAGTTCACGGGCTCAAATGTCCAGGGCCGTACGGTGGTCCCACCTCTGCGCCGGTGCTCTTTTTTTTTCATACCCATAAACACCTTTTAATAGCCATTCACTGCACCTTAATAGCATCTTAGCACACTGATCTACCTTAGCATTAAAATAGTTGGAATATTGACTTGGTGAGTTAGGTAATGTCCAATGACGCCTCACGAAGCTGGCTGCGTCAGGGAGGCGAGCCGTAGGGTCCCATCAGCCAACGGGGAGAGGAAACGTATTCCTGCATCTCCTCTCAACCTAGGTAGGTCTCCAAGGTCGAGGCCAAGTCCAAGGCTGTACTGCGTACCATCCATGACAGATATCCCAGCACACCATAATCAGCCGCCTCGCGCCTCAAAGACAAGGTGAAGAGAGAGCTCAAGCTATCGATACTTTACTTCGCTACGTGTCGGGGGACACCTTACCTTAACTCTACACCGACTGCACACCACCATTGCAATCCATAACATCTCAAGCGGCTTTGCCTTTTGGGGTAACATGGCTAAATTTTCACACACAGAGTTCAACCGAGAATCCCTCCTCCGCGGAGCAGCTCTATCTCCAAATGCTCCATCGACGCGCTCTTGTTGGTCCAAAGTGCCCACCAACTCCTCAACTCGGCATCTCTCCAGAGAGCCAATCAAGAGTCCCCTAAACCTACCAAGCACGCGATGTGTTGAACTGGGACCCAAACTCAGTCCTCGATGTCAAGACCATCCCGCTTAGGACGTCTCCTTGAGCCGCCGTCATTCCAGCGTCTGGTGGCTCTCTCACATGTCCCGTCGCTTGTTCGCTTAGTGTAGTGCTGATCTGGCCCGCGGAAAGGAGAGGGACAGCCCGGCACCGCCCTGTGCATCAGTGCTACTGGTCTAGCGCTGTCGTGAGGGGTGTACCGGGAACTTTTGCCTCGAGCAAGCTTGCTGGTCGTGTCTCTTCCACGTCGTCTCTTGTCTTGTCTTCTCCCCCTCGGGTCCCGATCTGAACCACCCAGACAAGACCCTTTAGCAATTGCGGAAATATTTCTTCAACCTTGCCGAGCTGCCTCATTGAGCCAAAATCGCGTTGGGCAGCCTGGCCTCTCTCCGACTCTCTGACTCGAGCCCGTCCTTAAGGGGCCCCGGGTTTGCAGCTTGTCATTGCGAAAGAGCTCCAGTATCCATCCAGAGGCCACAGGCTTGACAGCCGTCGATGGTTGTGACTCGTGAGGTAATTAGCTGAGGGTACGACCCAATGGAATCCACGGCACAAACGTTCAATAAAACGCAAAGATGCCCAAAGCCAATATTTCGTCTGGTCCAGTCATAGTGGTGCTCTTGCTCCAGTCTCCAGATACCACCTTTCAACTCACCTCATGCCCATCCTCACCGCGTTGGACAAATCCTGGCTAGACTGGTCGACCGACCGGGGCGCGGGTTGGCATGCCCGGTTCGTTTCTTTAGGCTCCTGGGGTCCCACAGACTCCCACTGGCTTGTATCCGATCCATTTTTCAGGGGGTTTCCGGGAGATCATCCAGGGGAGCCGGTGAAGGACCTCGTGCTAACGGCGCCGACGAACCTCACAAAGTTCGTCTCATGAACATTGCTCGCGCAGCATGTAGACGTCCTGGAACTGCATAGAGTAAGGCAAGACAGCTGGCCTTCATCAGCTTCTGTCAATGTCGGCAAGAGTTTGTTTCGACGAGAGACGGCAGGATTCCACACGTAAACAAGGCCGTGTTCTGCCGAATGTTTGGCCTTGGCTCTTGTTCCTCTCCGCTCCGTGTGTTTGACCCGGGGATACCATCCGGTGTAAAAGGACCCCGTTTTCCTGCATCTAATAATGGGGTTGGCATTTGCAGGACGCGACGCAAGGACTACGGGACAGATAATCGCGTCCAGGCCACTCATCCTCGAGCTTGCGGCGGCGGCGGTTCCTATCGCCCGCTGGTGCTGGATTCGCTGACGCTCCCGGTCCTGGTCGTCCCCTGGAGGCAGGTCGTCTAGTGTAGCCTCCCGCAGCCGCAGCATCTTGGGTCAACCTTGTCTGTCTGGGACCGTCTCGTACGGGCCCCATAAAGTCCACCGAGGAGGTCGACTCAACTGCACACCAACCAACGTTAGCAGCCTGCAGGACACCGATAATTTCCCGCCGCCTCTTGTACGGCAGCTGAAGCTGACACTCAGCGCCACGGCGTGTTTGGCCCTGATCCAGAGCAATAGGCACTCGCTGGCCCGTTCTTCGACCTTAAATGCCATAACTTGGCATCAACCGCCCTGGATTTGACGCGAGGGAGAAGCGAAGTAGTTCTGTTGGTCGATTGGGACCTTGCAGATGATCACCGAGCATGGCTGGCACTTGCCCACCAGCTGCAAAATCGAGATCCATGTCTTTTGGCGCTTGCCTAAACCTTTTCCAGAACGTCTCGTTGGTTGTCGTATTTGAACAGCAAATCGCAACCCCTTTTGCACTGCAGAGATTTTGATGAGATGCAAATTACGCTTCTGCAGTTACATGCAGATACGCTGCACATCGCGTCGTTTTTTCTCCGTTGGTTGGAGCGGCACAGTCTTGTTGGTGCCGAGAAGCGCCTTGCGCAGGATAAAGTAGCAGTGTCTGGCAGATCGCAGCGAGCTCGCTGGCAAAAAATAGACCTCGGTGTACATCGCAGATGCATTCTTCTACTTGGATCGGCTGTCGTCGATCATCAGATTAGCCGCGCACGAACTCGTGCGATTTGCCGTATCCAGCACCCAACGACTTTGGCAAGGGATGATTGCCGTTGAGTGAGGTAATGACGCAAACTTTGACCGGACCAGCTTGCATTGAAAATAAATACAATCAGCTCATCGGCTGCAGCCGGTGTCAATGTCGTAATGATCAAGGCCCCGCGATGCAGCGTGTGAGATGTGAAGAATTGGCAGGGTCAACTTGGGGAAAAAGTTGTTATTTGCTCAGAATTTGTGCGGCAAAACGGGACATTGAATTGCTTGCTTATCCCGGAAGCTTCCGATCGAGGCGAGAACGTATCAGTGCCTTCCTAGAATTGACTCTCTGGTATCCTACTATATCAGCGTATAATGGAAGGTACTACATTGCATCAACTAAGGCAAGGTACCTTGAGGGAAGGACGTAGGTGGGTAAGTTACAAACGGGAGGAAGATTCAAGACGGACCTTCCAGGTTGGAGCTTGGTCCACGGGTTCGGAGCTCCACATGAGCTCCTTCTGCCGTCAGTGGTGGGTACTCAGAGGATGGGGGCTCCCGGACTTGCAGGAAAGCGCCGGAATTGGTGGCGGCAGGTATCCGTTCTTTCTCCTCCGTCCGGAGAAGTGGCTTGTACTTATAGATCACGTGATGGGTGAGCGCCACAATTGGCTGTGACGTGAATCTGCTCCAGCCTCTTGCTACCTATATGCAAGAGTTGGGGCAGCTTCCGGTATTTGCGCGTAGTCTCTTTGGCATCGCATCGCAGCTTCCTTTCACGTTGAGTCTTGCGCAACCTTCTGTTTGCGCCCATTCATGTCGCTTCTGCCTAGACGAGCTGCGTATACACCTCGGAATAAACAGTCCCTACACAATGCCTCCCGGTAAGGCCTTACCTTTTCGAACTTCACCCCACGCGCCACTAGCAAAGTCGCGTCGAGATTGCGACAACACACTTCACGACGCGAATCCTCTACCAGTTCTCCATACAACGTCACAATGCCGCGTCGCAAAGCGAACAAGGGAAAGAAACCCATGAAGCTGACAGCTCCTATAGCTATTAGCGATGATGAGATGTCCGACGCCGGCGGCGAAATCGCTATCCCGCTCAAGGAGAAGCGCGCAAAGAGCCGATCCGCAGAATACCGAGACGATGTTAGCGAAGCGAAGAGCGAAGAAGACATTCCCATCATCTCCGGCGATTTGAACGGCAACGCCACCAAGCCTGCTAAGGCTGCCTCTGTCGTGGCCGATGAGGAGGACGAGGAAGGCGACGAAGACGATGATTTGGAGGCTGATGAGTACGCTACCAATACCAAACGGCTTTGCTCGGACAAAAGGGCTGACCGGCCATAGGTACGTTGTCGAGAAGATTCTTGACCATCTGGCTTCTGACGACGCAAGTGCCCCTCTTTTGTTGATAGTGCGCCTCGATACTAACGCTTTTTGTAGGGCACCGTGACCTTCCGTGTTAAGTGGGAAGGTTACTCTAAGAAATCAGACCAGACCTGGGAGCCGGAAGACAGCCTGAAGTAAGCTTCAAACTGTGATCTGCGAACGACGCCAACTTTGAAATGACTCCTAACACATTACCAGGGAAGGCGCATCAGAGATCTTGGAAGAATACCTTAAGAAGCTCGGTGGACGCGAGGCACTATTTGTGGAGAAGACCAAGGCCAAGACCACGAAGAAGCGCGGCCGCCCCAGTGCTTCGTCATCTACACCGCCGGCAAGCAGCAAGAGAGGCAAGCGCAACGGCCACCCCGCCGAATCTACTCCTCCCGCGTCAGTAAAGGAGGCAAAAGCAAAGGCCTGGACACTGCCCAGCGGCAGCTGGGAGGATGACGTCGAGTCGATCGATGCTTGCGAGGACGAAGAGTCAGGCTCCATCATTATCTATCTCAATTGGCGAAACGGCCAGAAGACGAAGCATCCCAAGGAGGTGGTGTATAAGAGATGTCCCCAAAAGGTATAGTCCCATGTATCTCGGCGCAACACGAGATGATGACGCTAACGGATACTTAGATGCTGCAATTCTACGAAAAGCACATTCGCATCATCAAGGCGGGACCTGACGCCGATCTTCCGGACCTTGATACCGCGCTCGAGGCCAAGATGTAGGACACGAAAAAAAGAGTGCCGTTTGTGGATTTTATTGGGAAAGGATTGGCGTTTGGGCTCGTGATACATCTGATATCATTAGCAGGTTCTCGAGCGCCGCTGGCGTGGCTTATGCTCGTTGCGATATTTGCACGCTTTCAGTCATCGGAAGAAGTCTCATCAGGCCGTATCTAAAATCTGGTCGAAGGCGATTCGGACGGCCTTGCTATATCCTTATTGCGACTGAATTAGCGGGAGGAGGTATGCTTCACGGTTCTGCTTCGTAATTTTGGGAGAACAGAAAACCACAAGTTCCTCTGTTGATCCGAATTGCTTCAGGTGATGCGTGAGGCTGCCCTTTGTTGTCTCCGTAAAGGACGGTGCACATCTTACATTCCCAAAATGCCAACGCAGCCTGGGCGGGCAGGAACTTCTCGGCGTTCATATAATACGACTGAGCAACATGATCTCAGAGTCGTGAAAGGCACTTCATCCATGTCAATAGGCGGGTGCCGCCGAGTGCTAGATCCAGGTACGATGCAGGTACAGCTCAGTCATGTCCAAGTAGCGCTTTCAAAGTCACGACACGCACAATTTTAAGGGAAAGAGTACATCCGACCCCTCCCCAACACGGAGAGGCTTACTGCGACAAGGGTAAGAAACCTGCATGTTGCGAGTCCGCGAGGTTGGGTAGTGGAGGACGTCGACAACAAGCCCGTCGGGAAACTCCACTAAAAAGCAGCTTTACATCCCTGCATCGCAGGCGGTTGGGCGAGTAGGAAAGCCTGAAAGTCGCGGTAGCGTTGTCGCGGAATTCTGTCCAGGGTGGTGGTGGTGGTGGTACTTGGTGGTGCGGCGCGCGGCCCAGCCTCTCGCATTTCTGTTGACTTTCGGGTTTTGCGGCTGGGCGGTCGACCAGCTTTGGGAAAGCTGGTGGCGGGGCAACGCTTCTTTTTAACGTGAGGCTTGCCCGCGCTGCATTCCTCACCATTCTCAATTCCCCTCCTCTCTTTCTTCTGATACACTGCATATCCCCATTGCGAAAAAGGGTTCATTTGATTGATCTCGAGGTTTCTTTCACCCCTCTCCTCCTCATCGTCGTCGACTACTCCGTAGTGAACAATCCCGTTGTCCACTCTGGGTCTCTATCATCAACCTTTACCCACATCTCGGACCCATACATCTCGGCACTTGACGAATTCCCGGCAGGGAACTTGAGCTGCTCATCCACGGATTGAAATTTCACCTATCCGTCGCGAACGACAAATCCTCAGCTTCCAACTGGAATTCAAATCGAGGACAATTGTCTGACAGGCCATCCCAAAGGCACAGACAAAAAACCTCGGGCCGTTGAAAGATACCACCAAACTCAATCGTCCTCCCGAGACCACCACATTCCACGGCGTCTCCGCCCAGACCCCTCCGTGTCTCTCTTCCTCCTCCTCCCAGCCACCGGGCTCTCCACACACGCTGTCCCCCGCACCGCTCCACACCGGCGCCGGGCTCACTCCCACAACCCCCACCAAAAAAATCATCGCGGCCGTTGGAGCTCCCGTCAGCTTCACACTCAAGAACCGCACAAGACCAAAGGACGAACAGTCCTAGCTAGCAGCCATGGTCAAACAAAACGACGTCATTGCGATCATCGTCATCGTGCTATTCGTCGTCCTCGCCCTCGTCGCGTTCGGTATCTACAGATTGGTCCACGTCGCGCGCCAGAGCATGAGTGTGACGTCTGGGTCGAGTAGTAGCAGTTCCGACGAGATTGTCGACGACTGATCTACTCGCCGTTCATCTTTACGGGATTTACTCAGCGCTGCTGCAATTACTATCTACCATCGCATTTACACAGAGATACCACGACAAAACTCGTTTATCCAAAAGGCGCCATCGCACTTTTCTGCGATCTTTTAAGAGCGTTATGCCAAGGCTTCGGCTAAGACTACGGCATGGAAGGGAGAAAGAAGGGAATGAATGAATCTGGGATGAGTGATAATGAGGAGGGGAAATTTGGGAAATATGGAAAGGGATATGAGACATGATTTATCGGCATTTTTATCTGGCATTTGCGCAGCATTTTCTTACCATACAAAGTTGGTCATTCGGGTTACAAGATGCAGCAAAATGCGTCTGTATGGGGGAAGATATCTACGAGTGTATGATACTGGATCTGGAATGGGCTGCGCCGGGATTGGCGACCTTTTTGAAGGCATGAAGACGAGCCCATGTACATAGAACGAACAAATGGGATGAAGTAGGCCTTTGAAGGCTCAAGATGGAATAGAACTGAATACCAGATATCACCACGCCTGGCAGGATCGATGTACCCTCGCCCTCGGTTACCTTTCGAGAGAAGGGGTGTTAAAGGAAAGTACCTTATATAAGACCGTTCCTCAACCTCACATTACCTATCCTGGCAATGTACGCGATCGTCAAGTTGTCGGCCGCGACTACAGGTAGCGAACGTCTTCTGGCCAGCTGCCTAAGTACTTGCTAAGTCGGTTCTAAAAGAGTCCACTGGGTGACTGGTTACAGATAATCCCGTGCCTTCTGTCTACCAATCGCGGTCATCGTTCACGTATTCGTGGCTAAATCGTCAGGTTGGAGGCTGTGATTGCAAGTGACAAATGTCTTTTGAAGTGACTAGCTGGCTATATGTTAAGACAGCTTCAAAAGAACCCACTCAGTAATGTATTTTGATCCATCTCGTGCCTTTCCTCCTTGAATCTCGGTTGTCGTACCATATTCGTAATTAGACAATCACGAACACATGCGAAGACGGCCGAGCAGATGTCAAACGGCTCTGCTAAGGACAAACACATGCAAAGGCACTCGGAAAGATACTAAACGACGCTGCTGATCACGAATACGTGCGAATGCGCTTGAGTAGATACCAAACGGCTCTGTTCTTTGTCAAGATAACGAGACAGGTGAAGGCGGGTGAGTGCAAATCGGTACCTGTCTTCCTTCCTTGAACCCATTCAACAATCCGGGAACATGATAAATTGTGAGGGTACCATGCGTTTCATATGAAGAAAGGATTCAGATGTAGAATGTTAGCTTATTTGTCTTTTATATGGGTTTGTGGTAGCAGTTCTGCTCTTGTCTACTTGGGAGCTCACGTGTCTGCAGAGCACTCATAGCATATCTAGCCAGGTCAAAGGTACTCTCGGTTCCTTAGGAGCTGGGGCAAAAATTAACAATAAAAGCACAGGAGTACGCTTTTAAATCCTCATGAGCCCATACTTTGGTACTCAATTACAAGCAAAACGGCCGAATCGCTGCTGACAACTTGCATAAATGATGGGACCACTCACATTGCAAGCTGTGGGTATTGACTGGCGGGCAAGGAACTCAGGTAGCTAGGTCAGGCTACGAAAAGCGACCATATTCTCTTCCATCGACCTCATAAACTCTATCCATGAAAACAGTACAAAAATGCGTCTGATCAATGTGAACACACTCCTACTGGAGGAGTTCATGGGCCGGTGCCCCCAGTACGCAACTCTCATCTCACACTTGGAATGGCACGCAGGAGATAAGTTTCAAGGAGTGGCAGAAACAACATGTCGCCAAATCCAAAGAACAGAGGTACGCCAAAATACTCGAGGCTTGTCGGTTGACACGAGAATTCGGCTTCGAGTACCTGTGGGTTGATACGAACTGTATCGACAAGGAAAGCTCTGCCGAGCTCTCAGAGGCAATCAACTCAATGTTCAACTGGTATCAAGAATCGGCTGTTTGCTTCGCTTATCTCGAAGACCTTGACTTTGAGGATACCAGTTTGCCGGAAAGCTCAGGCGACGGTATCTCAAGTCAACAACGACGTTGGCGATCTGAACTCGCTCGCAGTCGTTGGTTCACCCGCGGCTGGACATTGCAAGAACTCTTGGCCCCGAGGCGGATGTACTTCTTTGACAAGAGCTGGAGGATCCTAGGATCGCGGCAAGACTTTGCGCCTGAAATTTCAAACATCACCGGAATAAGAAACGAGTACATTTCCGGCGCCAAGTCAGTCTTGGACGCGAGCATCTCGGAGGTATTCTCCTGGCTGGCGGGCCGAGAGACGACACGTCCTGAAGACATGGCTTATTGCGTGCTCGGGCTTCTCGGTCTCAACATGCCGTTGCTGTACGGCGAGCGCTCGGCGGCGTTTATGCGCCTCCAGGAGGAGTTGATCCGCATCTCGGACGACCAGACAATATTCTGCTGGGCGTGGGATCATACGATCCCACACGACTGGAGTAGTCTACTGGCACCATCGCCTTCGGTCTTCAAGGGCGGCGACCGTTTCTTCTGCGGATTAGAGACCGACGAGCACATTGTCGGATGGATAAAGGCCATATCGTACTCGATGACCAACGTAGGTCTGCGCATCCGCCTGCCCACGCTCAAGATGTCCGGTCTAGACCTTGCTGTGCTGAACGTATCCGAGAGGAGAAGCGAAGCAGGAGAAGAAGACCCAAGCACAGGCCGTGTTTGCATCCCTCTTCTGACCAGCAATTATGTCGGAACTTCAGATGGCGTCTCGTCATTGATTGACGGTTCTGCGGTCGGCGCTCAACGATGGCCGATACCCGCACGACCCATAGCTCTCTATGAGTTGAGGAACATATACCCCTCCAGCCTACAAGAGTTCTGCATTCATCCGCTGCAACGGAACGCTGAATTGTCGAAGTACGCTATTTCACTCTGGTATAAAGGAAAGCATGGGTACGGAGCATCGCAGATGATTATGCCAATCATCGAGACATGAAAAGCACCACAATTTCACGTAGAAGTCGGCTCGACCAACCAGAGTTCCGTGATCTCACAGCCTGCAAAACAATCTGAGCATTCCTATGTCAACTCGACCGGCCAGGCGCCCTTCAACACACCATACAGAGGCCTTGTCCCGCTCTTTATAAGACGACGTGGAACACTCGGAGTCGAGCTACAGTTGAACATCGGAGACGGCCGCGTCGAGAGAGTCGTTGTCGGGGTCCACGCTACGGCTGAAGAATACCTTCCTCGGGAGAAGGGAAACGACGATTGGTTTTGTTACTTCAAAGACGAAGAGTCGAAGCGGGCAGTCTCGGGAGAGTGGTCTTGTAACATGGCATGCTCACCGGATAGGACCATCTTTGTGCATCTGGGTCGACGTACGATACAGTTACCTCACGGCGTGGTGGCGAGGCCGGTGTATATTTCCTTCTTGCCGTATCCTTCTCTGCTGGAAAAGATGTTTGATCGATTGGAACTCTGGAATAATGCGGATGTCATACACAATGCTGTGCATCGCAAAATGAAGAGCTGGCCATGGGATGTTGGTGACCTTTAGATAGGATTCAGCTAGGCCGATCGATGGAGGGCCAATATCGCGTATGGACCTCAAGGCCAAAGCAGACCTATGCTCGAGACTGAACCCGATTTTGAAGTATAAAGGAAAAGTTTCCAGAAGAAAAGCGCTGGTTCCATACCTGTTCCATTGTTTATCTTGTGTAGCAGAAGAAGAGGCCGCCATACATCAGCGATGTTCCGCTTTGTGTCTTGGCTCACTTGTCTCAATCGATCAATTTCTTGGAGCAATATCCACATTCAAGCTCCGATCTGTCTAGTCCTCGCCCAAAACTGAAAGAAAAGTACTCCGTTACGAGGTGAGTCGAGGTGTAAATACCCTTTCAGGGCACAGGCAACTTCAGGGAAGGTCTCTTGGGAGGAAACAACTCGAATGTTGCCGACGCAACTACAGTATTCAACATTTCCTTCACATCGACTAGAGAATAGCGTAGGACATATAAACCAGTTTGCTAGCCCCTAACAATATCCCAGCGCTCATAGCTGGCCTACTTCCACTTCACCAGACTGTCAGCTACTAAGACAAGGACCAAGCAGCATCGCCACCAAAATGAGCCAAATAGACGGCGGCCTCGATTTCAACTACCCCGCCCGCAACAAGATCCTCTATCAAGAGCAGACCGAAGTGGGCTACGTCGACGGAGACGGAAAAGCCGTATTCAACGAAGCGTACCGAGAAGACGGCCCCCAGCTATTCACGGGAGAGGTGCTCAAGCTATGCGCAGGGCACTTTCTCAAAAATTGTATACTTCCAGGCAGCACGTACTTCACTGCCGGAGTGACACTGGAAGGTAGGGCCAGGCTCCGCTGCATGAGAGAATGGCCGTGGAAAGAGTGCAAACGGACGCTGGGAGAGTATAAGAGTTGGCGTTACAGGTACACGGTCGAGGGCACTATCACATTCCACGGCCGTATACAGCCGATAGGCAGGGAGGACCTAGAGGAGACGGCTCAAGACGCTCAGACGAGCCAATATGAGACTCAGGTGGTTGAGATGTGGTAGGAGGAGGGTAAGGTGAACGTGGAACAGCAAGAGAGTGGTTAGATTTCTGGTGCTTGGTCTATTGGTGATAGGGCGAGGGTAGCCTTGAGGCCGAGGGCGTCTTCTTGGTGACCCTGCAACGTTGGCATGTGGCGTTGGAAATTGCTGTGCTCTGGTTGTTGTCCATAACATACCCTCCGTGGAAGAATTCGAAGCTAGATAATGAGAAGAGAAGTCTGGATTACTGAGCTATTGGCACAGCGATAATTTAAAAGGCACATGATATAGAAAGCTGAGATTGGTTTTATGAGACAGGAACAGATTGAGGCGATATGCGACCGTCTCATTCACCAGCCAACTGTGGTCGATTTCGAAGGGAAAATGAAGTAGCGTTTTTTGACATGGGTTGCCTCAGAGTCTGTGAGGCTCATGGTGTGAGGTGAATCAATGATACCTCTGTTGCTGCTTCACTTGACGTTGATAGTTGGACTTTGAAGTCGACCATCCGAAGTCGGATGCACGGTTCACCCCCAAAGTAGAGTGGTTGGTCATGAGAGCTTCACTGGCCATCTGATGATGATATCCAAACACTGAATAGTGAGTAGCGAGTTGAGCAAAAGTCGGGTGAGTAAGCCTTTTGACTTTGGCGACGTAGCTGCCCAAGAAGTGCAAGGTTCACTGTCAGAAGTGCCCGAGGGCGTCGGCAGAAAGAACAAGAGACAGAGACGGCATCGGAACCCCGGATGTTGCAGTGATGGGCGTATCGAGGGGGCTATCTCATTCATGGGTAGGGCAGCTTGAAACATGGACTGGTGGGAGGCATGACGGGCGCCCGAGCTCTCTGACGGCAACCTTGCCGGATGATGCGTCTGATATCGGTTCGGGGCATAGACGGAAAACAAGCAACGGGAATATGCGGGCGTGTGTCTCTTCTTACAAGCATGAATAGCTCATGTGAGGTTGAAATATCGTTAAAGAAGACGGTTATCTGCACGGTAACCTTCGCAAGAAGAGGATTGCTGAAAAAGGGGACTGAGTTGCAGGGCGAGCTGCGAACGAGCCAGGCGATTGCGGGACATCAGAAGTCAATCGGTGGCGGGACATTCCACCACCTTACGGATACTTAGGTACTTACAGATAATTAGCGTTGTGGCATTAGGAGGAAGGAGCCACCTCATCCCTCCCAAATCAATCTTTCAGCGCACCCGATTGCGTAGCCCAGGGAAGTATGTCGCTGCAAGTTCCCGTCAGGTAGCAGATAGACAGGCATTTGGGCAGGTACCGCCAATGTACCGTGGAGTCGATGCGGGACCGAGATGGTAGAGGCGTTGAACATTGAATTATGTGAATGACCAGACTCGACGACTGTTGCTGGAGAAGAACGATGGAAAAGACTAACATTTGTTCTTTTAAGTGATTCAAATCGATATAAGTAACAGAAACATCTTCTCCAGCCACACTGATGGTGAAGTGGCGGCGCTATCAGGCTTAGCTCGGGACTGACGCTAACAGGAGCCCCAGACTCGACGGTCGAAATACTTCCCACCCCCAATCATTCAGCGGGACCAAAGGCTGCCCTGGCAGCAAGCTACCCCCAAGGACAGACAGACTCCAGCACACGTCCACCCGTTCCCCTTCTGGCTTGCATCACGACACGACCTCGAAATCCCACCTCAACCTCATTCAACTCCCTTCCGAGCGTATTGTCCCCCCCATCGCACTGCCACGCCGCCCTCCCGATTCCGATTGCGCGACGACCATGTAAATGGTTCCTCCCACTGCATTGCGAACACCCTCATGATTGCTCCATTCCACTGCGACGGGACCGCCCTACCGAGCAGCCATGGACAACAGGGCCCAACGATTCGAGGATGAGAAGCGGCGCATTATCGAGAGCTGCTTCATCAAGAAGGATGTAGACGGATCGTGTGCGTTGAACCCCGATGTCGCTGGAACTTCTCATTTAAGAAGTCTGCTTCATATGCGTATGGTACTGACCCTTGCTTCCATCGATAGTGCTCGAGACATACATCACCCACATTCGAATCACCGAGTACTCGTCCCATCCGACCTCTCCTCCGCCGCCTCAAGCACGAACACCCGAATCACAGAAACCCCGCGTAATCGTCGTTGCAGTACGAAAAAGTGGCCGAGTGCGTATGCACAAGACGAAAGAGAACGCCAACGGCTCCTTCTCAATTGGAAAGACATGGAACCTCGACGACCTCTCCGCCATCGAGTCCTTCACGGGGCCGCCGGCTAACCCGACCTTCCGTGAATGGGCTGGCGATACTGGCTTCATCGTCACCATCGGAAAGCCCTACTTCTGGAATGCGCAGTCGGATAAGGAAAAGAAGTTCTTCATTGCCAGCCTGGTTAAGATCTATGGCAAATACACGGGAGGCAAGGTCCCTGAGCTATCGGGCTTCGACCAGGCCGAGATGGCCCAAATCCTGAGAAACGAACGACGACCACCCCCTCCTCCACAGGCTGCCTTCCGACCCCCCGCAATGCCCGATGCTGCTTCTAGTCAGACCAGCCTCGGCGCTCCGAATGCGCCCTCCAACTATGGCACTCCCTCACCTGGCCCGCCAGGACCTCGCCGACCACCCCCTCTCAATGGAATGGCGAACAATTCACCAGCGGGAAGCATGGCATCTTCGTTCTCGCAGGAACCCCCTACGCTGCGAAGATTCGGGAACAAGAGCCAGGAATCTTTCTCGCCATCCCTGGGAGGCAGGAGCGACGATACGGGAAGCATGCCGCCGCGCTCACGAAATGGCATGCCTGGGCAAGGGGCCTTTGGTAGGTTCGGTGAGCCAGGTCAAGAGCCTGGACTGGGACCACCTCCGCCAATCTCCGAAGAAGGCAGACCACCAGAGAGGAAGAGGCCACCGATGGACCCGGCAAGGCCCCAGGGACAGGGCTTCAACGACAGAGACCTGGTTCCTGCGCCTTTAGTGAGCCCGGGGATGCGACGAGATCAAGTTGCCCCTCCCCCGAGGAGTACAGCCAGGAAGAACTCTCTTTCGCAGAGGTCAGATGGAGGTTCTTACAGGGACAACCGACCAGTCACACCCCTTACGCCTGGAGACCCGGGCGCACCAGACGTTCCTCTCGCACTCAGAACCCCAACAAGAAATGGGGCAACACCCACAAGACAGCCTCCTCCTATTGTCTCTCCGCCGCCTGAAATCCCTGTTCCCCCTGCCCCGGTTTCTCCCATCGTGCAGAGTCCGCCTCCCGCCCCTCCACCAGCGACTGTAGCTGCGGCTGAGGAAACCATACCGGAGGAGCCTCCGGCTGTTGAGCCTATCCCTGAGCCCGAGGCTCCCGTGGAACAAGAAGATGAGAGTCGGCCAGGTTTGGGACCGATGATCAAAGCAAAGAAATCCAAGAATGACCTTGCTGGTGTGCTCTGGAAGGCTGCCTCCGCTGCCTCAGCTTTCAAGCCTCGGCCTGGTGGTGCTGGTGAAAGACTTCGACAGCTTGCCACAAAGAGCACTGAACCTGCCGAAGGAATCACAACAGTTTTCCAACCTCCGCCACGGCCTGCCTCTTCTGACGGCCCCAAAGTCACATCCCCAGAACCTGCAGTCGAAGAGACGGCTGCACCTGCGGAGCCTCCCAAGCGCACATCTGGTGTGCCTGAGGTCAAGGTCACTGTGCCTAATTCTAGTCGACCATCAAGCTTGCAGCCCTCGATTCAGGAAGTTATTAGCGTGAAGAAGCCAGAGGAATCCGCAACCAAGGAGGAGAACAGCAAGTCGATAGTTGCCGGTAACGACGCCAAGTATCTTGCATCTCTTGGTATTGACCCCACAGTCTTGGATAACAAGAGCGGCGAATTCACAAAGTGGCTCGACTACTTTGGCTGGGTTCCTGGTGAGCAGATGAGATCTCGTAACGTGGAAGAGATGAGGACAGACCTTGAGCGAGAGCTCAACAAAGCACAAGCCGGCGGCTGGCTAGCCCGGTTCCAAGAAGAGGATGATCGTGTCGAGGCTATCAAACGCGGCATTGATCTGGCAGTCGCCGAGTGTGAAGAAATGGAGAATCTTCTGACGCTGTACAGCGTTGAACTTTCGGTAGGTTGCTTCGTAAACTTTCCAAAACTGTTGCTGACCAGAGACAGACTCTTTCTGATGATATTGCATACATTGAAGCCCAAGGCCAGGGTCTCCAGGTGCAAACTGCTAACCAGAAGCTGCTCAAGAAGGAGCTTGAGTCTCTTCTCGAGACAACCACTATTACTTCTGCTGATCTGAACGCCTTGAGAGCGGCACCACTGGAAGATCTGAACGGCCTTGAGGATATCGAAATGTCTCTAGTCACTCTCTACAAGGCCATGATCAAGATCGATCCCACATTACTAGGGGGCGAACCACGAAAGAGCGAAGATATTGGCGGAGAAGTTGATCAAGCCGTGGGTCTCGAGAACACCGACTATGGCAAGATGAGAATCGTTCAGGAGAAGAAGGAGATGTACCGACAAGAAAGCGCTGTCTTCTCGCGACGGTTGGTCGGCTACATGGCCCAGCAGTTCGATGTAGCCTACAACGAAGTCAACAGAGCGCTTCGCGAAGCTCTTTCAAGAAAAGTGGATTCTCGCCATCACGACACCGGTCGGGACATGTTGTGGAAGTACAGTCCTTTGGTCAAATACGCCAAGGATGTCGACCCCGCCAACTGGGATCGCATGATCCAGGTCTACCAAGATAAGAGCCACCCGGTCTATAAGAACGAATTCCGTCAGGTCTTGGAAGCGTGGAAGCGCAATGCGCGCAAGATGACCGCTGACGAAACATCCGAGCTCCTGTTTACATTTGAAGTCGAAAAGCAACAGGAAGGCAGAGCGACCACTGTCAGGAAGCTTACCGTCAAGCGCAGTCAAACATTGGCCAAGAGTCTGCGTTCGCCCATCGATACCAGCAGTAGGACGAACCTGAAAGAGTCGGGCGAGAACCGAAGCCTTCCTTACGAGGTATTTGGGCAGGTACTGGACGACCTTCTGCCGTTAGTTGAGATGGAGCAGAATTTCATCATCGACTTCTTCCACGCCACCACACTGGAACAATCAGACTTCCCGGACCTGGTCGCAGCCAGCAGGCCGGTAGATCGGAGAGGCGGCGACTTGCGTCGCCATCGTTTGATGGAGCCTGACCGCGATCTTGCTCGACGTGTTACTAAGGGTATGGAGGTGATTTTCATCTTCCTCGAGACAGAGATTGCCAAGCTCATTGAATGGGTTGTCCAAGCCGATCCTTTGTAAGTTGACTCCGAATCCATCTCATCGTCATAACATACTGACCAGATGCTTCAGACAAGGTGCTGGTGTCTTGGCCGTTCTCGAGCGGAACCTGTTGGATATCCAACAATCCAACCAAGACTTCCTCAACGCTCTTCTCCAGAAACTCCACGGTATCTTGGAGTCCCGATTTAAGAAATTCGTCGACGAGCAGATCCGCGCCATCGAGGAGACTAAGGTCAAGATTAATAAGCGCAAGGGCGTTATTTCGTTCATTCGCGTCTTCCCTCAGTTCTCCAATGCCGTGGAAAACATTCTCTCGGGTATCGACCCTAACCTAGCCGTGCGCAAGACGGTTGACCGCGAGTACGATCGTATCCTCAAGTCCATGTTCGACTCCCTCAAGATTATTGCCCGCGAGAACCCCGCAGTCAGCGTCGGTGCGGCAGGTGCGGATCCAGAAGACAAGGAGGCTCTCAACTTCCACATTCTGCTCATCGAAAATATGAACCACTTCCTCGAGGAGATCAACACGCACGGCCTCAATGTCCTCGAAGACTGGCGTGAGGCTGCGACAGGCGAGATGAATGAGCACATGAACCTGTACCTGAACGCCGTGATGCGGCGCCCCCTCGGCAAGCTTCTCGAGTACGTCGAGAACATCGAGGGCCAACTGCAGTCGGGCAAGCCCGGCTCGAGCATCGCTTCGCAGCCCTCCAATTCCAAGTCCACCTTCCACAAGGTCTTGGCAACGTACGACTCGCGCGAGGTCCGCAAGGGTATCGAGACGTTGCGCAAGCGCGTCGAGAAGCACTTTGGCGACGCGGACGACCCTGCTCTCAGCCAGAAGCTCGTGATCAAGGTGCTCCGCGAGTGCGAACGCTTCTACGGCGAAGTGGAGCTGCGCATTAGCCGCATCACCGCCGACGTCTACAGCGGAGACGTCCTGTTTGAGTGGCCCCGCGCCGAGGTCAAGTCTGGCTTCCGCTAGAGGCATATGCTGCTTGGCCTGAGAGCTGGGACCTATTAATTTGATGCCGATACTGCTGCCACAAGAAAGCAAGCCAATCGCAGCATCAACTTTTGTCGAATTGCCTTTTTCCTCCCAAGAACTCCCATCCTGTTTAAGTTGCTTCCTGGCACAAAGGAGGAGAGCATTGCATTGCGGGAGGACGGGTTTGTGTCAAGTGTACCCGCAACTGCTTACCCTGACTTTTTATTTTCTTCTCAAGATACCTTTCTACGAGCAAGAGAAGATGAGGAAATTTGGAGACCAGAGAGAAGGGGAGGGGGATCATGTTGTTTCTATAGGCGGCAGAAGGGCAACGGCTATCTTTGGAGGCGACGTTTTTGGAAGGCCACTTGATCCGAGAGAGAGGCATCTTCGGTTTCCATGGATGGGGGTGGACAACAGAGCCTTTGTATTGCGCGCAAATAGGAGAGGGGACATTAGATTCCCGTGATGAAATGAGAGAGACCTTTACGCCGTGTAACCTCTTCCCTGATGAACACTTCTTAATTCCTCGTGTCGAGCAACTTGTCAACGTGTGCAACACACGGCGGGAACAGCATGATCACGTTTCACTGACACAAGAGGCATGACAATGTTGTCACAAATCAATTTTGACCATTCTATCAACGGGGTCCCCTTGGCACGTCACAAACCAGCAGGCTTCAGACGGGTCTGGTCATGGACCCTTAGAAACAGTGCCGAAACAAGAGAGAAATGCCTCGAGGCCATAACAGGGAGGCAAGCCGAAAAGCACGTCTGACGCCTAACGAACCTGCCATGCAAAGTCGGGTGGAGGGGCTTCTCTTCAATGTGTGTTGTTACCCTCGCCCTTCAGTCCACCTCACCCAAAACTGGTGTTCCCTGACCCAGACCGTTCCATCCATAAAATCTTTATTGTTGAAAGAATACCATCGCCCGATGTGCAATGCTTGTTGATGTATTTCATACCACAGTCATGTAAATGTGGCGACATTCGCTGAGATGACCAACTCGGCCATCTGGTTCGCTATCTGTTTTTTTCTGTTTTCGGTTTCCTGGAATTCGCTGAGTCGGTGACAGAGACAGCGTCTATGACAGGTGGAAAGCTCCCTGGCCTTCCTTGATGGCAGTAGAGAGCTGTTTGCGCATGGCTTCGATGTTGGTGTAGTCGGGTAGTTTGAGGTAGTTCACACACGTCATGACACTGGGGAGATAATCGTCAGACGTGTAGGGGTGTTCACTTGGCTTGCAGACGACCGTGAACATGGGCGTCAAGCTCTTGAATCCTATTGTTCATGTTAGTCTCGGCTACATGGGACTAGTCGATGAACGGAGGAGAAACGTACCTCCAATGGGGAGCTTGGGGCTGCCCGTGGTGAATTGCAGGAAATCACGGCGCTCGGGAGCCGATAGCTCGCTCATCGTCTGCAGCAGGTTCTTGACGGTCTTGCTGTCCATGTTGTAGCCGTGGTCCGCCTTGATCGAATCCATGAGTGCTAGCGAGGATGTCAGTATATCATTAGCCGAACACACGAGGAAGCACTTACTTTCGAGAGACCAGTCCTCGTCAACCCGGCCAAACAAAGTTACCAGCTCATCGGGGGTGAATGCGCTTAACGCAGAGTAGGGGAAGACTTGGGAGAAACCGGTGCGGAAGGCGTCTACCTGGCGGCGAACACCAGTGCCCAGGGTCATGTCAATGACACGCTCAAGGTACGAGTCCACGTTATCAATGGTGACCCGAATTTGTCCACCGTTGGGCGTCAGCTCGATCTCTGGGAACCCAGGAAGCGTGAAATCCAGGCACAGGTCGTCCAGCTTGACACCGTCAATAACAATATCCTCTGTATCGGCAACCTTTTGAGCAGGCGTTCGTGAAGGGTCTTCATCGATTTCCTTCTTGGCCACGGCGAACTTCTTAATGGTCTTCAGAGACCTGGCCAAGCCGGGGTCGACGACCTTAACTGCGCCGAGTGATGGCTTCACGCCAGGTGCCGATGAACCATCTCCAATGCGGAAGAAGGTGGGGTTGAAGTTCAGATCAATGATGCGAGAATCGATCATTGAGCGAGCAACAAACTTGCCGAGAGTCTTGAATAGTTGCAGAATACGTTCCCCATTGGGCGCAGTGGCTTCATCGTCGCTGAGCGGCCGAGGGAAAAGTCCACTCGCTCCAGAGATGTACTCTTCCGACTCGTTCGAATCCATCTCTCTCCACAGCTTAAGCTTTTTCTTGGAGAACTCTCTCGACACCGTCGAGTAGAACTCAAGTGTCGGACCCAAGCCGGTTCCGACTTCCTCAAAGTATTCAACCTCGAGAATGCTCTGAGACGCGCCATACAGCTCCATTACTTTCAAGGCCGACTCCAAGATCTTGGATCTGGAAATGCGAACCTTCTGGCGCTGCAAACGACCCAAAAATGGTCTATCGTCGCGGCGATCGCGACGCGAGTCGTCCGCAGAGTGGGCGTTCTGCCACCGAGTCATCGAGCGCGCATAACCGAATGAGGTCGACTGCAAGAACAAGTGCCTGGTCTCAAAGGGGAAGAGGAAAGGGTACAGTCGTGCAAGGTCTTCCACCCAACTTGGGAGGCAATTGCTCGCGACGATCAAAGGCTCTTCAAGCTGTCTATTGAGCTTCGCCGTCAATTTGGTGTTGACGAACTGTGATAGGGGCTCGACATTCAGACGAACAGCATCTTTCTCGCTGTTCTCAACCATGACATCTTCGATGTTGGCGTTCAAGTCGTGAAGAATGTTGAGAAGGCGAAGGATAGAGGCTGTCGAAGGGTGCTTGGCGAGAGATGCCGGAACGTTTCCTTCGCCATTCTCCTCCGTAGTGGCCTGAGCATTGGAACTGAACGAAAGGGTCTCCGCGGGGGGTGGACCAGGGGCACGTCGGAACTTGATTGGGTGCACTGCAGACCAGACACTTCGGCTAAAGTGCTCATCAGAATTGGCGGCCGAGGTGTGGACGGCACGGTAAATTGTAGTCTCGCTCGTAATCACCTTATTGTCGAGAGTGAACTGGATATGCCAGTCCTGTGGCACCGCTTGGATGGCTGCAGCGTAAGACATCGGCCTCGATGAGGTTGCCGGCGTGGGAGTGCTTTGTGCCGCAGGAGGGGGCAGAAGAGCACTAGAACGAGTAGGCAGAGAACTCTGCGATGGCGTGGGCACCCTGGTCCCGTCATCCTTCCGTGCGGTGACCTTTCCACCAGCAGCGATTTCCATGTTGACAGCGCCAGGCTCGGGACCGGGAGATTCGCTCATATCCTCGTCCAAGTCACCTACAATAGCGTCCAATGCACTGCTTCCGCCAATCTCTTCGTCGTCAGACAGCTGCTTCTCGTCTGCACACTCGAGGGCATTCTCCAGGTCGTCTTCTTCAGGAGGTGGTCTGGACGGCACTGGGCTATCTGCGGCCGACGCCGCGCTACGACGGGTAGATCTCCTCAAAACGCCCTTGTCTCTGGTGCTGGAGGAGGTATCTGGAGTGGCCGCACTCTCCGACTGAGGTGTTGACTTCGACTTCGTCTTGCGGAGAGAACGCGAGCCGCTGGGCGTAGGCACGCTGGGGGGTGGTGGAATCGGACTTGACCCAGACGCTGCCGATGCGCGCTCCGCAAGTCTAGCTGCCGCATGACTAAGTGGCAAACCAGCAGAGCCTGCCAACGACGCGAGGGCCCTCGAGAGATTGTCGGCCCGCCTTGAGGAGCCACGTGGCCGTTCCGACAGGCTGATTCTGGGTCTCAGGTAGTCATCGAGAGACTTGAAAGTCGCGATGGCGTGAATCGAAACCATTATGTTTCTATATGACTTTGGTATAGACTCGTCATCAGCCACAAGCCTGAGCCGAATCTGCTTCGCGAGCATGGACGCTGCACTACTGCGATTGCCATCGAAGGTATTTTGATGAACAGTGATGACCTCGAAATGCTCAGATCTACTCAGCAAATCTTGAAGTTTGTGAACCATGACACTGAAGGGAGTCGCAGGTGAATCAGCAGTGGCGGTCTTGGGCTTGGACTTGACGCTGTAGCCCATGAAGACCTGCAAGAAGTCCGCCTGGGCAGTGCGGGCTAAATCCTCATCGGGATTGCTGAAAACTTCCAAAAGCACCCTTACGAGTCCAGAAGCCAGAAGCTCTGCGCTGGTGACACTTTCGAGGACGTCGGCGTCGAAGGACGAGGCCAGCTTCTTGAACAACTCTATGCCGTTTTCAGGCGAAAGATTACCCGCCGATCTGTTGAGGTAGAAGGCTTCAATCTCTCCAGCAAGATCTGATAGATTGGTGAGAATCTTAGTCGCCTTCTTCTTCATGGCCTTGCCGTGCTTCTCGGTCTCGTGACTCTCCAAGAACTTTTTGGCAACCTCACGAATCCTGCTTCGCATCGATGGAACGTCTGACAGGAAGTGTTGAGGCGGCCCGTCGAGCGACATTGTTGAGCCGCGTGAGCTAACCGGCGACCCAGAAATGTCGTCCGGATGAGGCTCGTTCTCATTGTCCTCTTCATTTTCCTCGTCATCCGACTCTTCATGTTCTTCATCGTCTTCCGACTCTTCATTGTCTGAAGATTGATCACCAGAATCTGCTGCGGCCTGCTGCTCTGCGGTGTGGGACTCCTGTGAGCCGGCCGGCTCTGGCGCTGGGGGCGGCGTGTGCTCCTCGATGGCTAGTTTGGTGATTTCCGAAATGACACCTTCGCGGTAGAGCTGATACCGGTAAACATCTTCCAAGCGACTGAGAAGGAGTTCTGTGGCTTGAAGTGCCAGCATCACCAATGAGGGATGGTCCTGTTGAGATAGAATCGAAGCCAGAAAGGAAGCATAAGACACTGTCTTCAGCGCTTCGCTAAGAATTTCCTCGTCGAGGTTTGAAAGCATCTTCAGCTGCGCTGTGAGCACCTTTTGACGAACGTTGAGGTTAACCGTGCTCGAAAAGGCGTCGGTCAAGGTCGGGAAAAGAATAAGAGCAAAGCGGCGAACTTCGGACTTGCAGCTGTCGAGTAGTTCGATTCTCTTGTCGTTTGGTGACTTGCGCGTCTTTCCAGCTGCTGTGGAGGAAGGAGTGATGGGTTCCGCCGCGTTCATCTCCACGAAGTCGCCATATGAGGGGTCGGCGTTGCGAGGCAGGCTAGGTAGGAGCTCGCAAATGACATTAAGCGTCTCGATAATCTGCTCCTTTGGTCGATGGATCAAGGCCTGCATGATGACAACGCTGTCCAACTTGGAGGCAACGTCTTCTGTACCGCTGGGCGGAGAAACACCGGTAAGGATTTGGTACAGTGTCTCCACGATGTTGAGCTTGAACAAGTCCGCCGAAAGCTGGGGGCTTGCACGAGCCGTAAAGGCCAGCACTCGCAGGAATTGCGTGTGGATATCGGCTCCAATGAGATTAGTGGTGCCAGGCACAAGCAGCCTCAACACGGCCTTCAGCAGGTCGACACTGACGAGTTCTTCCAGCTTTGCAGACTGGTACTTGAAGCTCTCCACAATGCCAGAGACACAGATGGAAGCCTTTTCGACCACTCGCTGGTCGCTGCTGCCCAAGACATTGAGAAGTGTGGGCATGACATCTCGAATGACCGGGAAGGAATCTTCGGGAATGTTTCGACAGCAATTTGCAGCGGTGGTGACGGCTGTTCTCTGTGTGCTTGTTGCGAAGAAATCCAAGTAAGATAAGCAGGCGGTCAAGCCACCTTCTCGGACAATGCTGGACGGATACTCTGCAGAGATCTTTTCGAGGGTGCTCAGGGCTTGCTCGGCAAGGTCGATAAAGGAAATCTCGAGCAGCTTTTGGCAGAGCACTGGGACAGCCCCTCCGTAAACAACGTTGGCCACACTGGCGGGCAATGCCTCCATCAAATTTGCCAGGCAACGGCAGGCGAGCAGCATGAGTTCGGGATTCTCTTCGCCCGTAATCTCATTGGGTTGCATCAGAGTCACCAATTCCTTGACGAAGGCATCAGGTGAAAAGTGACCTGACAAGTTATCCTCGTTGGAAACCAACAAGATTTCAGACAGCTCTTGCAGGGCGATCAGCTGCACTGATGGGTCATCTTTTTGACGCAGGCTGTTGAGAAGATCTCGCAGGCGGGACGAAATACCCGTCATCATGCCTGTCAAGGCCCGCAAGGTACTTGACAAGCCACCGGGACCTCCAGGACCTCCGAATCCCCCAAAGGGATCATCGTCTACGTCGTCATCGTATCGCTGACCCTCATCGTCGTCATCGTTTTCGTCACTGTCATCGTCGTCCTGATGTTCGGGAGGAGGCGGTGGGGGCGGGAGAGGAAGAGACTCCTTTTCAGTGTCATCTGTGCCCGTCATTGCGGTATCGGGATCCGCGTTGTTTGCAGCATTCCGTTTCGTCTTGCGGGAAGAGCTGGATGTGTTGGCGGAAGGATCTGCTTATGCCAAATCAGTATTATGCTTCAGAATATCAGACTAGAGGCAACTGGGGGTTACCTAGGGTGCCGGTGGCAGTCCTCTTGCTTCGGCTGCTACTGGATTTGCGGCTTGAAGATGCCGAGGGTGCGGTGTTCTCTGATGCGTTCGCAGGATCGGCGGAAATGCTAACAAGTACAGTCAGCTTTGAAGAATGTCCAGCTCCGGCTCATGGGATTCCTTACTCTGGGCTCGACATGGCGACGGTAGATTTGCCCTTTCTCTTGGAGCGAGGCGGGACAGGCGGCTGAGTAGGGAGCTGGGACGGTGGAACAGCTTCGGCTACCTTTTGACGCTTTGATCGCCTGGAGGAAGCTGATGCAGACTGCTGTGGTCCAGGAGTAGGGCTGGTAGCTTGTGTTGAAGCCTTTCGTTTCCGCGAGGCTGAGGTGGGAGGGTTTGGAGGACTGGAGCTCGGTGGTGCAGGGGCGGCCGCTGCGGGATCGGCGCTTGCAGCGGGTTGTGTCGATGAAGCCGCGAGACTCGCCGCTTGCCGGGCAGAAGATCTGGTAATTCTGGGAGACATGAGTGACTGGTTTTTAGGAGGCATGCCGACCGAAGAACGGAAGGCGAGAAAACGAAGGTAAGGATCAAGTCAAATGTGCCGAGGCCAAGATGTCGGTGGCCTCGTGTGTGTCCGCAACGAACGTCAGATGTGTGTGTGTGTGGTGTGTGTGGGCGTAGTGGATGTGGATGTACAGTGTACTAGACACAACGAGAGAGGTAAAGCATGTAATGAATTGCTGGGGTGGTGGAGGGAGGGGTCTGCTAGCACTGGCTCGAAGCTGACCAAGCGGGAGGACGAGAGTAAGGAAGTGAAGGAGAAAAAAAGTATCGGATCGAGGACGAAGAAGTGTCGAGGAGGAGATAATCCAGACTCGATGAAGAGAGGATGAAGGAGCGGTGCGATGCAGCCGTGTTTCAATGGTTGGAAAGCAGGCGTCTCTCTGTGTCTTTTTTTTTTTCCTGAGGTGCTCTAGAGGTACGGTGCGGTGGTGCCTGGCAGGGTGTGTACGGTGCGGTTGCGGTGTAGTGAGGTAGGGCGGTACGGTAGGTATAGTGACCCGACCCGCTTAAGTTCGAGATCCCGCCGTTCGGGTACCAAAGGTGAGGTAGCTTCAGGCGGAGGAAGAGGAGGAGAACGAAGGTGAGGCGGATCCTGAGGTCGAAAGAGTGCCCTTTTTTGTGCCTTTTTTGGACTTGAGGATCGAGAGAGACAAACGAAGGAGATGAAGGTGAAGGAAGCAGCAGCGAGGCAGAGGTAGGTAGACCAGACCGAGAGAAGGCGGCAGGCAGGCAGGCACGAGACGAGTTGGCTGTCGCCGGAAACTACCCCACGGCACCTGGACGTTGTACCTGTTGCTCCTGCCTCTCTGCCTCGCGTCTGCTCCTTCTCTTGCTCTCTCTCTCTCTCACACAGAAATATTCTGCGCACCTGTCGCCCGAGGTTGATTCTTGCTGCTTTCTCTTCTCTTGTATGTGCTCTTCTTCTTCTTGTTCTCGTTCCTCTTCACTCTCGAGTCTCTGTGTCTCGCTCTCATACACACACGAACCACACACACACGCTCTGCCTCTTTCGACTCTCTCCTTTGTCTCCGCAGAGCATAAAACAATGTATTGGGATTCGGAACGAAACACGACAAATACGGGTGAAATGACAACCACCTACCGCTGGGAAGACGATGTCGAAGCTAGGGTGGGCGAGCCCGAACCGGAAGACGATGTCGTCGGCGTAGACGGGAGGCGCGCGGGGGGATCGAGGTCGACTACCGATCTGGAGCGCTGGTTTGCAGAGGCGATTCGTTCTGCCATGGATTACGCCATGAGGCAGGTCAGCTCGAGGGTTGCTGGCGATTAGGCGTTGTGGTGTCTTGATGTTATCAGCGCCGTCGGGAAATTGCCAAAAGATACGATGGCGTTGCGAGGTTGGTCCGAATCAACGGATCAGACAATACGATCTCGTTGCGTTGAGAGTCATCGATATTGATGGCCTGATCTATCCTTCGAGTCGCTTATCGTCGTCGTCGTCGTTGTCGTCGCAGGAGAAGAGATTCGTTGGCGATGTGGAAGGTTGGGGAGATGTATGGATGGGTTTTGGAACCAGACGAGGTTATGCAGCGCCAAAGCAGCACGGGAGAGGAAGAAGGTGTTGGGTCTGACTGATGGATGCCCTGGGCCGTGGCCGGCGAACGGGACAGACACACCACCCGTTGCTGCTAACAGTTTAACAAGCACCACGCCGCACGCCGCACGCCACACGCACCACCACCACGCACAACACGCACAAGGACTCAAGGACCAGGCCACACTCACATGGCCAACATGCTCCAAGCGGCTCTGATATCGCTGTTCCAGTCCACTTTTTTGCTCCAAACCTAGCCACTGGGGGGATACGGAGTATTGGGCCCGCCAACTCAACATGAGCAGCCACGAGGGGGGAATCCCTGCGGTAAGGCCCATGCTTATGATGCTGCGGATACAGACGTAGGTATTGCGTTCCCCATTGTCGATACCTTACCACGCTTACCTGTGATACTAATCAATACGGGCAGAACTATGTCATGGAACGGTCCCTCTCCTGTCACGTCTACCGTCTGGCTCCGTCCCAACCTCGAACCGCGCCAACGCCAATCATGTACGTGCCGTCGTCCGTCACCCGTCACAAGCCTCCCTATTCCATCCCAGGCCAGGCCTACTAGGTGTTGTCTTCAAATGTGCAATCCGTACAGCGTCATGGCAGTAGTGTCTGACCGTGCTGGAACAACGTTTGGCAGCTCGACCCCGCCCTACCATCACTATCTATCCCCAGTCTCTCAGGTGCTGACCTTGCACTAAGGTACTTATAGCCAAAACAGCTTCCCGTCGCATTAAAGCCGCTTGTCATTACGGAGCCACGTTTCCGTTTACGCATCCACACCTTGCCCAGTGCGCTCCAAATACTGACGGAGCTGATTCAAGTTTGGGTGGGGAGACGGCATTCCTACCTTTTCTTGCGCCATCAGGGTCGACCAATGCTCCTATTTCTAAGCAGCCGAGTCCAGCGAGTCAACAAAAACACCTCACGGAAATTCGATAATATGTAATATAGGCTTTTCTCGCGTCCGCGGCGCTGGAGATTCCGCATTAATCATTTCTTGTCTAGCCAGGTAGGTATCATGCAGGGCCCGCTCGTCTATGCCTTCAAGCTGTCCTTGCCTCCCTCGAACTCACCAAACTCGTACTCATCCGGGTACTTGTCTAGGTGTTCACGTAGCTGTGCCATTTGATGCTTCAGATCTGGCGTCAGTTCCTCATAAACGTCTTCAAACATGCCTCGGATTGGCGGCTTCTTCTCCATCTCGGCCTCTTTGAACGCCTTCAGCACCTCCCTTCTAGTCGAGTCTCTGCACTCCTTTTCCTTGGCCTCATCCCACATGCCCTTGGCCTCCATGTACTTGCGCAGGCGCGTAATGGGGTTGTCCCGCCTCTTCCAGTCCTCAACCTCGACTCTAGCACGGTAGGCAAACGAGTCATCCGACGTGCTATGGTGGCTGACCCTGTAAGTCATGGCCTCGATCAAGACGGGACGGCCCCCATTCTCGAGCGCCATTTCACGGGCCCTCTTCGTAGCCTCTCTGACAGCCCAGATATCATTGCCGTCTACTCTGATGGTGTCGATGCCGTACCCCAGGCCACGGCTGGCGATTCCGTCACCTCTGTACTGTTCTAATGTCGGCGTGGAGATGGCATAGCCGTTGTTTCGGCAGATGAAGATTACAGGACATGACCTTGTGGCCGCGATGTTGAGGGCGGCATGAAAGTCTCCCTCACTCGCCGCACCCTCGCCAAAGTAGGCTGCAACGACTCTCGGAGGTATCGACTGATCTTGCATCCGCTGCATTTTCAAAGCGTATGCTGCTCCCGAAGCTTGCGGAAGCTGCGTTGCCAACGGCGACGAGATGGTATGCTGTACGAGCAACGTGTTAGCATGTGTACTCTCCAATGCCCTCCAGGGGTGCCGTCTCGATCATGGGGACCTACGATATTCAGCTCCTTGCTACCATAGTGCACCGGCATGTTCCTCCCCCTACCGGGATCTTTCGAATTGGCAAAGAGCTGGTTCATGAAATCCGCCGTTGTGAAGCCCCGCTGCTTAAAGACTCCCTGCTCGCGGTACTGGCAGAAGATGACATCCTCGGGCGTCAGCACACTCGCGGAGCCGACGCTCAGCGCCTCTTCGCCCGCCGAGACCATATAGAAGCTCAGCCTGCCCTGGCGCTGGGCGTCGAACATGATGAGGTCCATGACGGAAATGAAGACCATGTCCTTGTAGAGCTTGACAATCTGTGCCTCGTCCAGGTCCGGGACGAAGGCGTCGTCGACAATGGCGCCGTTTTGATCCACGACGCGGTAGGTCGGCACAGCGGGGTAGTCCCCGGGCGTCTCGAACTTGAGGCTGCTCGTGAAGGCGCTCTTTACGGCGCCGGGGAAGGAGACGTGATTCGCGTTTGGTCTTTGGGAGAGGCTACTTGCTGCTCGTCTGGTTTGAGATGTTGCTGCTGCTGTCGCTGTTGATGTCGTCTTTGGAAGACCGCTTCCAGCTCGGGGGAGGGCCAACCCGCCGAGGGGTGCCCGTCGAAGGATCTTGGAGGTCCTCATCTCTGCTGCTTTTCCTTCTTTGATATTTTTCCAAAGAAATTCAATTAATTGAAAGGAGATTATCAGAAAGCCTTGCTTGATTACACGGGAATTTCCAGAGACGAAAGGGAAAGGAGTTGAGAGGGCCAGAGTGCCAAAGGGACTGAGGGAGAATGCCGAGACAGCAGCATCCCGAGGAAGACCGTCTATCGTCGGCCGAAGTTGCGACGTCATGGCTGAGCCGATGTAAGCCGTGTACAGATAAGGCGAGTTAGCAGTGGTGATTTCCCGCTAGACCCCCTGAAAGCCGTCACTGAGCTTTCTATCCTTTCCCCGCGCCCCGCGTGGATTCCTATCGATAAGAGAAACCCGAACCTTGAGGTAAGGTACCTAGACAGGGGTGCTGGTGTCTTGGGACTCTGACCGAGCAGCCAGCCCATCGACAAGGTTATGGTTTGCTCCGTGCTGGCGTCTAGGGACTGTTTTGTCCACCGTAACCGAATCAGAAGCCAACCTGTGACTTTTATTTCTTTCGCGACGGTTTGATACCGCATGAATTCATGGAAGCGTTTGATATTGGGCTGTTAACGGTGCCTTCTTTTTCTCTTTGATTATCCTGGCTGTAGATTACGGTCTCTATGTTGACTTTATCTGACGATTTGGATAAATTCAGTACTAGACGAATCCATGTCTGTGGACGGTGGTTTGCCTGTGCCAAACGGTGTTTGGCGAGAAAGTTATCGACGACTGATTTATACAAGACAGGTCCTTCGTATTAGTGTATTGAGAGTTTGAGTCACTAAGCCTTAATCTGAAATACACATTCGTGGTTATCTAATGCGACAATACTTCCCAAGAGCCTTGATTAAATAAGTCTCGTTCTTAAACTGTGGGTTCTCTTTTAAGGTGAAAGAGCTAACTAACGCCGGGTCTCTAAGCCGATTCTAACCTCATCAATTCAACTTTAGGAACAATCAACTGGACAATTCGAGTCATCCCAAGGATCAACCTGTTTGTTTAACATTAAAGCTCGGTTTGATAACTCTTCTAGAGCATCATCTTCTGAATCAATATACTGCACAGCATGTGCCTGGTTGTCAAACGACAATTCCACGGAGGTCAAAATGGATTGAACGTTGAATTAGCCCTCGTCCAGGGCAATAACTACTTCTCGCTTCACGACAGAAGATCGTAACACTAGTAGGTATACCGGAAGTCCTTATTCTCCCCATCCGTCTTATCCTCCCTCTCCTGCTCGATACCGGCCTGCAACCTATCCTCGGGAACCCCAAACTTGGAATTGCGCCGCTTGTTCTCCGCCACGCAGAGCAGGTAGTACACGAGCCCCGAGGCGGCCATGAGCGCAAAAGCAAACATCATGGCGCTGATGCCGAGCGGGTACCGCGGCGCCTGGCTCGACAAGAACAGCTGGGGACCGACGATGTTGCCGACGGCGTAGCACACGGCCACCGTGACGCCCATGAAGCTCTTCTTCGTAGCGCCCGCCGTGTTGGACGAGTTAAGACTCAGCATGAAGACCCAGGGCACGTTGTAGAAGCCCATGATGTACACGCACGCCAGGCTGGCGTTTCTGTTCTGGTTGATGTCGAGCGTGTGCACCATGACCGCGCCGACGAGCCCGACGAGCGCGGAGAAGATCCAGAAGAGGCAGCGCAGGTTCTGCACGAACATGGAGATCGTGGTGAGGACGACGCCGGCGACCATGGCGACCGCGGCCTGCGGCGTGGCCATGAGGACGGTCTTGGTCTGGCTGAAGCCGTAGCCCGAGATGATGAGCGGGTTGAAGTTCGTGATGCCCGCGTTGGCGACGGCGTAGCCGATGGCGCAGGCCCATACGCACCAGCATTTCGGGTCCTTGACGGCCTCGAGGATCTGCTGCGCGTCGAACTTCTTCTTGACGTCGACGCCCGTCTGGTTCTCGGCGAGGCGGACGACGACCTGTCGCTTCTCCCGCTCGTCAAAGAACCATGCCTTTTGCGGGGAGTCGGGCAGCGCGAAGAGAACCACGAAGCCGACGAGGACGGTGACGGCGCCGTAGATGATGAAGATGTACTTCCACGTCGACAGGCTCCCCTTGATATTGCCAATCGCGTAAGACAGAATACCGCCAAACACGCCGGCGAACGTATTATGCCACAGCGCCGTCCGCAGGGGCTGCTCTTCGCGGCGGTACCACGTCGCGTTGAGGACGAGCATGCAGGGGAGTAGGGCGGCCTCGAAGATGCCGAGCAGGACGCGGATGGCGGCGAGGCCGGCGAAGTTGTGGCAGGCGGACATGAGGCAGATGCAGGTGCCCCAGAGGACGAGGCAGGCGCCGATGAACTTGCCGATGGGGAGCTTGGTGATGAGGTAGAGGGCGGGGAGTTCCATGGCCAGGTAGCCAAAGTAGAAGACGGAGCCGAGCCAGGAGTATTCCTGCCCCTTGAGGTTCGCGTCTTGTCGGAGGCCAAAGATTGCGGCGAAGCCTAGGGCGTTCTATATCTCGGTGACATGGTTAGCCAATGTATATTCCATGGGCAGAAGAGAAAGAGAGGCAGAGTAGATTTTGAGAGACTTGCCTTGTCGAGGAACGCGAGGGTCATGCTGATTACGGCGCAGGGAAGGACGACGAGGTCTGTCTTCAACAGGATGCGCCTGTTTTGCGCGGGCGTCGGCGCCAAGGTCTCGTCGTACTGGGAGATTCCATCTTGTACGTCTTTGACGTCCGTCTGCTCCGTTGCGTCGTGGTCGACGATGGCTGATTTGGGTTCCATCATGAGAAATGGAAGCGTGGTGGAAACCACTTGGTAAGGTAGGTAGGTATGTACGGAACCGTGTAAGTCGGAGCGTGTGTGCTTCTAGGCAAACTCTCAATCAACGAGACAACCTAGTCAGACTCATTCAAGAGCCAACTTTCTTCTCAAAAGTCAAGAAGAATGAAGTCCAAGTTCGAGATCAAGGCCCAAAGACCAAACATGCTCCCCCGAGTCGGCGGCGGAACCGCAGGTATTTCAATGGCTCAACTCCACATCCCATGTCCCTGACTTTTCGATATCAACGAGAGCTCTGCCGGATAACACCAATTTCGTTCATCGATATGGAGACAAGCCAGGATAGAACCTGCGATTGACGTTATCATTCTGGGGTATCACGCAATGAGAAGGTGGAGCATTTGCTCGGTCCCCACCGAGATGATTGATGTCGAGATATCGGTGCAGTCCGAGGTGTTGTGCTGACTCGTGCTCCACCGGTCCTCACACTGTTGAGATCAGCGTTCAAGTACTACCGCAGTAAACGCCGTGTTAGCTAACAATGGTGTGGCATTTGTCTCAATATGTGACAAGGGAAAACTAGTGATGAAGAGCCTTTTCTTTGCATTATCTTGTTATCAAATAGCAAGTTTCCGAGCAAAATGCTGAAGACTACGTGAGTTCACGTTAGATGTCTTCCAAGGCAGATGATGCTCATTATTACTCAAGCCGAGACTTTCGTTTAGCCTACTTACGATTTGACCAAAATTCGCTTGATTCTAGACAGCTGGATGTTAATCAGGTTTCGTTGGCAAGATATTATGATAATGTGCATCTGGTCGCTCTGGAACACGGGCTCATTGGTAAATAAATTGGTATTAGTGAGACTCTGGAAATGATGCCAGAAAGGACTCCTCGAAGACTCAGAGCTTCGACTTCAGTCTATCAAGAACACTCAGATCCCGAGCCTGCTCAATTTCAGCCAGAATCACCTCCCTCGACCTCGCAGTATCCCGCTCAACCTCGGCCGCATACAGCTTCTGAATCGCCTCCGTCAAAGCCCCCCTCTTCCCGTCCCCAATCATCCGCCCATCAACCTCCGTAACATGAATCTGCGACGGGAAAGTCCCCGTACAGAAAGCCTCGTCGGCCCCGTACACCTCCGTCAGCGCGAAATCGAGCTCCCGCACCGTGATGCCCGCCGCCCGACAGACGTCAATGGTCTTTTGCCGCGTGATGCCCATCATCTGGTTATCCTTTGTCGGTGCCCACACCTCGTCGCCGCGAACGATGAAGAAGTTGACCGAGTTGCACGTCTTGACGAAGCCGTTGAGGTCCAGCATGAGCGCTTCGTCGACGCCCATAAAGTTGGCGTGCACGCACGCCTGCACATCTGTCGCCTTGGAGATGTGGTTCCACTGCTCGTCCTTGACGTCGGGCGGGCCGCGCCGGACCCAAGTCGTTCCCAGGCGCAGGCCGCGCGACTTGGCTGTCGGATCGACGGCTTTGATTTCGGGGATGATGACGATGAGGGGCAGGCCGATGTTGACGTGCGGGTTCTGGTAGGGCGTTGACTTCAAGCCTCTGCTGACGACCAGACGCATGTGGACGTGAGGCTCGTTTCCCATGTCGTTCGCGTCCAAGGTCTGGTGAAGAAGTGACAGGAGGTCTCCTTTTGTCAGGCCCAAGTCCATGCACATTGCCTTGGCAGACTGGAAGAGCCGATTAATGTGCTCCTTGGCGAACTGGACTCGGCCTCTTACAGCACGAATGCCTTCCTACAATGAGAAGCATCAGATCAGCGTTTGGACTTTTCTATGCCGGCTTGACCCTTTACTTACCCAAATTCCATCGCCTATGAGGAAGTTTGAGTCAAAGACCGAGACTATTGCTTGCTCTCTGGGGACTAGACGGAATTTGCCGGTAACGCCGTCGCGTATGCCAACCTTGTGTCCATAGTCAGTATCCTATTTTGGTGAAGAGTTCCAAGACAAAGACATGTCTTACCAATATAGAAGCATTTTTGGAGTTCAGAACAGCCGTGTGGCTTGTGGCCGGCTGAGGCTTTGGCTGAGAGTCGGACATGATGCTGGCGATGCTCTGTGCGCTGTGATTCCGTGTAAGTCGTAGAACATATGTTTAGAAGTTAAGTCTTGAATAAATACCACGCTTGTACAGAACCAAGAACCCCGATTTTTGTTCTGCAGGGACACTGGTCAAAGAAATGCCTAAAAGATGCCCCAATGCTTTTCCCAATGAGTAGGTAGTCTTGGCCGGCACCGCGCTCGGCCAGGGCCGAAACTCTGGTGACATTGCGCAAGCCAATCCCCACATATCATCGGTCCAGTCCGAGATCACCTCGGTCTTTGGGTATTAGCTTCAACCAATGCAATGGAAGTGAGGGATCAAATCGATAACAATGATCCGATGTTGAGCTCTAGTTTGGAATCAGGCGCTCGATTTATAACTGAGGTTGTGTGATGGCATTAGGTTAGCAAGTGTCGATAGCCACTGGTCACCCAACTTGCGCAAATGGATGTTGTAGGCAGGCTTGGTGTTGCTGGGTATCAATTTGACGATGTATCATTCAACCCAAGTTCCCTATTCTGTTGGACTGGAACTCGTCCATGAAGGTATCAAACCAAGCAGTGAGACCCTCATCTAAACCCAGTTGAGCGTTGTCGAAATACCCCGTGACTTGGTTCATGTACGTTTCCAACCCATCGCCTTGGAAGAACATGTTGGACTGCGTATTGTCTGCATCAAGGAGACCAAGAGTGTTCGGTCCGTTCACAGGAGCTACTGGCGACGCATCTGTGGGTTGGGTTTGAGCAACTGGCGGCTCCCACGTCCTTGGACCATATACTTTGATTCTTGCTGCCTGGAGAAGATCGCGATACTTCAGCAGGCCTTCTTCTTTCATCCGGGCAGTTCCGCGTTCGATGAGATCCATGCATAATGCCACATTGCTTCCATGGGAGTAGAGGAGAGGGGATTCTGGACTTTGATTCATCGCTTTCACGTGCCTAGTAGCTAATGGTCAGTTCGTAACCTTTAAAAGAATGCCATCCGGGGTCTGGTGGGAGAAGAAGCCTACCAGTCACAGTACAGGCCTGCTAATCCTACCATGAGGATCGAATGCACTTGCCGTATGCATCGGCAAACGGCAGTTATGCCATGCTGAAAGTCCAGCTTTTGCCACTGCTGAACAGTTCCAGACACGGCCCGAGAGCATATCTCAGCCATTTCTTTGGATGGAATCATGAAAGTGGGAGATGGCCGATACATGAGTAGCAGGAGAAGGCCATATTCAATCTTCATCTCGGAGTACTCGCGCGTTCCTTTGAATTTCAGGGCTTCCAAGTCTCGTTTCCAGCTCTCTAACTCTTGCTGGATCTTTTCGACCTCGTTGCATATTTCCTGAAATGTGGTTCTTGATGCTCGCCCATCAGAACCTCTGGCGATGTAGATGGATTCAAGGACGCGTCCGCCGATCTGGCGTAGTCTCATCAGATGATTGAAAAGCTTCACATTGAGTTTCTGGAACGAGGGCGCCGCCCGACTTTCTTGATCTGTGAGCTCGTCGAGAGTGCTGACAGATGGCTTGGGTGCATCTATAGCATGCTCTCTGACCGAGAGTACCCTGCCTGTTATGACCGCTACCTGTCTTTCCAGTGCGTAGACACACCACCACGTCCGGTTCCGGATCTCCCGGTCATCGGAGCTCAGGTCGCCAGGGGTGACGGAACGTCGGTGAAGGCCCATCTCTATGGCTGTTGACATGGCATATCGACTCATCTGCCAGAGGTCGTCGCCGTGATTTCTAATGTTTGATCCTAACATCCATAAGCACAGCAAGAGCACGGAATGCAGGCCTTGCAGGTCTCTCGGGTGATCGTGTATGTTCAAAAAGAATTGTAGGCCTGTCTGGAAGTAGTCTGCTGGGCTGTTCAAGTCCATCATCTGTCGGTACTCCTGGGCTTCTGTGCAAGTTGCCGAAGCGAGGGCTAGCACCATGAGGATCAGAAATTTTTGATACAACGTGCACCTGGCTGGGTCTTCGTACATTCGTACAAGACTGCCCCTCAAGAAGGGAAGAGAAACGAACGGCCACCATGGATGTATGCGACTGATGTATGTTGTCAGGAGAAATCTTGCGACTGGCTGCGGCGGGAGTGCAGCGTTGTTTCGGACGAGTTCGTGATCGTGACTGGAGGATTCTTGGCGACCAGAGTGCGAGACTGATGACGATCCCGACAGGTTGATCTGCTTAAAGAAGATACGAGCGAAGGTTGAGCCAGTAGCACTGCCCACTAAGGAGCAGAAGCATCAATCAATATCATTCTGTATTGCATCACCAATCCATGGCGTGAAGGAGCCACACTTACTGTAGATTCTTTCCGAGTAACCGCTCGGCCTCCCAATTGCAAGAACGCCAATCTCCTCGGCCTCTTTGCGAACATCATTGAATTGGCCAGGTTCAGATATCGGACCAGTCTGGCTTGCGGTGGCCTCAGAAACAGCGTCGAGTTTGGCTTGAAGCTCAATGATTCTGTCTTGGAGGCTTTGGACAGCAGCGTACGTGTAAGTCACACGGTCAGTGATATTGCACTGCTCATTTTGCTTGTGGCAAGTTGAGCATCGTGGAACCCGTAAATCGCACTTGAACATGTCAGTAATCCAGATCCTCCTTATTAGAAGAGTGACTACCTACCTTAACTTTCCTTGCATGGCAACGGCTACATGCCTTGGATACTGTCGGTGGAAATCGTGATTCCCACGTTGGATCCATCATTTGTGGATTGAGGATTTGTTCGTGTTGCTACTGGCTCTGTAGCTTACCAGAGTGTGTAGTTCTCTACGTCTCGGGGGTGTCCGAGTCTCAGGTAGGTGGACTTCGGAAGACAGTTAAAGAAACAGTGCGTGTCACTGTGTCACTGAGCTGCCAGTGGAAGTCGGGGATTCTTATCGATAGACCGCCCCACTTGCCATTAATGGTGATTTTCCAAGGATGCGGTTCGGTGGTCGGTGAATCTCGGTGTAGAGCTCCTGTTTGCTGTGTGTAAGTCTGACCTGACTTGGATGCCTTCATAGGCAGCTCAAGAAATCACACAGGAGAAAAAAAGAGTGCACACTTTTGTTTATTTTCACGCTCCCAATACAATTGCTTCGGAAGGAGCGCATCTTTTCCTTTTCCTCCCACGCACACTTACCACAAAAACCTCTTCCACTTCACACGCATCCGCCACTCGTTACAACACGCAAACAACAGCCTCCATCGAGAATTTCAATATCCAATTTCATCGCCATCGATCAGCTTTTTTTTCCCACACCAAACCACTGAGCCTCAGATACAGTTTCCATCAAGAAGTTGATCGAGAAGCCTCAGTATGACTCCCGCTGGTGCCATTGCTTTGTTGGTCATCCTGGTCATTGCTCTCGTCTGCACTATCATCTGGCTCGCAAAGGACCAGGTTCACACCTTCGTCAAGGCTTTGGCCGATCACCGAGCGGCGCGCAAGGAGGCTTCGACCACTGCCAATACAGAAGTCCCCTCCAACGAGGCCACCGTCTAGGTACGTTATTTCTTCATTTTTCCCGGCAAAGAATACCACACTCCCATCTGGATGTCATTGTTCATGGGCCCTGGTCTTCAGGATGTGGCTTGACTTCTCAATGTCATCGACTTAGCGCGCACCAGCCACACTCAATCCCCAAATTCTCCACCAAAATTTATTCCATCCTGGAAGCTCTCCAAGCACCGATAGACTGACTTCATTGCGCGCCGCCCCCAGGTCTCTCCACGCTCCCACGACAAAATCGAGCCATTCCATAGCAATGGCGACCCGACGCGCTCTCCGCTCCTCTTGGAGCGCGCGATCCCTTTCGAACCAGCTCAGCACATCTCCTTCCCCTATCTCCCGCCCTTTCGCAATCGCCTCCCGATCCATCAACACCTCAACCGACCCTTCCGCCGATGGCAAGACAACCCACTTTGGCTTCAAGACTGTCCCCGAGTCTGAGAAGGCCGACCGCGTCGCTGGCGTTTTCCACAGCGTCGCCGACTCTTACGACCGCATGAACGATCTCATGTCTTTTGGCTGGCACAGAATATGGAAGTACGTTTAGTTTCTCTCAACATCTGCATCATGCCATCACTACTAACACACCTCTCCCAGGGACCACTTCGTCTCTGGCCTCCAGCCAGGCCTCTCAGCCTCCAACCCACCCACTCCCCAGCACATCCTCGACATCGCCGGCGGCACAGGTGACATTGCCTTCCGCATGCTCCACACGGCGCACAACATCAACCACAACCCCGACGTCCGCGTCACAATCTCCGACATCAACCCCTCCATGCTCGCCGTCGGCCGCGACCGTTCCCGATCCCTCCCGGCCTCCCAGCAGGCCGCCATGTCCTGGCTCGAGGCCAACGCTGAGAAGCTCCCCGAGGGCGCCATCAAGGACAATTCGATCGACCTCTACACCGTCGCCTTCGGCATCCGCAACTTTACAAACATCCCCGCCGCCCTGCGCGAGGCCCACCGCGTGCTCAAGCCAGGCGGTGTCTTCGCCTGCCTCGAGTTTAGCAAGGCAGACGACTACCCGCTCTTCAACGCCATCTACAAGCGTTGGTCCTTCAGCGGCATTCCCCTCATCGGCCAGCTCGTCGCTGGTGACCGGGACAGCTACCAGTACCTCGTCGAGAGTATCGAACGGTTCCCCAGCCAGACGGAGTTCAGGGATATGATCAAGGATGCTGGTTTCGTTGTCTCTGGTGAGGGTTATGAGAACTTGACTGGCGGTGTTGCTGCCATTCACAAGGGTATGAAGCCTATTGCGTAATGGTCGATTCAGGGGTAATCCGGGAGGAAGGGGATTCATCAGGAAAAATGGGGTTTGGTGAGCTCGAGAAGCTCTTGTAAACTGTATGTATATGTATCAACACAGGGAAATCAATCATCGGCATGGTTGCATAGAAGGCGGGCACCCCCAGACAGACTCTCTACACAAAATGTATACCAAAAAAGGCCGCTGGACCTATTTTATAAGCAACACGACTCAAGCAACCTTGGAGAAACCTGAGGAAACGGCAAGCGCGGCCTTGAGCTCCCAAGTCTGGCTGAGCGACTTGAGTGTTCTGGACAGGACACTGCTCAGCTGGACTTCGTGTCAGTGAGTCCCCGCGGACGTATCAGTGAAAGTGATCATCGACAACAGCAAGGAAGCCGCCACGAGCCTTTGATATCTCCCATTGAGACCATCAAAACCTGACAATTTAGCTCGTGTTGGTAGCATGGCTGCTGACAGGACAACAAGAACGGGTACGCCTCTAAACAAAATATCCATTCTATCCTTTTAATCGCCTGGCATACTCTCCATCTACAAGGCCATTTTTGTCCAAGGCTCGTTAAGCAGCTTGTCCATCGTTGTTTCTGTTCGGCTAGGACACTCTCTGTCCATCTTCATATTAAAGCGTCCTCTTTCTTGTAATCCAAGGCGATGGAGCAGCCCGCTCGGATGGCTGCTTCGATCTCGACATCGAAGTGGAGGTAAGTGTCGGTGAAATCCACGGTGTTGGTGACCTTTGCTAGAGTGACTTTCGTAGAGCACACCTCTACTAAAACCATTTTAAATGCCCGCACTTATATTCATCACGCGGCCTTCAAGATCAGTTCATCTGTGAATACGAACGGGAGCGGGCCGACGTAAAGAGAGAGAGAGAGAGAGAGAGAGCCTTCTATCAATTATGACCGCTTGACTCTTAAAGCTGATTCTTCAGCGAATACGGCCAGGGAGAGCGCAACGCAGGGGAACAAACGTTCACATTACCTCGACTCTCAATACCTGCCTGGTACTTTATCATGTTATAGCTCATCAAACAAAAGATTTCGGATCGGGAACATGGTTTCCAAAGATGCATCTGTTGTCAACAACGAGGCCAAGCTCATCCTGGTCCGAGGCAGAGGCTCTGTCCACAATGCTACTTTATAGAACCAGAGTTGTGAGGTCTTGGGAATACCAAGCTTTATTTCTTGGTAGGTACGAAGAACCAGTTTGTGAACTTGGGAGTCAGCAAACGGGGACCGGCTTGCCTCACTCGCTGTAATTTTAACCCCCTCCAAAGGTAATGGAATGCAGCTAAGCCCGCATTTGGCCTTCATGGGCGTGCACTGCCCGATCATCGATCTCTGCACTGCAATTTTAACCCCCCTCAAGGAGTCTGTGTTTCGGTGTCATGCAATTCGGCAAGTCCTCTGATTCGCGCCGTACCCTTCTCCCTGGGGAGACCTAAGGATGTCAGCATTGCACTGCAGTCTTAACTCTCCCTAAGGGGATAAAGCCAAGCTTAGGTCGCAGCTTGTCCTCCAATAAGCTCTGATACCATACCATCTACCGCGCCGGGGGGCTACCTCGAGCCTCGCTTCTCCCGAGGCTCTTCACTAGAATCTGCCTCCTCTAAGCCATCTGTCCATCTTACTCCGGCTTACGTACTTCAGCCCCTTTTCATTGCAACTTTAACTCCCCCAAAGGCAAAGCCGGCCGAGCCTTCCTCACAGCCTGACCCTAGGTAGCCTCTCAACTACGTCATATAACTACATGCCATCTATACTCCAATTTCATACCAAACAAAATAAACAATTCTCTTGCCCAACATACAGAGATATGAGCTATAATATCTCCGCTCAAGACTGACGCCGAGAGCACAGCAATACTGTGTTGGCACTGTGTTGGGAACTCCATTTCTCGAAGACTATCAACCTCACAAAGAGGTAACGTCTACTACATCAAGACTTCCAGGAAAGCTTCAACGTTCGGAACTAAAACAACGTTCCAGGCCTTTCTCCCTCTCGTCTCATAGAAGAACAACCACCTTTTTATGCACTTCTCACCGACGAAAAGAAAAAACTCTCCAAACATGGATGAAAAACGGAAACTTGAGTTGGAAAGAAAAGGTCCTCTCCACCTTTCCCCCCCTCAAGTTGTCTCATTAAGATACGCGTACAAGAATTGGTAGCACTTATTTTTTCTTTGGCCCCCCTTTCTCCCATTCATAACCGGCAAAAAACGATAAAATCTTTGTCCTTTCATTCCCCTGCTTGCGAAGGGCCAAACTTGGCCATTACAGCTTCAAAGACTTCATTTGATGGACCACGTGGCTTCGATTCCGAGGCCTGAGCCATCTTGCATACTTCATCAAAGGCTTCAGGAGGAGAGCCCTACTCTGCCGGGGTAGCAGGACCGGGGGCGGGGGAGGCGCCGCCTTCGCCCTTGAGGCCACCGCGACCACGTCCTCCACGTCCTCCGCGCTCGCCTCCTCGTCCACCTCGGCCACCACCACGGCCGCCACGACGGGTGCTCTCGGAATCACTGGCGCCACCGGCACTGCGGTAGCCGCTGCCAGTGTTTGCAGAGTTACCACCGCCTCTGCTGCTGCCCCAGTTGCCGGCACCACCGCGGGGCTGGAACTTGCTCTCGCGGTGTTGGAAAACCTTGACGAGGGGACGAGACCGGTCCTCTTGAGCCCGGGTCTTGAGGTCTTCGGGAAGGCTGTTCAGAGCAGCATCACGCTCCTCAATCGTCTTGAACATGACAACTTTGTTGGAGTTGCCCCATTTCTCGACCTTGAGGATGTTGTTCTTGTGCTCGCCGTCGAAAAGATCACGAGTCTGCTCCTCGGAGTTCACATTCATAATGAAAAGACCGACAATATCTTGAGCAGGTGTCTTGGGCGCGGGAGAAGAGACGGGGTCAGGGCCGTTGGCTGATCCGTTAGCAGCTGCAGGCGCAGGGCGCTCGTCCTTGGGAGGGACGGCAGGTGGTGCCGCAGCAGCAGGTTGAGGAGTTCCAGGCTTAGCTGATGGCAGGGGTGTTGCGACCGCAGGCTTGGGAGGTGCTTGGGATGACGGCTGTCTGCTGGTGGGCGGGGGAGCCGTAGTCTGAGTAGAAGGCGGGGCCGGGGCGGGCAGGTTGCCAGCACCAGCAGGTCCGGCGGGAACAGGCGCAGCGGCCTTGGCACCTCTGTGTGAGAAGTTGAAGCCTTGGGCGCGCATCTCGGTTCCGATACGTCCATCTTGAATCTCAAGCACCAACCATCCGAATGCAGCATCAGCCAAGTTGAAGTTCCACATGTTCTTGAAAGCACTCTCGTCGACCTGGCCGAGCTGCGCCTGGCCGGCAACGGGGCCGCCGAAGGGGTTGCCTCCCGCAGCAGTAGTGGGCATCTTCTCGACAATCTGAAGGGCGTTCTTGAGCAGGTTCTGTTGGCCCTCGTTCTGAGAGATGGCTGGCTCGACTTCGTTCTTGACCGTCTCCCAAACATCGTTGAAAGAGGCCTTGGAGGCAGCGAGCTTGCCGCGGTAGTGGTCGAGGGTGGGGTTTACGCTGAACTCGTTGTAGGAGCTGCCGTAGCGGAAGTGGAGTCCGGCAGAGATGGAGAAGTCGGCCTTGAGGGTGACGGAAAGCTGGTTCAGAATACCCTCACGGGCAGGGGAGGCGTGGGTAACGAAGACGCGGGTTTCGGTGGGGTCGTAAACTCGGTGCGCAGTGTCGACAAGCTCGCCCATCTGCAACAGGGTAGTCCACATAGTTCCCTGACCTCCGGCAATCGTAGTTCTTCCTTCGCCATTGTCGAAGAGCTTGTGCATGACAACAGCACCACCAAGACCCAAGAGGCGCAGCTTGACTCCACCGAGCTCGAGAAGCATCGAGCGGGCCTCGTCGATGATGTGCAGGTTGTGTACCTTATACTCTCCGGAACGGAACTTTTCGAGAACGCGGACATCTTCGCAAGCACCCCATACAGTGTATACTGGGATATCGAGCTTGATCTCGCCGCTCAAGAGTAGAGAGAGCTCGGAGAGGGGAAGCTCGTTGGCAGGGAACCGGCTCTTGACGGGTCCGGGGCCGCCCTGCTGAATGGCCTTCTTGACGGGCTCGGAAATCAGGGGAGAGTATTGAGCAACATGCTTCAGGGTTCTTCGCACCAGTGTCAGAATGACAACGGTCGGTTATAGAGTCGCGGAGTGTTCCTTACTTTTCTGCGATTCGCTCCAGGGAGGTGTCGTCGTAGAAGCCAAAGTCGCCAGTGTGGATGATGTGATCGGCTCGTGCTTGTCTTGCCAGGTCGTTGAGGGATGTGAGGTTTCCTATCAAAGTTGCCGTTAGATTCAAGCTTCATAGCCGGTCGCCCGACGGGATTTGATGGAATGGCGACGAACCTCGAACATCAGCTATGCACAGAACTCGGATGGGGCCAGTCTGGATAACGCGACCCTGGTTGGGGAGGAGAGGCGCAGCTCCAGGAGGAATCGAAGAAGCTCCGTTGGGCATGTAGCCCGGGTTGTTGTTGTTGTATGGACGCGGCTATAGACATCGATGACATGTTAGTACTGGGGCCAGAAGCGGGACAAGGAGGAGCTGTCAGGGTCCCGCCGGAGAACAGCGAAGCATCACGGCCACGAGGACAGAGCAGAGCGGGGAGATGCGCAATGAGATAGAAAGCATCACGAGGTGTATGATACTGGATGGGGAGCTTGAAATGACGAGAAAAGGAGGTAACTCACGGCAGCCATGCTAGTTTGTTGTCGAGGTAATCGCGAGATGGAGATTGGGCGATTGGAGGTCGCAGGGGGAGACGATCGGGCTCGGGGGTTCGTCGTCGGGAGAGTGACCGGGTGCTCGGTTCGGGTGGTCGTCGAGGGGAGGAATTGGGTATCAACGGAGATGGAAATGAGGTTGGAAGGAGCAGACGGTGATGTTTGCGACGAGAAAAGGAACAAGCTCCCCTTACAAGGCTGGTGATATTTTTCTGGAGGTTGAGGAAAAGTGCAAGGTGTAGGTGGAAGCAACGAACGGACGAATTGGCGCACTGCCAGAAGAGGCTGCTCTTGCCCCAAGTGGTTTAGCGCGGATGCTCACAGCTGGCAGGGGCTACAGAGGTAAGGTAATGTGCTGGGCCTTTCCAAGACTCAAGAGCAACTCCAGCTACCAACCTTAGGTACCTACCCGACTCCTCTTAGCTATCATGAGGCGGGTACCTTAGGCAGAACAGCACTTAAGCACCTCAAAGACTCAAATGGAACGGGACCTCCACTGGAACCTAAGGTACCTAAGCTCGCTGAGTGACTGACGGGAGAGCCTGCTGGGCACCTCCAGGCACCACAGCGGGGCTCGGGCAGCTGCCTTCCAGGTAGCGCTAAACATACCCGGGACCTCAGCTCCTCACTTTATTGCTCACTTCTGCCCCGAGTTGGACCTCTCAGGGATAGACACGACATTCGATTCAAACGGAGGCGAACAGCACCTCAGCTCACTCTCTTTGATCGTTTAGACCTGCAGATCCCGTCGCAAATTTCTCCTTGCAGACATATACAGTACAGTGTTGGGATCTTCTCAAAGGACCACGGCACACCTCAAAGATACCCTAGACCTCTCAGCAACCTTGGCACGTGAGGTCTAACCTCTGGAATAAGGCCCGGCGGGATGAGGCGGGAGTCCGGAGACCGGAAGCCGAAACAACGACATCCCAACGACTCGCGCCCAGCTTGGGGCAAGGTATTGGGTAAGCACGGAAGCAAGTGAGGAGCAAAGAAATGGATCCACCACATTTGCTGTGGTTGCGCTACTCTATTCTGTCTTCCCCGCGTGTCACGATTGAACCTAAGTAGCCTCCAGAAGATCCCGGTCGCTATGCTAACTGTTTACATGTGCTGCAACAAAAGCACTCCACCGTCCGTCCACCACAAGTCAAGCCAGCAGGATACTAAATATGAAGATATAAAAGGATGTGAAAATGAAAGGACTCGTGGAGGCTTAGCCAAGCCACACATGGGTTCCCCTTTTGAATATATGTTGCACTCGATCCATCAACTCCGCCTTATGCACATACGTTTGGATGATTACACAGCGCCTTCCAACTAGGTTCGAGACTGCAATAGAGGCAGAGCCTAGGAGTCTCGCCGTCCAAAAATGCCTTTTTCACAAGTAGCTACAGCTACAGCTGTCGCTGCTTCTCACCACATGTCCTCACGGTCGTCCCGGCGCCTTACGTCGTCGCTACCGTCACGCCCGTACTGATCGTGATAATACTGCTTGCCAGGCTGAGGGTCATAGCTGTCAGGGCCTTGGTAGCCATTGCTGCGTCCGTTATCCACGTCGCCGCCATGGTCGTACTCGTAGATTTGAGCGTCATCAACATAGTCCACCTCATCATGAGGATGGTCACCGTATTGGCTCTCGCCCTAGGAATTGAGTTAGCTTGGCTCTCCAGACGAGAGTAGAAATAATCAACATACCCGATGATAGTCAAAGTTGTACTGGCCCGTCGAGTCCTGCTCCCCCGCCTCTTGCTGCTGCTGCTGCTGTTGTTGCTGCGCCAAGTACTGCTCTTCCTGTTCCTTGCGGCGACGCTCCTCTTCCAGACGTCTTTGCTGCGGCGACTGAGGGACCTGCATCTGCGGGTGCATAGCCTGAACGATGGCGAGATAGTTGTACATGAAGTTGCTGAGAAGAACCTGACTCAACAGAGAGCGACGCGGGTTTGCGAGCTTAATGTGAGCCATCCGATAAATCGCTCGTTCCTCGAGCAACGGGAATCTGGTCCAGTGGTAGTCGACGTCAGCCTTGAGCGGGCGATACGGCACCTCCTCCGAGACCCGCAGATGTTGGTTCTTCTTGCTGCTGCTCTCCTTTTCGCTCTTCTTCTTGCCACCGCCAAAGAGGCCTGAGAAGAGACCACCCTCCTTCTCCTTCTTGGCTTCCGACTTCTTGCTCTCCTTCTTCCGCTCTTCGGCCAATTTGTTGTCGACGTTGTCGCGGTCCACAATGATACTTTCTCTTCCCTTAGAAGACGCCCCTTCGATCGAGTTCTGGAGCACATCCAAACGGGCATTGTCCTGTCCCTTCTCGGCGACTTGCTGCTTTTTCCTCTTCTCCTCTTCCTTCTTCTTCTTGTCCTTGTCGTCACTACCGCCCTTGAGCCACTTTGACCAGCCTCCAGAAGATTTGCTCGAAGATACACTGGAAGCATCATCGTCTCTCTCCTTTCTCAGTTTCTTCTCTACCCTCTTTTCTTCTGGCTTCTTCTCCTCTGGCTGGAGAGTGGGAATAAACGTCAGCGTATCGGTTCGGTTTGCGCCACTGCCAGGTAAGACAGATGGGTGGGAAGCCATGTCGTTCAAGGTGTGATTAGGGGCATTGGTTTGCTGCTGCTTGGACTGCTGCTGCACCTGTGGCGGCTGTTGAGGTGCCGTAGGTGTTGTCGGGCTTGGCGCAGAGTTGGCTGAACCCGGGCGTTTGCTTGAACGAGCGGGAGGCTCGTCCATTAGGGGCTGCGAGGGGGCATGCTGTGAAGATGAGGACCTCTGGGGGAACTGCTGCCTTTGCGCGCTCTCGTCCGTCGCTGGTGACTCAATAATGGCAGGAACCGGGGGCTTGGCATCAGCTGAAACCGAAGATGTTCTCGTTGGGTGTTGCTGCTCAGGACGTGTGCTCAGGGGAGAAACAGGTTCTTCAATCTCGGACGAAGCGCCGTCAGATGTCGTGCCCAGATCTTGAGAGAACTTGTGCTGGCGTCTGACGGAGCGATTGGGGCGCGAGAAATTCTCTGACACTGGCTCTGATTGCGCTCTTTGCTGCGTAGGCAATGGGGGCACTTCGGGCACGTCAGATGGCAGAGGGGGGACCGTATCCGCGGAGTCAGAGGAATCCGTGTGGGCATGTCGGTTGGCGACCCGTTTGGAGAATGGCAATCGATCTGAGCGTACACTGCCGTTCTTTCGGTATGTTGTTCGGGTTGACCGGCGAAGTCCCATGCCGGGAGCTACAGGCAAGATGGGCAGATCCTCGGCGCCAGCCTCCGGTTGAGCACCTTCAGCAAGCTCACGCACTACTTTGGAAGGATCCTTGACTAATTCGTTCAGGTTGAGCTCAGGAGTTGAATAGTCCCTGAGTGAGCTCTTGCGTCCGAGTCTCTCGGCGCCATCAATGTACCCAACGGCACCTCTTCCCCCAGAGTTGTCGATTTGCCGTGAGAGCATGCTCTTCTTTCTTCGCAGGCCGCCGCCAGAATCGCTTCGGCCCATACCGCCGTCACTAGAGTCGCCCGATCGCCGCCGAATCGTCTTGACACGATCCTCCAAGAAGGTCTTGAATTCGGTCGGGGCCAGCTCGGGATGGACTGCCGCAGGGACCCAGAGTAGCCTCGAAGGATCATTTTCGTCGTCGTCTCCCGTTGGCGCGATAGGAGGCATGGCGACAAGGGACAAGCCGGAGAAGGGGAGCATATCAGGGTCAGCATTATTTCCGACATCCATAGACATGCGCCGCAGGGCCTGCAAGTTGTTGAGTTCCTGCGCGATGTCGTTCGGGTTCTCGATGCTGCCTAGAGGAAATTGGGAGGACTCGTTCTTAACATCTCGTAAGGAGATTGGCGGCGATTTGGGACCGTTCTCGAACGACATGCTTCGCTGGCTAGGCGACCGCGTTGGCAAAGTCTGTGAATGCTTGAGAGTCGTGGAGCCATTTTGTGCCATGCCCAGGCCCGTCTTGTCCGAAGCTGAACGGATCATCTGCCTACGAGGATCGTCGTCGGAGTGGTCGGATTCGAACTTGTTGTTGAGCTGGTCGGTGTAGGACTGTCCGAGGTAGCTGATGGGTCGGCCATCGCTGTCGTACTCCTCGTCGCCGTAGAGGGTTCCAATGGTCTCGGTCACATGGTGGCTGGGATCTGAAATTGACAGCTGGCTCGCATGACCGCGTCGACTCGCAAAGCTGCCACCAACATCGGCGCGGGGTCTAGATGAGGTCTGCGGATGGCACGGAGAGTTAGTCAAAGGTGCTGTTCAGAGAAAGGAGGCCCAGTGAGCAAAATTCGAGGCCTGAAACGGAGGCAAAGAAAAGAAGCGCGCCATGCTAAACAAGGTCGACTTGAAAGGCTCTCGGAACGTTGGGTGCCAAAGATGGGTGCAGTGGCGAGTTCTGGGCAATTCTACGCACCATCATCTAGGAAAGGAATGGCCTTGAGGAAGGCCGAAAAGCCAATTATTCCCTAGAATACACCACTCGTCTGCCAAATATCTCGTTCGAAAAGAATGCGTCGTTGAGCTCTCATCTGTCGAGGGTGTAGTGCAGCATAGGCGCGGCGTGTGAGCGACGGGAGTTTCGAAGGCGGGAGTTGGATCAAGGTTGGGATCGGAGTACGGATACAGGTATGAATTCTTCGGTCGGCGCGTCGTTCAAGATCGCATGGGGACGGGAGGGGAGTGTATTGGAGCGGTACCCGGGATGTACAGCGATAAGAGTTGAAAAGACTGGAGAAGTCCGCCGTTGCAAACGAGAGAAAGAGAAAAAGCAAGCGGCAAATTATGCTGTTGAGAGCACGGAACAGCGAGAATGGGTCGGTTCGAGACTGGTCCAGGTGGGCAGTTGGCCGGCGTGTCTTGTGCTAACGTTGTGTTGTGTCGTCGGGTAGTGGTAAGGTAGAGAGACAGAGAGAGAGAGATGATGGGGGAGGCAGTGGTGGTGGTGGTAGGCGAAGTAGTGGTGGAGGAGCAAGGTAAGGTAGGAAAGGTTGAATGACGGGATGTTGCTCGTTGTTGGAAGTTGTAGCGCTCGGTAAGGCAAATGGTGTCAAACAATCTACTGGTTCGTTCACCTCACCGTCCAGTCTTGTGTCGAGAACTGGACTTTTTGGAGTAGGTATTTGGGATTGGTGCCAGTGCAGACAACCTTGGAAGAAACAGGCAGACGGGACTGCAGCCAGTCAAGTCAGAAATCAACCCCCTACTGCAGGTCGGGGGAGCGGGCAGAAGACAGAGCGCGAGCGAACGTGAGGGTGACTGGCAGAAAGGGCGATGAACAGGCGCTACCTTCTCCAGTACAGCACCAAAGTCGAGGTCACGTCGTGGAGATCAGATAGTGTACTTGGGGGACCAAGGAGGTAGACGGGTACAAGTCTATTTGCAGAGACGATCCCTGGAAGTGTGTCGTTATGGGTGTCGGAAGCGAGCGAAATGCTGGGACTGATGGAGTGGAGGTCTGAGGGGAGCAAGTACCGAGTACTTGGCTCGACCCCCAATCGGCTGGTGTCATTTGTAGCCTGGAGAGAAGGGCGCCACCGGGACTGCATTAGCGCCAGCCAGACTGGGCTAGGCGTTGCTTTGGAAAAAGCGGCCAGTCAAAGTAAAGTGAGGAAAGTGCGGTGGTCTGGCACAAAAGGCCACCTCCCTGTCACGTGCTCAGCCAAAGGCCAACGGGCGACTGTCATGGAACTGCCAACAATAGGTACCTTAGGTAAGTCCGGACTGCCCAGTTGGCGTGCCCAAAACACCTCAGGTGCCTTACCTCATGTAGGATCATAATGTCCAAGGAGATATATACGGATACGGAAACTTAGGTAATTCGGTCTGGAAGGCTTTGTGGAATAACCGGGACTGTATCCTTTATCCTTGAACAGGGCAGTCAACACCAAGTGGCCCAGGGTCGCGCAAGCAAAGCATCGAACAACCAAAAGATTACCTAATGCACGTAAGGCCACCTCTTACCTCATGATACATTAGTCTATCGTCCGTTCAGCTGAGTTGGATTGCATTTTGAGTCGTGCATGCGTCCGTACCCGTGCCTGAGCTTACCTACATCCTAGGCTAAGTGAGGTACGTATCGTCCGTTCACTCTTTGCAGAACTGGAGACAGAGGGGAAGGAGCTGCGAATTGACTGGCTGCCGTTTTGGCATCAAGTTGGGGGCAGATACGGCAGGCGGCAGGCGGCAGGCGGCAGGCATAGCGGGGGCGCAAACGAAGGGCGGGGAGGAAGGACAAAGAAACCCCGAAAAGAAATGAACGAAGAAAAAAAAAAGATAGCGGGCGACCTCAACGTTTAGAACGATCAATATCCTCAATCATCAGCGGAACAATACGAAATACCCAAGCAACATGCACAAACCATCAATGACATCGAAGCCTGCAAGGGCCCTCATCGCTGCTACGGATACTCTATACGAATACTCTCGCATTACAGGTCCAAGCCAAGACCCCGACATTTGATGTTGGATGACGACCCGAGTCCGACACAACTGGCTCCGGCCGACTCTCCCCAAAGAGCGCATGCTAACCACGAGGTTCGGATATTGGCAGTGGATGGGACATGGATGGGCCATGGCCGCACTGCGTACTGAGTAGACGCAGTACTTCGTACACAATCACTCCGTCATCTCAACTCGCCAAAGACGAAAGGAAATTCAGTCTTTCAGATTACTCGCAATGAAACAAGGAAACCACAATACGGGTTCAGGACCCTCTCGCTTCTCATCTCTAACTCGAGCTGAATCTGTCACGCTCAAAGCGCGTTTCTCGTCCCCTTCACTGCCACAATCGGATCCGAGCATAGCAGGGACAACCCACCTGGCCCAAGGTCCAAGGGACGATCCATACGCACCCGGCCCTGACATCGTACTTCTATTCACGCCTGCGACACGACGCTATCCCTTCAACTTCCTACAAGTACTCTGTGTTGTGCTACGCAGCTCCGCGAGAACTACACGTTGGCCCTTTAAAGGCACTGCGCCCTCCCGCCAATGCTCGCTCCCTCGATGACTGCCCTCAGCTCATGTGCTACCTATCTGGCCGACGTCGAAACAGCATCGGTCTTTGCTGCTGGCTGCTGCCGAAAATCGACACTAGCACGACAGAGTTACAGGGCGATCCCAGAACCCCAACCTGGCCAAAGACAAAGTCCCCAGAATAGCTCACCACTTTATGCCAGGGAACATCGGATCTCAGGACAAGGTTCGGGCGCCTGTTTACACTACTCTTCAGTCACTCAGTCATCAGTGTGCTTTTCTTTTTGTCCGAGGCACGCCTTTACGTTACCTTCTCCACGGCCTCCGAGTCTGTGCCAACGAAAACTTCCGCGCTCCAAAGTTGAGGGTTCCCTGAGCAATGCGTGGAATGCAACCCATGCACCGTGGCCGACTTCCATTTCCTTCTCGAAGGACTGGACACCGAGAGACACTGGAGTCTGGAGACCAAGGGCTGGTCAGATGCAGGGCCAGTGGACCGGTCCCCATCGTCACCGCCTCGGGCCCCTATTCACCACCGGCGGCCCCGGCCATCGACGCCGTCTCGTCGGGGTCATCTCCCACTTTCGCCCCTTGAGCAAGTTGAGCCCCCTTTGTGCCTAGGGATTTCTTTTTATTTCAAGGCCCAACCGGCCTCTTGGATCCACTAATACGCCAAAGTGACCTGAATCGGCAATCTCGTTTCCAACGCCCGCGGCCCAACGTCTTTCTTTCATTTTGCCGTTTGCGACTTGCCAAGCATCACGTTCCCATAAGGTACGTCAAGGAATCAAGACGTCGAGAACCTTCGCCCCTGTCCACAGGCACAGTCCAACACCATCATAATCACGGGTCCACGGCGGTCCATTGCGAAGCGCCCCAGCCGAGTCGCAAAAAAACCGTCGCACGGGGACGACCAACCAGAGGCCGCCCAACTGCGATCGCAGCGTAGCATGTCATCCCATCTGCCGCTTCCTAACAAGGGTGTCGCCATCCACTGGCATCCAGTGAAGAAGACCCGGCAGCCGGTCGTAGGGTAGTCGCTGAACAGTGGAAAATCGTAGCGAGAGATAGCGCTACTGAGCCCTCAACTGTTCGTGCCTATGGCTTCATCGTTTTGCGATCGCATCGGCTGGCTGGGCGCATTACGAGGAAGCTCAAAATCAGCATTCTGACTCACTATTATACGGCTTCAGTTTGATCATATGAATGCCATTTGTGATAGCAAATGCTGGCGATCAAGCGATCGACAGCGAAGCATTGGAGTATGCAGCTGAGCCAACTACACGTATCTCCGTGAAGCTGCGCTGCGGGCTGCAGCGATATGCCGTCTGTCAGAGGGACGTCTGGGCCCCCAAACTTCAGAGTAACACCAATGGAACACGATATCCATCTCCCAGATGCCTGTCGGACGTGTGGCTCGTTGTCCGCATCCTCACCCTTACAGTTGCAACAGACAGGGTCCGCGTCCTTCCTTGCAGGCTGGTCGAGAAGTTGAGCCAAAGAGCTTGCGCGAGCTATTGAAACTGTGGCGGAATGGGTAGATTTGCAGCAGAAAGTGTGGACTAGACCATCTCGAGCTTTGTCTTACATTGGTCATCCAGCACGATCGACAGTCGAGTTTCCCCGCGCCGCCACACCATCTCCAACGCACAGGAGACCTTGGTGTGCATGATCAGGCTGACGTTCAACTGCAAGGTGTGTGTGTACCAGCCTTCACCAACCCTCGTCATCGCATCACACATCTCAAACCGATGCAGCATATCTGCATGGACATCGCACCTACTGAAGATAATGCCATGACTACGGATCCCAGTCAAATGGCTTTCCGAGCCGTTACGCACTGGCTCCAGAGCCAGACTCTGCCGGTATTCTGCTGCACTACACCGGGATTCCGGCCGCGGATGCCAACAGACATCGAAGCTGACAGTGTGCCTTTATCACAGTCTCATCTGACCAAGGCGCTGAGCCAGCAAGAGCAGCATCAGCAAAGCCAGTCGCCTCAGATCAGCGACGCAGAAACCAGCGAAAGTGTCGCGCGGCGCGCATCATCTGCTCTGTGGACGAAGCCACTGCCACAGCTTCCGCCGCCCAACATGTCCTTGTCAGGCAAAGTCGCCATCGTCACCGGCGGCGCGCGAGGCATCGGCGCCGCCATCGCGTTGAAGCTCGCACGAGAAGGGGCCAGGGTGCGTCTCTACCGACCTCAATCTTGTTGAAATGAGAATTTCGGCTAAAGCTAGATTTCCGTGATTTGCGTGAGTAAAGGTCGCCTTCACCTTTGTAAACACTTCATCAATAGCCAAGGCCCATGAGGTCATATCCGAGATCGAGGCCTGCGGGTCCTCGGCGACCGCCATCCAAGCCGACGTCTCCAAGCATCAAAAGAAGGTCATCGAGCGGACCATGATGGCGTTTGGCGTTACCAAGATTGATATCCTCGTTAACAACGCCGCCGCGACGCTCAGCGCGACGCTCGACGACACCACCACCGAGGACTACGACCGCATCTTCGACACCAACACGCGCGCCGTGTTCTTTATGATGCAAGCCGTCAAGCCGCACATTGCGCCGGGCGGTCGCATCATCAACATCTCATCCGTCGCCGCGCGCGCCGATTCGCCGGGCAGTATGGCCTACGCGGGGAGCAAGGCGGCCGTCGAGGCGTTTACGCGCGTCGCAGCGCGGGAGATGGGGCAGGCGCATGGCGTGACTGTGAACTGTATCAGCCCGGGGACGGTCAAGACGGAGATGTTTGACTCGCTGCCCGACGATCAGCGCAGCGCCGACTTGGAGAGGGCCTCGCTTACGCCTGCCGAGGCGAGATTGGGCGCCGTCGAGGACATTGCCGACGTTGTTGCGTTTGTGGCGAGCGACGAGTCGAGGTGGATTACGGGGACGGTGATTCCCGTCAACGGAGGTCGTCTGATGAACTGAGACGGTGATGAGAGAGTTCGGAGGAACCAACGACTGATGGAAGTATGCGACTGAGTGGCTGATGGAGAGTGTTATGAGGGATGCGAAAAGTTATTTATATGCCGGGCCTATGGGACACAAATGGGAAAGAGGAGGGTCGGTTTTGACAAGGCTGTATAACAAGTCAGGTGTACGATGTGAGTCTGGGTCTGAGACATCGGGATGAAATTTCTTGTATTCCTTCCTTGGCTTTTTTTCCTGGTCTTTCTTGGATAACAATACGGGTGTCTCTGGGTCTTCCGGGTTTGGGTTCTATCGGGTGGGAGTGTCGGTCATGCAGTGCTACATGAAGCTGTACTTTTGGTTATTTCTTGGGATTCCCTGTCAGCTTGTTTGGGAGCTGCCTTTCTTCTTCCTCTTCGTGTATGGTAACGACTTTTGAAATTTCTTGAGTACACGGCCGGGAACAGTCTGGAATACCACTTATGAATTTGCTTTTATGTATCGGTCTTGCGGAAGCTGTGAGGTGGTGATGATGATGCAAGGCTGAGGTTGGTGATCCGGGCCAGCGGGTTTGTATATAAGGACAGACTTAGTTGTCCCTGCGGTCCATTCGTCAAACCTCCAGTCTGCTTTCGTGTCTTGCTTGTGGGGCAGAGATTCTGTGGCTTCATTTCCACTGAGAGACTGCTGGCGGTACTGGAGAATGTGGATATGAGGAAGGGCTGGGACAGGCGCTCGTGTGATCAAGCCAAACGTGTCTCATCCACCCTCTTGTCTTGTAAGGGTCTTCGGGTATCCTATCATGCAAAGTGAATACGGATACAACGATAACGGGGGTTGAAGAGAGCGCTCAAAACATCTTGAAATGTCTTAAGGCGTAAGTAAGATGCTTGTTTGGAGTTCAAGGGCCCGCCACTAAACGCCATACTCTAGATCATCGCGGACAGTTTCCCAATGTTCTCTCACTATCATGTGTCGGCGTCAGTCGAAACTCCACCAATGAGTAGGCTGTGCTTTTATATTGCCTCTGGAATGACCTCCTTTCCGATATTGACACCTTGAGGTCTCCGTAGTCATGAACCACGGCCATTCGCTTCGCGGGATTCAGCCACGTGAACTGGCATATAGCCTTTTTTTGCTTTGCCGGCTGACCTGGACCATACGGAGTCAATTGCTGTCGGCTACGGAAATCAAAGGCATGACAATGCCTCTTTCGGAATCAGTTAGAGCTGGTTAGCAGCTAGCTAATACGGTCTGCGTGTTTTTCGGGACCTACACACGCTTCTTCTAACGTTGAAGGCCGATTATCAGCCTAGAGGTATGAGAAAGGTTCAGTTATAGCAAATACACCTAGACTGGCATGAACCAATGAACTGATGACGAAGGCCTTGGGTCCTTGTTTCACAGGGCCGAGCCTTATCTCCAAGTAGCTCATTGACATCTGCCGAAATCAACACCCTAAGGTAATCGCTACGATCGCGACGCTCCCTCCATGATAAGAGGGGTATGAATACTAGTTTGAGCTCCTCTCGCTTCACAAAACCAGAATCTTGACGTATTTCTCCTCACGAGCTTGGTGAAAAGCCATAATTTCCTGAGACCCTGTTGCCCTGAACGTACTAAGCAACAAAGCAGAAGCAAAAAGTAAACCGCAAAAGGATGGCTGGGCTGGCCTCTGACCCCTTCTTTAAGCTTGAGGAGACCCGCAGACATGACTTTCTGAGATGAAATTGTCGGTGGCAAGGATGATACAAAAGAACCTCAGCTAAGGCGTCCGGAGCCAGACCTCCTCATGCCACAGTTCTGGAACATCTCGCGGGATGAGTAGTTATGATCCCCCGTGTGCTAGAACAAGATCGGAAAGACGAGTGTTGATTCTGGCGCATATGAAGGTAGTGTATCGAGGATAACCCCCATCCTCGATCAGAAAACTGCCATCTCTGATCTATTTTTGTCATAGGCGCCAAGATAGAAGCCATACCAGCTAAGAAGCCACCCAAACGTCAAGAACCATCGAGACCTCATGCCCTGCTGAATCTTATACGAATTTCGCACGTGACCCCATTGTCGACCGGCCTTTTAGAACACGCAGATGAGAGTCGGCTTTCTAGTCTCAAACCACTGCCACTTCTAGATGGCTCTCGCGGCACGATTGTAGGCCTGTGTCATGCTCTATGCCCTAGTACCATGAATGCGGACGACGCAGCTGAGAGGTAAATTTGCTAGTGTAGTTCTCCAAGAGCAATTCATCATAGCAAATAGAAATATCTCACTTTTCTATCAATCTCTGCCAGCAACGTGATATACGTCAGGGAATATGGCGTCGATGAGGATTGCTGTTATATGGCAGAGGGCTTTGATCCTGTCTTGCTTGATAGCAAAGTCCTAACCCCTTCTCAGAACAAACTCCTGGAAGCAAGTCAACTCATACGCATCGGAAGTGAGCGAATTGGACGCGAAGGTTATGGAAGTGGATGAACCCGGCTTTCCTGCTCTACAGCGAGAGTAGTATATACTGCATCAAAAGCAACAAGACCTGATTATCTGACCAAACCTTTACTGTCCGCACCCAGCGTTGCGGTGCTACTCCCATTCTTGGCCAGCGGATCTTTATTGATTTCGCTTCTGGCCGCCATTACTAAGCGTGATGATCTCTGCAAGGCAATCCGCGTCTTCGGTGGGAAATCCTAGGCTTCACCATTCTCTCTCCACTGTACATGCTATGGCAGTTCGCTATGGGAGAGAAGAGATATTCGACATTTGGAAAACTTTCCTACCAAGGCACTAATGAGCATTTGCTCTTGAGACGTAAGTAGAGCTATCATAGATCGAGCATAGATGTTGCGCTACACACCAGCAGAGCTCATTGACGATACGCCAGCTTTGCACAATGGATGTGTAAAATGCCCAAGGCTACAAGCCATATTACGTTTCTACTTTATGCTGCAAAGGCCCAAAAGAAGAAAAACCTCAAAGAAATCATCCAAGATATCATACATACATGCCAGTCCATCCAAACGTCAAGTGCCTCAATGTAGTTCTCTGGCCTAGTGAGGGTATTGAACGGAGACAGCCGGCCGCCCGCACATTGCCACTGAGTGCATAGCCACGAACTTACCAGTAGGTCGACACAACCGCTGGGGAGTGGCCACTAAGAGTAATGTTCTTTTGCCCTACTAGCTCCCGTGAGCTTCCTGGTTCCTTGTTCCCGTATTCGTGCAGAGATACGTACGCATAGGCAACTGGTGTTCACCTACGGAAGTCTGCTTTCAGACACACCGCCATTATATGTGGCGCATGTTCAGGATTACCAACGGAAGGGAGATAGTACGGTAGGAAGAATGGGAAGGTTAAAGGGCAATGGGCCGGTCAACGACAACCTTAGAAGACCATGGAGAGTCTTGACTAAATGAAATTGGCGCGGCGGACTTTGAACATTCAGTAATAGGGGACAAGGAACATTCTACGTGGCAGATGCGATGATATTACGTTGATTAGAGACTAAGTTCCTAGTGATATGTGTAGGGCGGAGTTGGGTATCATAATTGTATTTCAACGAGTGGATGATGAGACATGCGAAATCGCGCCAACTCCGAGCAGATGCAAGCGGGAGGAAAACAAGGCGCCTAGACTCTAGCCCTCTTCTAAGCGGACGTCGTCGATCGTCGCCAAATCATGAAAGCTGCGACTCCAGCACAGGCCGTTGCTCCCAAGGCGAGATAGAGGCTTGTGCGGTCTGGCGGCTCCTCTTCGCTTCGAGGGAAAGCGGTGCTGGGATTTGTCGCCGCCTCGGCGAGGGCAATGAACAGCTCGCTGATACTGGACCACTTTACTGTGACGTGAAGGGGCGTGCTCATCATGAGGCTTGACGTGTACGTGTCTGGCTGGGTCTCGCTGCGCTGCGTTGTCTTGTCCTTGTCCGCCTTCAGAGCTGTGTAGATGTTGGGAAGGTCGTCCAGTTGCGGGTAGCGCTTGCGCAGGTCGACGATGTGAGAGAAGGAGTCAGGATCCGAGGAGTCGTACGTATAGCAAATAAGGTCGCAAGCGTCGAGCTTGGCCTGGTTCTCCAAGATGGCGGGCTCGAGCTCACCCAGCTCTTCCATGATCATGTAACACTGCTTGCCACCAGGAAGCTCTACGCTGTTGACGGCTCGGCGCGGCTTGATTGTCGGTCGGTGGAGGGTGTCAAACGGCCTATTCAGGAAGGCGTCCAGCAAGGAAGACTTGCCAGCCCCTGAAGCACCCAAGACGTAGCACAGTACGACATTGCGTTCTACCTTGCCTGGGCGTCTTCTGCGCTTACGCGACTTGGTCACTTTCAGAGCAGCTGTCGTGGTTTCCCTGGCGGTTGCAGGTTCGAAGCCAAGGTAAGCCAAATACTCGAGCGTGGTTTTGGGCTCCATGAAAGTGGTCATGCTCCATTGAGCGAGCCATCCTTGCAGTGTGACGTGTCCGGCCTCGTTACGTACGGTCGACGATGGGAAGGATGTTTCGATCCAGGAGGCAGGAAGTCCTGGCGTCGGCGCGAAAAGGGCCTCTAGCTCCTTGTCGTTGAGACCACCATCGTTGTCCTTGTCGAAAAGCAAGAACAAATCAACGAAGAAGCGATAGCCAGCCGGGCTCAGTTCCGCTGATGAATACTCGGGTACATCAAACTTGGGTCGCAAAAAGCTATCTTCCAAGCTCAAGCTGTCTGTGTAGCGGAACTTGCGCAGTATGATCCATATCGTCTCGTGCCGACCCTTCTCCGCGTAGAGTTTGTTGAGTTGCAAGAACCCGCTCTGATCGATACCCTTCTCGGTCGATAAGTGCGGGACAGACTTGCCAATCGACAGCTTAATGTTCTCGAGATCTTCGGGAGTTAGGGGCTTGTCGAAGCACTTGGACTGGAAGTTGTGCATCTCTTGATCATTGAGCCACCCGTCTTGGTCCTTATCGCACAGGTAGAAAATGCGTTTGAGGGCGTCGACACAAGCCGGCTTCAAATTCCCCTCCTTGTAATCGAACAGCGGGGCGATGGGGTGGGTGACGGCCTTTTGGCATAGGAAGAAAACTTCGTTGACGTTGCGGTGCTCCCTTGCGCTCGAGCGAATGCACGAATCGATCTCGCGGAACTCGGACATAACAGGAAGCATCTCGCCTTCGACCACCTGCGGCGTGTTTCCTTCGCCCGTCAGGTCGGATTTGTTCGCACAGAGTACGACTGGCACATTGACACCGAGGGAGCGGAAGTAAGGCATCCAGAACAGGGCGACGCGTTCGTAGCTGTAGTGGTCCGAGTAGACGAGGAGGATGACGTTGCATTTTCGTATCTCTTTCCTGAGCGTCGTTCGGTCCTGAGGGCGGGCAGAGGTGTCAACGATAGTGGTCGTTACGTTCTCGGGGGTGCCCAGCTGTGGAGGGATCGTGATGGAGGGGAGGACGGATTGGATCTTATTGGAGATGAAGACATCTTTGACGAGCGACGCAATGAGGCTGGACTTGCCGGTGCCCTCATCACCGCAAACACAGATGCGCACTATGGAGTAGCAAACGTGGTCAGTAGGAAGCTTGACAGAGTGAACGGCGGTGGAATGGAACTCAGCTCCTCCTCGTCAGGCCACCTACCAGAAGCCATGGTTAAGGTATTTGCAGCTCAAACGAATGCTTCTATTGAGAATCCATGGCAGGGCCTATGGTGAATGATTGCTACAACGAGGTCGATTTGATGAAGCGGATCGCCGTTTGAGGTGGGAACTGCTGGCTGAAGATGGCTGCTTTTTCTTGATGGAATTGGCCCAACGGGCTTGTAGAAGCTTTGGAGCGGGTAGGACGGGAGCTGCAGGTCGACGGGGATGACGACCTGATTTACAAGGATGGGTCCGGTGGGGGTAGTGGGAAGGCACTGATAGCACGGCGGCCAGCGCGTCTGGCGATGCAAGTTGCGGTCACCAGGGAAGTCACACACGCTGAAGCATTTTGATGGATTACGTAAGTTTTCATAGAATGAGACACAATATACAGCTTCTCTTCGTACACTCTCGTGAAGAATAAGAAGAGAGAAACTGACTCTTGATGGTTGTGGGCCCCGTACAGAACTCGTGCAACTCTCACACCTCTCCTTATGTGTTTAGCAACCATGGTAGAAACATGTGCTGGCACTTACAGAGCTGGGCCATTCTCTTCATTCCTTACTTCAGGTACCTAGGTTCCATGCACAGGAAAACAAGATGCTTCAAGACAGGCAGTCCCGGATAAATGGCTCCGGGTGTCTTAGACCGAGACATGTCTTTACGTAAGTTTTGAACCCCATTCAACGAACTCCTATGGGTTGGTTTAGCAGTGACATTCCAAACTTTGACCACAATGGTTCGTGATGTATCTGGACAAATTTTAATCTTTGGTATATATGACCTTGATCTTCTTAACAAAACTCCATCTGAGCACATTCGGTCTACGAACTGGTCTGGATATGAGACATTGGTAGTCTCTTGACAACTGCAAAGTACTTACAGCACCCTTACCTCATTCTTCAACCTTCTTACCCCACACTTTACCTAATATGTCGTTGTTGCTGTTTCCTCCAGAATAAACCCATAATCAGGGACAATGGACTCTTATGATGCTGGCCAGGTTCTTGGGAAATAGGTAGTGTACACTATATCCGAACTGTAGTATTCCTCCCCACAGTCTGTCAGTCGGGGATCCTCCACTCTTCCCCCTCCACCCCTCCCATCCTGCATCGCCATCCCACCACTCACGTCGCAGCAATCCTTCTCCGCGTCTGACCCGGGGGGCCCTCATTCCCCTGGGATAAGCCATGCCCCAATACCCCCAACCTGCAGTATCGCTCTCCCCTGCCACGCTTGCTGACCTGCCACGCCTCCCCATGAAGACAGAGCCCTGGTGTTGGGAAAATGGGGACAATTGGCACATCCGCCGGGGGGTAAGGTAAGGAATCATGTACGAGAAAAGGGCGGGGGACCCGAATTGGAAACGAGCAGACGCAGCCTTGGGGGGTTCTTGACTGATTGTGGAGGGTTGTGGTTGGCGCGCACCTTTACACTCCTTTGCCCTGGGACGAACCAACCCCGGATCGGAACCGAACCTGCCTATTCGTTCCTACACCTACCTTACACCTTCAACCTCTTCCTTTCTCACCTACTCACCTCGCTCTATTAATAAGGTGCTACACCACCACCACATCCCTCTTCCGCGCCGTACATGAACTCCTCTTGAGTTCATCTGGTCATTGGCGGCGACACATCTTCGCTGTCTTCTCCCCCTCCACACCTACCCGTCGCGCCTGACTTCCACCGTCCGATCATCGAACCCTCACCGAAAAGCCGTCCTTCTCTCTCTGTCACCGCGGTTATACGTGCGACCTTCCCGAAACGTCGACCTTGTCAGCCTCGGCCGTCGCCCGTCGCCCGTCATCCGGTTACCCGTTATCAACAAGGCCCAGGAACCTCCACTCGCGGGGCCGCCAGTGACGTGAGGCGGAGCCGATCAGAACGCATGCAGACCACTGTCCCGAGTGCCCGACGATAACCACCTCCAACCACCTCACCTTCCGACGTCACGGCTCAACCCTCGCGTGCCTTTGATCGATCTTTTCCCACGTAGCAATTGAACGCCGCAATAGATCTGGATCATACATAATACTAGCCCATCATGTTGTGAGTTCACCCAACCTCGGCTGATCCTTGGCCGCGGGCAAATCCAGCCAGCGCCGCCCATCCAAACACACCCGTCCAACCTGCGCCATGTCAAACATCACGCAGGCACGAGACAGCCTTTTCCAGCCACTGTCCAGCCGCGCACCCCAGAAATCCTTGCCCACAATGTTGGTACCTTCAAAGACAGAGCAGCAGCTGACAATTGCACTCCGTGCGACACCAATAGCGTCCTTCCCCCTCCCCCGCGATACCCCTCGCACTCGGGCGCCTACGGCGCAATCGGCGCCGGCATCGCCCCCATGATCGAGACGAACAACATCCTCTCCAACCCCGAAGGCCCTGAACACCAGTTCCTCGTCGGTGAGGGTACCTACGTTCTCAAAGAGTGCCTCCATCTCGCCACCCCTCCACCGCATCCCTCTGAGGCCCCCGTCGTCAATCCGAACCCGCTCGCCACGACCCCCCAGCCCGCCTCCGCCGGTACCAAGCTCTCCCTCATATCTCTCGACGTCCGTGCCGCGCCCCCATTCTTCTACAACAAGGGCGCCAGCACATCCACCACGCTCTCCTCCTCCCTCGGCGGCGACATTCAGGAGCACCCCAACGAAGGGCGGTACTCTACCGAGGCAGGACTGAGCAGCGATGGAGGGGACGGCCGCGGTGCCTCCCTCAGCGACGGCGTCGCGCCCCCGACGTCGTCATTGACCATGGTCTCGGCTCCGGCGTTCGGGGATGGAAACTCGGCACTCGCGCCGGCCAACACCAAGGACGCGGCCAAGAAGAAGGTGGCCAAGCCCAAGAACAACATGACCAAGAGCAACTCGTCCTTCATTTCTAGAGTCATTGTGAACGAGAGCTTGGCCAAGAAGCTTCAGGAGCGGCCGACGGACGGCGTTTTTGCGTTTGCCAATATCAATCGAGCGTTTCAGTGGTTGGATCTATCATCACCAACAAAGGTTGGGCTTCTCAATATCGACGTTCCTGCGGACCACTTTACTGACGAAATTGAAGGCCGATTACTTGACCAAGATTCTATTTACAAAGGCGCATTGCCTGTGTCACGACGTGAATCCCATCACCAAGAACATTGCTCATATTGATGTAATCATGGGCTTCTCAACGGGAGAAATCATCTGGTGGGAACCTGTTTCTCAACGGTATACTCGGTTGAACAAGAACGTAAGTCTTTGAAACGACACTTTGGAGCGTGTGAAATCAGGTGGACTGACCGTGCCCCAGGGCATCATCAACGGCACACCGGTATCAGAGATCCGTTGGATACCAGGCTCCGAGTCCCTCTTCCTAGCAGCGCACATGGATGGCTCACTCGTGGTCTACGACAAGGACAAGGAGGATGCGCAGTTCTCCCCAGAGGAGGAGCAGCTCGCAACCAACGGCTCATCAACAAACGGAGAGAGCGATTCGTCGACCAACGGCGTCAACCACAACCTCAAGATCCAGATCAACAAGTCGGTCCACTCAAAGAACCAAAAGACGAACCCCGTGGCATCATGGAAGCTGTCGAATCAGCGCATCAACGCGTTTGCTTTCAGCCCGGACAATAGGCACCTGGCAGTCGTCTCGGAAGACGGCTCGCTCCGCATTATTGATTACTTGAAAGAAGAGTATGTTTGAGAGCTCTGCCGATGCTCTGGCGTGACTTGACGTGACTGACACGACACAGGTTGCTGGATCTCTACAACTCGTACTACGGCGGCTTCATCTGCATCACATGGTCACCGGACGGTAAATACGTTCTGACGGGAGGCCAAGATGACCTCATCTCCATCTGGTCCGTCGTAGACTCGGCCATTGTCGCGCGCTGTCAAGGTCACCAGTCATGGGTGACATCGGTGGCATTCGACCCGTGGCGTTGCGACGACAGGAACTATCGGTTCGGCAGCGTCGGCGAAGACTGCAGGTTATGCCTGTGGGATTTCAACGTCGGCATGCTGCACCGGCCCAAGGCGGTACGTTGTTTCGTTCTAGCTCCCGATTTCCCCGCGTCGAGTCGGGAACCTCGGAGAGGGGGCGTGAGACCAAAAAAAGCTGACTTGTCGATATAGGCTTCCGTTCATCACCGAGGCTCCGTATCATCACGGTTCGCCAATCCCTTGCAGAGACAAGAGACGACCAACACGTCGGCGAGCCGCATCCGGTCCAACTCGACTCTCTCGGGAGGCGCGGTGGACGAAGACGGTAGCAGCATCGTTCATCCTGTTGAGCCTCGCGCGAGGATCGCCATGCTACCCCCTGTTTCTGTACGTTGCCTCGGTTCCTCTCTTTCCACATGAAATTCTACATTTTGTCATATTCTTTTTCTCGAGTATACTTACAATGTGGCAAACAGTCCAAGGCAGTTGATACCCATCCCCTGTGCTGGCTGGAATTCACAGAGGAAGCCATCATCACAAGTTGCAAGAACGGTAAGCCATTGTGCCTCGCACCGAGGTGTTACAAGCCTCAACGGACACATGCTAACATGCCGACCCCCCAAAAGGTCATATCAGAACATGGAATAGGCCGACTGATGCCCCGGTGCCGACGGAGGGTGCCTCTCAACCATCTTAGCCGCATATTCGTCTTTTGGTGGAACGATAATGAGTTGGCTACCCTTTGGTTTTTCGTTTCGTTGCAGATATTGGGGGAGTCGAGGTGTAGAAATCATGTCAGCCGATGCATCACCCCTCTACGCGGGGGCTTTGTCCATAATTCTTTTACCGAAAAGTACTTTTTCGCTCAATGTCAATCAAACCATCTATTGTCTAAATGCAGCGATATGTATCAGAAGACCTCATCTTTTTTATTATTTCTTCAGGTTTCGCCTCAATGTTCTGTTGATGTGCGTTTCCATCACGAGGGCTTCGAGATGATCATGACGTGACGCGATCTGCATGTGATTTAAGGGTCCCCGATGATATTCATCAGTTCCCACTGTGAAAAGGATGCGCCACTCTTGTGACACAAATCTGCATTGGCAGCACAGGCAGCGAAATCAAAGATGCGGCTCCGTAGTATAGTAGTGGGCTACTGGGCTTCTGTACATCGGTCGAGAGCGTCGATGGACCCCCTTGGCCCTGGTGTTCCATTGGAGGCCCCTCTTACAAGTTACCAGCCACGATTGACTCTGTGTGTATCTCTGCGACATCGGTTCGTTGACAATCCGTTGGTTGTCGCACGGCGGCGCGTGGTGTACGAACACACTACGGTGAGAGAGTGCGTGGGGGTTCCACGACGCTCGACGCCACGCCCAGCCATGTTTGATGGGAATGGGAACAAAACGGGTTACGTCTGCATGTAGTAGTGGATAGCGGGAACAAACGCAATCCAAGCTTGGCTCAGCCGCCAAATATTGCAGGGCCCAGGCACCCAGTGAAACATCAGAGACAGAGAAACGGGAGAGCGGGAGAGGTAACCCGGCCCAGGAAAGAAAAAAAGAGTCTATCAAGTTCCCGATCCACGCTCGACGAAAAGAAGCCGGGACGAAAAGTCGAACGGTTACCGGCGCAGACTTGCAGGATCATGGATGCGTGGGCTACGTCGTCCCGTTCCTGACCCGGCAAAGGTAGATAGCACATGCTTCTGGAACGGCGTCCATATTGTTCAAGGGCGAATCGAAACGGGCCCCCTCCTTCAATAAAGTCATGGATCATTGACCATTTTTTGCTTGTCAGAAAGCAGGGAATGGAAATTCCCGATGTCTCCACTGTTGATTTGATATGCGATAGGTTCCTGGGAGTTTGCTACAGGTCAAAGACGAGTAAGAATGGGTGTCGTGGTATCCGTATCCGTAACACGAAGAAAAACACCTCGTTGAGCGAAACCTAGCGGAGCCTTTTTCACATGTTGTTGGTGGTGAATGGCGGCCTCGACACGCGGCGCCATAGAAGCAGGGTAGATGCTGAGGCTCTTACTCGTCGTCCAACGAGACTTTGATGAGGCTTTTTGGGCGGTGCAGCCGCAAAGTGTTTTAATGTGCAGTAGTATCGCCGCAATGTGTGTCTGAGATGCATGCAGGCGCATCGGGAGATCCACGTGTATGGATGCAGAGCACTGTTGGAAAATTTTCCCTATTGTCGCCGCAAGCTTCGATTATTGAAGCTTCAAACCTTCACGCCCCTCTGTATGTAGTAGTGACAAGGCGTTGGCGTGCCGCGCAGATAACGGGTAGACGGCCCACACTGAGCGGTTTGTGTGCACCTGCATATCAAGGAGCTTACCCTAGCGTGCCTAGGGAACTCGGGAGCCAGGAGGCAAGGCTGAGGACGAGTCCCACAATCGTGGTCTAAAGTGAAGGTCCTAGAGGTCGAAGCCAGTCTGTATGTAGTCTATACTGCTACAGGAAGGGTGCGGTATCAAGGTTTCCATGCCAGGAAGCCCAGGAATGTGTTAGAGGTGCGGCCTGGCCCCTCCTTTTTTTCACCGCTGCAAAGGGCCGAAGGTGAGAGATTTCGGAGAGTGGATATGCGCAGGCGGCGGTAGTTGGCGAGATTTTGAAATGGGGCCAAGCTTCGTGACTCAACCTGGCTTGGTGCCCGAGATGGATCTTGCCAAGTTCAACATTGTTGAAACGATGGGCCTGTTTGGTGATTTGACCACGTTCAGCGACGCAGCGAGGCTCTCGTACACATCTGTTGTGATGTGCAGCAATTTACCAAGACGGGAGAACGCATAACCGCTGCGGTTAAACATGTCTGGACGACCCGCTCAGTTCCGACGGTTCTCATTCGATTTTGCAAGCGAATATGAGCAATGAATGATGCTCAGGCCATGATGTGCACTGGGGCGAGACAGAACGGCCCAGACGAGACGAAGCCAGGGACCAAGAGACGTACGAAAGAGATGTCATGTTGATATCAGTGGGGCCCTAGGGTGATCTGACATCAGGTCCAGGAGCAGGCATGATGCTATCTTTGCACAAGGCCAGTCGATTGGGCGGGGGCCCGCGGACTGTAGACTGCGGATGCCATCTGTGGCAGCGAGCGAGCTGAGCTGTTGAGGCGCCAGTCCTACGTACTCATCAAGGCAAGGTGCAAGTTGCGCATCGTGGCATCGTGAATTGTTTGAATCTTGACCTTGTATCCGTACGGATACCTTCGTCCCTTGCAAGATGCGGCCCTTCTGTAGCGTACCTTAGCTTGGCGGGACAACGTAGGCGGAGCCTTGGTGGGTAATGGCTTGAGGAGCCTTGACCTCGCTTCTGCTAGTTATCCGCCCTCAGTGCAGCTTCACCGGACAATCTGACTGGGATATGTCCAGATGTCGAAGAAATGCGTAAATCGAGGTGGAATCCAAGCCTTTGAGGGCTTCGATTGGAACAGCGAAAGGTTTTGCGCTGTCGCTTGCGTATGTGACAAGTAACTATCTACTGGTGGCATTGTGTGTGGAAAAGTGACGAAATCAAGAAAGCTTCGACACGGCGGCAGGTGGCTGCAGTTCTTAGAGTCGGAGCTTGAACTTCGTTGGTGACACAACACCGACTCGAACGTCGGCAAGCATGTGTCCAGACGCCACCAAGGAAGTCTAACTCAAATGCTGCTTGAGATAAAAAGCAGCTTCACAGGAACTTGCCGGCCGATGTGCGATTGCGAGATGGATCATGGCTGCGCCGCTCACAAAGACCGAAACTCGCGCCCGCCGCCCGTATCTTGAAGCTTTCGATTCGGCGTAGGTCCGGGTTCGGCGCGGCTTCGGACCGCTGCACGGTGACTTTGCGGCTTAGTGCAATTTGTCGTTATCTCGGAGTCATTCTTCCTAGCGCTGCGCTTATTGGATGCCAGCCACCCGTGGGAAGGGCGAGGAAAAAGTCGCAATCGCGTCGGAGAAAAAGCAGGGTTGAAGGCGCCATTGTCAAAATTTCAGCGAGGAATCCACTCGAGATCGAGTCGGTGAGAGGTCCATTCTTCTGGAAGACTGGCACTCTTTTTTTCTTCTTGGTTCTTGGCTTTGCCTGAGCCCTAGGGGGGTTCAAGCCCTCGCAAATGGAGAAGAGTCGCACTGCGGACGGTGCTGGCCGAATGATCGTATGGTAATGGATTGATTTCTGTCTCTGGTTCATATGTTTCCTCATGCAGGATTAAGTGGCAGCGGAAGCGCTGTAACCGCGGCCATCGTCGGTTGATAGACCGGGACTTGAGGCGCAGAGACTCGGAGCCCTCTGGCCAGGATCCGGTTTCTCAGAACTCAGGACTCAGGGCCCAGGAGTCGCTTTTCGCTTCTTCGCTTCAAGCTGGAACGAGGCAGGGAGCATTCCTGGCTAGAGCAATCAAGCCTGGTGCTTATCGGTGGAGATTTCACCGAACCCTCAGAGCCCAGATGGGTATGCCCATAGCAGGGCTCGGTCCAGGTCCGGGCCCAGGTGCCAGAGTGCTTCCGCCTCCCTCCTGGCGGCGATCTTCCAAGCAGCGGACCAGAGTCTGGCAGGGGTTCAGGGACAATGAGGGCCGTCGTCGGTTCAGTGGACGGGAGTTCGATGGACGATGGGACAGTGGGAACGTGATGCCTAGGCCAGGTCGACAGGGCGTATGATCTGGACGGCTTGGAAGCTCTTTGTCTGCTGAGAATGCTGCATGTGGTACTGCATGCGGCAGACCTACCCATTCAAACGGGCCCGACAGAGGAGCTGGACAATTTGACTTGCATCGGCTGCCCGCAGGCCTGCAGATGCCAATACGGAGGGGTCATGGCCTCGAGCGCGACCGTCGCCCATTGAGCATGATGCGAGACGTCCAAGTCGGTCGTGAGGTGCAGAATCGGAGAGATGTGGGATGCGAAGTGCTGGTTCTCCGTGTGACTTGGGGCACTGGGTGCCCCGAGCACATCCATTTCCCGTTTTGACAACATCGTGAGATTCTATCCGTCAGGTGCACTCAAGGTTACGGTGGGGGTAATTCAGATATGGCCACAGCGGTCGTCCTGTCTTTTTTCTTTCCATTTTGAGACCTCCGATGTTGTACATGCTTGAAACAAGCAATGGCTGATCATGATCCAAGCCTCTGCCGCTCAGATGCAAGTACCATGTACCCCGCCGTGCTCTAATAGAAGAGTCTCATGATGGATGATGTTTATGACCAGTGACTGCATCTGAGAGACGATCTTTGTTGGAGGCTTCAACGTCAGCCAGCAGGATTTGGCCCTGCGCATCTTCGATAGCGGATGTGGGGGTCGCCAATCTTGCCCGTACAAGGCGACAAGAGGCGTGGCCTGTTGGAGATGACGGGCAATGGCCTCGGTCGAGACTGGCAGCTGAAGATGATGGATGCGAGAAAACCCCCATGTATCACGACGATAGAGTGCAGCGGATAGTTCTTGGCTCCTTGGGTGTCTCGCAGGTGGACGAGATGGTTGCCAAAGCCACAATTGGTGACGATGGTGTTTCGAGGCGGTCTACTGGCGTATCGTTGCTAGCCTAGGCTGTGTCTTAGTTGCATTGGCGATGAAAGACGGTCGATATTCGATATGAGATGTTGGGTGCAAACCAACAAACTACAGAAATGTGTGTCAGCCAACGTATTGATTTAGAGGCAAGTACAGTACCGTAGAGCCAGATCATGGAGACAAGTACCACGCAGATTGCAGCCTTCCGTAACGAACGGAGGGAAGACCGCGTTGCAGTTTGGGTAAGGTGGTGGTTGACGATTGATTGATCAGGGCAGATGCTGGACCCAGGACTTTGCAGATTGAACATCCCACGCCAAAACCGGGCCCACCACGTTGGCCCGTCCAGTCAGTTTTGTTGCCTCGAGCGAGTTTTCAAAAAA